AGCATAATAATTTTTTAATAAAGATAGTATTATCATTTTGATATGAGCAGTCTCTTATTTTTCGTTGTTCGATTTCAAACGTCGTAACTTTCATGGATTTATGTTGTTTCTATTGAATACTTTTCTCCATAACTCTCTGTTCTCTTTATTCTGGATTCATTCTGACATTGTCATTTGTGTGAGGGTCTTAATTTGGTCTATATAGCGGATGAAGGGAGCATATCTCTGCTTCTCTTTCTTTCGACTTTTCCTTGGATAATGTCTTTTTCAATACCGTCTCTTCTCATCACGTAGCCAAACAATTTGAGTATTTGGCTCTGAATTATGATCAAGAGGTGGTCCTGTATTGTAAATATGTTCATTCTATGGTCGATCCATGGAATTTGTAACATTCTTCTATATGTAAACATTTCAAATGCTTTTATTCTTCATTGACACGATGAATTTAGGGTCCATGATTCGGAGCCATATGTCATTATAGGGAATACCGTTGTTTTCATAATATATAATTTCGTTCCTTACATGATATCATGATCTTTTCATATTTTGACAAATTTGTCAATCGCAGTCTTAACCACTCCTATTCTTTATTTGATTTTCTCTTTCGAACCACCTTTATTTAATAAATGTACACCTAGATGTATTACACTGTCTTGTTTTTGTCCTATCAATAGCAATTATTGAGCATTTCGATCTATTAAGCCTGCTTCATTGCTAAATTTTTCTACTAGTTCTAGAAGGTTGGCCATTTCCATTTCTGTTTTTGTTAAAAACACCGTATCATCAGCGTATCTTAAATTGGAAATTTTCCTGCCACCCATGGATATTCCTCCCTTCCATTCTTGCGTAGCTTGATAAATAACCCATTATTTATATATGTTAAAGAGTAATGGTGATAATTTACAGCCCTGTCCTACGCCTTGTCCTATTTGAAAACTCTCTGAAAGATCAGTCTTTACACGAACATACGCTTGGTTATTGACATATATAATTTTTATAATTGCTATGAGGTGTTCTGTCACTCCCATTTCTTTTGATACGGGTCTCAGAAGATTCCACTTAACGGTGTTAAAGGCTTTAGTATAATCTAAGAAGCTACAGATAGCTGTAATATTATATTCGTAGCATTCTCCTATTATCTGTCGGCTGCTTAAAATTGGTCCCTTATTCCTCTATCGGCATAAACCCTTCTTGTTCTTGAGAAATATGTGGGAGCAGATATGGTTTTAGCCTTTCTTGTATCACATATAACATGGTCTTACTTGTATGGGGAATTAGGGCTATAGCACAATAGTTGTTAATGTTTTCTTTGTCATCCTTTTTATGGATTAAAATGTATGTGGACTCACACCATTCCTTCAGGCCGTTCGCCTATGGTCCATATCTTGTGGCAAATTTTTTGGATTATATTAACCTCTTTTTCTATAGTTGATTTTATCATTTCTGTCACGATGTTATCCGAACCAGCAGCTCTATGATTGCGTAATCTTTTTATGGCTATCTCCATTTAATTTCGTAGTATAGGTGGTTCAAATTCGTCCCATCTTTCTCTTTGAATTATCGTATACGTATTATCATAGATTATCATGAACTTCTCGTAATACTGTTACCATATTTTGATAACTTCCGACTATGATAGTGTCACACCATTTTCGTATTTTATAGGTAGGTGTCTGGGTTTAAAACTCCGAGATAAGGTTGCCACTTTTTTAAAAAGAAATCTAAGCTCTTGATTAGTTTTATGTTGTTCTATTACTTTGCATATTTAGTTTATAAATTGGTCTTTTTATTTTCGTAAGTTTAGGTTTATCAACCCGCACATTTCATTGTATTATGTTAATTGACAATTTTATTTTGATTTGTTCTCGTTTTTTAATTAATTCCCACATATGATGTGAGATCCATGTTTTTTCCAGTCGATCAATATAAAGGGTCTTTTTGAGGGATAATAAGACTGCACTCTTAAATTTTCGGCACAGTTCTTCTACATTATCTGTTTCATTTCCTTCAAGCCTCATACCCTCTATTGCCTTATTAACTTCTATTTTATACTGATCAAGTGATTCAATTTTATTTTTGGTATTAGTTTTTTCTTTTTTTCAATTTGAGACATATTTCCGCCACCAGGGCATTATGGTCACTACTAAAACTTAAAAAAATACCAAATCAATATGCCGTTCATTTTGATATTCATAACCGACTGAATATCAATAACGCGAAATAAAACCAATTCTATCATTTGTCGAATATTTCAATGTCACACGTTTTATCCCTCTTCAAACTTTCTTTCCTGCGAGAGAAAATAAAACACTAAACGACCACTGGCTCGTTATACTACGAATTATAAATACTATTGTGTATACCATCATTTCTCAATCCGGTGTTTGTGATACCATAGACAAGAAATCGCGTCGATCAGATATTATTAAACGCTTATGTACAAAAAATAAAAAACCGTTTCGTTTATACTTTTTAACTTTTTTTTAGTTAACAATACATTTTCCTTCCGTATCAAGCATGATGACGTGAATCCCAGTGATGACATATTTGTAACTGGAGCCGATGTAAACCTGATAGTTGTGCTTAAATTAGTGTTTGTTACAAACGAATCATAAAACGACCGACTTCGTTTTCGACATAGTTTGGGAGGTCGCGATTCTAAAAAAATTTGAGAAACGATGGTGTTGTATCCCACATATTGTAGTATTTATAATCAATGATAATACCTAAACGTAAGTATCCATCCGGCGAGCAGCCACAAAACTGTTAACGAGGACAAAGATAAAATACCGAGTATACGGTAGTAAAATAGGCATTATGGTTTTAGCATGCACGCGCATCACCCATGAAAATAATATACCAACACATACGGACACGCCACGTGGCTTAAAACATTACTATCGATTATTGTTTTAATATTTCACGAAAAATTTGTGTTGTTGAGCGTTGAGATATGTGTCCGTGAGGGTTGAAATCCCGGAGGAGGCACGTAGTCGCCATGTACGCCCGGTGGCTGAGCAGCGTACTAAAGAAGTCGATATCTCACGGTCACATTCCATTTGATCGAAAACCATTATTGCGGGTTACTTGCGTGGGGTATACACGTACACGTATACTCTGTACCGCGCGCTCGTTGCGCATCTTGTGCACATTTGTTTGCGTACGAAGGCAAAAGCTGTGAAAACACCATATATTAATAAAAAAACACTGTGACGTTACAAATGCGATACTTTTAGTGCAGGTCACCACGATAAAATTGGTTTTAAAATCACTCCGAGAGATATCACGTATTCGTTAACGTTATAATATTATATCGTTCCGTTATCTCGTGACGTTTCCTCTCGATCGATCGACTTCAGTGAAACGCGGTTGATCCTCTCCCACGGGTCCGGACTATGTACATTGTATCACATGTGAACGATCGCATGTAATTTAAGATTTAAATCCGTACCCCATGTATTATTATAATTGCCATCCGTCCGACCCCCGCGTATTCGAGAAATCCTAAATCCGCCACCGTAAGGCGTATCGCTTACATCGCCCTCTTAATCGACGTAACAATCGTAGCGCAATATTTTTTATGAACAAGAACAGATTAAATATATTACGGAAACAAGATGTCCTTTACCTCGCCACTTTTATTTATTTTAGTAACCTTTCTCTCTCTCTCGAATGTCTAATATATTTGTTCTAATATTTATTTCCTGTACCGTTCTAAATTTTTCCCCTCAAATTGCGAATTGTGAAACGTGCTGCGTATAAAATAAATATTGTGCTCATCTAGGCTTATTTTTCAAGAGTACATAGTTACAACAGTTCTACGTTTGGAAACATGTAACTCGATTGCGATCATCTCGTATGTAAATTATGGTTCACCAATCGTATACGGTAAAGGTACTCGCTATTACTTTTTCGTTCATCGTTGTTCTGTTGACAAAATAATTCAATACGCATGTTTTGTTGGTTCGTCCGTTTCACACGTAGATATTCGTACGGCCTATAGTGTCGTGTTCCATACTCTGTAAACCGTAAATAATATGATATGTTTAAAATTTTCAGGTAAAATAAAATATTCTGAGCGAGTATACGACGCTTGTATGGAGGCATTTGATTGTCTGCCACTCGCTGCGCTCATGAATCAACAATTCCTATGTGTTCACGGCGGACTCTCGCCAGAAATACATAATCTGGATGATATTAGAAGGGTAAGCCATTGTATTGAAACTGTTTTGTTCTTCGCCGTTGGTGACCCGTTGTGTATAATTTTATTATAGACACCGCGTTAAAACGTTTTAATAACGAATCCCGTCGCGGGCGCCATTTATCCGTGCATTTTTTTATTTTAATTTTTTATATTTCTTTCTGCATCACGCTTTCTAGTTGGATCGATTCAAAGAACCGCCAGCTTTCGGTCCTATGTGTGATCTTCTTTGGTCCGATCCGCTAGAAGATTTCGGCAGCGAAAAGAATGCCGAACATTTCAGTCATAATAGCGTTAGAGGCTGTTCGTATTTTTACAGGTATGTATATTTAATATGAAACTTACAGTGGCGTAAATTGGATCCAATTTCTGGTGGTGCAGAGGCATATTCTCTTATACTTATAAACTTATAATTTCCAACACACCAATTTTCCAATTTCCTAAGGAAAATTCTTCCAAATAAACAATATATTTTCCCATATATTTCTTTAAATAACAAATAAATTTTGAATTATTTTAGTATTAAAACCTTTATTATTATAATATTAATGAAAAAAAACAATCAAATTTTGTTTTTAGTATGCTGATTTCATTAGCTCTTGAAAATATTATTATAGGTATACAAATTTCAATAACTTTCTGGTGGTGCAAAAACATATTTTTGGACCACCACATTTTAGTTGTAGTGTTACGAGTGCCAAATTTGCACCACTCAGTTTACGCCACTGGGAACTTGTACTATTTTTGTACACGTTTATGTGTTGTGCTTCTGTATGTCACTGATCCTATTACTTTTAAAAATCCATCGACGTTCTCTAACAGTAGTGTTCACTTTTAATACTATAGCTAAGCCTCGAATTGATTTATGATGAACTGATATATTATTGTGTTAAGCGTTAAGCTACGGTTTCTAAGGTACGACATGTCGCTGCGATAAGTCGTCAACATCTGTTTATACGAAAATGCTATTCATTGGTTTGCAAGACGCGATAAGTCACAACGACCTAACTTTGAGTCGTTGCGACCGACGACACTACTGCTCCGAGAGCAGTACCTTGCGACATGTCGTGACAATATGGCAACACAATTAGTATTTTCTCCATCGGAAGAAGTTTGATTATGACTATAACTAAAAGTACAATTATTTTAAACAATTCTATAATATCTATTGAAAAGTTGTATTTATATTTTACTATTTTATACATTAAGTGTTAAACTGTTTGGTTTTTCAATATTTGTAATCAATAATTATTCATAAAAAGATCAATTTAAATGAAATGTTATTAAAAATGTATATTTATATTTTACTATTTTATATTATATATTAAAAAGTAGTATACATATTTTAAAAATTAATAGTGTGTGAAAAAATGGCTTAAAAAGTTTAATTAATTTTAAATATTTGGTTGCCAGGAAATAGCGCCTTCATTGTTAAAAAATTCTTTATATAAATCTCTTACTTCAAAACCTTAAAAAATTAAAAACCCTCCTCGACATGACATTGGCATCATATTGTTAATCGTTGTTTGCTCTGCATTATCAAATTCAAAAAATGGCTATTTATTTGTCTCTAAATATCCCTCACGTAGCATTTTATGTAGACAACAGCATACCCATATCAAATCGTCAATAATCGTTGCCTCCAAATTAATTGGTTGATAAAATATTCTAAAATTTTGACTCAATAACCCAAATGCATTTTCCGATACATTTCGGACACGACTTAATCTATAGTTAAAAACAGTTTCTAAATGATTGTCTCTTGTAGATTTTCTAGTGTAGGGCTTCGTAATATGTTTGTGTAGACGAAAAGCTTCATTACCTATTATTACATAAGGTACTATTTTATCTGATTCAGGAAATTTACTAGACTGTGAAAATCCGAATGAGCCATTTAAAATTTGTTGCCTCATGTTTGATTTTAAAATTATTCCACTGTCTCCTTCTTTTCCAAAGGATTCGATATCAATAGCAACAAATTTGTATTTTGCATCCACCATCGCCAGAAGAACTATGGAAAAAAAATCTTTATTGTTATGGAATAATGACCCTGAGTTACCCGGACATCGGATACGAATATGTTTTCCGTCAATAGCTGAGATACAATAAGAAAAATTCCATTTATAAATAAATTCTTCTGCTTCTTGTTTAAAGTCAATGGTGTTGGTGTCTTTTAAAAAAATTTGCACCAATTTAGTTCTTAACCATGCCAACGTACTTTTTATTATAATGCTCAAGTAACAATGGCTTACACGAAATGCGAATGATAGCAATCTTAGAGACTCACCAATAGCAAGATATCTATTTAAAAATGAATATAACTAAATTACAAATCTATAAATACCTACTTATAACCAAAAAAATTAAGAAATTATGTACCAACCTCAAAGTTACTGTTAATTTTTCTGCCGACCGTATCGGTTTCCTCACAGCAATACTAGGTTTTACCATCAACTTTTTTTGCACCAACGACAACAACAATTCAAACTGTTTATAATTGGCTCGGAAAAATTCACGAAACTTAATTTCATTATTATTTAAATATTTTATCGGTTGGACTTCTTTTCGCCGATTCCAGTTCAAAAAAAATTATATCTTCATTTTCTTCGTCTAATAGAAGAGCTATAATGTTGTTGTTATTAATAATAACAAACTTCATGTCAAATTAATTTAAACTTTCAGATTGAATAAAATAATATAATGCAACACTCACATGTGTTCTCTTACAAATTAGAAGCTATACTGAAAATATATTCCATGATCGAAAAGAATAAAATCGCTGCGACATGTAGTTTCTTATAAAACACTTCATTTAAATTGTTATGCGACATGTCGTACCTTAGAAACTGTACTTTTAGACAGAAGTATATGATCGAAAATGAAACCAAACACCAATCTTTTTCAATGGATTCCTCGACCGTTTTTAACTACCTACACCCCACACACTGAAATTACTTTTTAATTGGAGTTATATAATGACAATAAAATTTCTATGATACGTTGTAATATTAGAAAGTGTCACTAGAATATAGAATGTCTATTAAAATAATTATATTACTGTCCAATTTTTATATTTCTATGTACAACATTGATAATTCTGTACGATTGACCTGTAAAATGTTAACTGCACAAATACTTGATCAAACATGTGGTTAAGGATATTGTTATAAAAATGTATCATAAAACGAACAAGTTTTGTCATCATCCCAACTGTATAAAATATCACTTACTACATTAAATTATTATCGTTTTGAAAATTGTAGCAACCTATATTTTTTACATGAAAATGTTAAGTCACTTAATTATGTTATCAGTCATACAATTTTATAATTTTACAGTATACGTTTATAGTTGATAATTGTTCCTTATATATTTGAATTTTCACTAACACTACTTTGGGTTTGCAAAAACATATTTTAAAAATTACCATCTAAGTCTTGCACTTTTCGATCAATATAGAAAGACTATAAAAGAAACTTCTAAAGCAATTTTACGCCCCTAAAACTTGTTTTTCATAATAGGACATACAACAACGTAGAATACCTTTCTTCTTTTGCTGCTACTCAGTACCTAAAATATAAGCCCATTATTTTTTTATGTTGATATCATACATTATTAAGGAACTGTAGCATAAATGATCTACCTCTAATAAGCATGCCGTTAAGATATGACGTTTGGATTTTAGTTAAATGACCATTGTATTCCATTGCGTTTAAATTAAATATTAGCAAAATACCGATTTCGCTCGACATATGTATATTAATTAGCGTACAAAAACCCGCTCGTGTTCGCCTTTTTAAGCACCACAAAAAAAGTAATTGGATTCAGGTACCGCACACTCTACGCACAACAGTTAATACAGATATACCTATGATACCACAGATACACTGTGAAAAAAATTAATCAGATACCTGTAATACCACGGATCCTGAACCGTTCAATTCAACTTCACTAAATACTATGTACATTTGTACGATTCCAACTGCGTAATACAACTATAAACGGCCAGAAGTGAGGCATTTAAAATTGGGTGTACAGATATATTGACGGTTTGATAATTGTAGAATATTTATTTTTGAATTTCTGAATGCTCTTATTTCGACCTTCCGGCATGTATATAGGAGCGTACAACTTAACTTATCAACCGCTCTGTTGAAACTGTGGAATTATTGATTCACATAATTTCCATGGTACCTCGCCCACACTCTTCTTAGAATTCCATCAGTTTCCAATAAACCACAATCAGTCGGAAAATCTCATACCTTCGCCCTGTACATTACAACTGACCGCTGAGAATCGGTTAATTGCTTTTCATTCGCAATATTACAATATTTGAATTATTTATGGATGTATAAACGATTGAAAATAATTCGTGATACAAAATTCAAAATATTAGGCTTTATTGCCGTCCTTGTTGTATAAGTACCTGAATGCCAATCATTAGTAGTTGTTTATAACAAAAATATTATCGGTTTGCGACTTACATAGATTATTTTTTTTCATTTGTATAATTATCATTGTTGTTAAAATATTGCTAATTGGTAATACTTTAATAACATTAACATTAAAGCTAATACTTTTAAACACAATGTAATTATTTAGGTAATCTATTTAATTTTACATCTTATATAAAATATATAGTTAATACAAATATTTGTATATTATATTATTAAACAAACGCGAACGACATTTTGTATTCAGTTTTTTTTAAATTTTTACTGTCACATTATTTTTCATTTTTAAAGAGATACTAAAATAGTATAATATAAAAATAATATACTAATATTTATCTACTATAAATTATTTAACATTTTTTTTTCTTATCACTCCGGAACACTGTCTTAAAAGATAAGGTCCATAATATTAATTTTTGATATCTAGGGATTTTCTGGCAACCTTAAACGTGTAATGAAACTTGATGAACATTAGAAAAATTACATTAAAAATTATTTTAGTTCATTCTTACCAACGTGTAATACTCATGTTATATAATATTATTGTAACCTATATTCTTAATTTTACTGAAATTATATTAATCTAACGCATAGTTATTGGTATATTTAAAAACTGAATTGTGCCCATGAACTCTTAATTTACATAATCAACATTTGTATGCACAAATTTTTGATTTATGCCCGACTGATATTTATTGAAGTACTGACAAGAAATTATTTCATACTGACTGACGTGAAACGTTCACAAAATTAAGTCTGAGAAAAACAATTAAAAACACATTTTGTTGCGTTTATAGGATCTAATTGCGTATAAATTATACATTTCAATCAATGTTATAATAAATGCAATAATAGAGTATTGTTTAGTGAATTTATAAAACATTAAAAGAATTTATTATTATATTATAATAACTTACAATATAAAATATTTAAATTTAAGGAAATCATGTTGTTTAAATGAAGTTATCATTTTTTTTTTCTACTAAAGTAATGAAAAAAGAAAAAACGAACGAGACCATTAGTGACCTTGTGTCATGAAATTAAAGAAAATATAATCCTTTTTTTTTCTTAGATTTTTGTATGTTTAATATTATTAATCTCGTTATTTATGATAATGTACTGAAAAATAATTTTATAAGGAATATATAAGAACTTGTACATAATTGTATAGTGTTATACTGAACTAATCCAACCTAATCCATGAATAATTTCAAAACTTTCCAGTTATGCCGCATGCTGTGATTTTCTTCAGAGCAACAATTTACTCTCCATCATAAGAGCACATGAAGCTCAAGACGCAGGGTTAGTTTAAAACAATCTTTGCACATCAATATATTTTTTTTTAATTACTTTTGCTATTTATTTTTGCAGATACCGAATGTATAGAAAAAGTCAAACGACTGGTTTTCCATCTTTAATCACTATTTTCTCCGCGCCCAACTACTTAGATGTATACAATAACAAAGTAAGTTAGCAATCTGTTTATGATGTTTCGTTTTTTTTCTTTTCTTTTCAATGTAAAATGTTTAACCCCATTCAGGCTGCCGTTTTAAAATATGAAAATAATGTAATGAACATCAGACAATTCAACTGTTCACCACACCCGTACTGGTTGCCAAACTTTATGGATGTATTTACCTGGTCTTTGCCATTCGTCGGCGAGAAAGGTAATTATAATGTTTTCAAAATCCTTCGACATCGCTGTAAACATATTTTTGAAATGTATGTCATCTAGTTACCGAGATGTTAGTGAATCTATTGAATATTTGTTCGGATGATGAACTAATGACCGAAGGAGAAGATACACTTGAAGACGGTATGTATAATTACTTTACAACACCAAGTTATATTTATCTATGCACCAAACAATTGTTTCAATTATATTATTACATTTATACATATTAAATATATTTTTTTTCTTACGTAATAACATAAATATAATTTTATTGTTTTCCCGATCGATGCTCGAGCTTCTAAGATTAGCAACACTGATCGAGAAAGCATTTTTCACTGTAGGAAAGTACTTTTTTTTTTTCAATTTCTTATATATTTTATGTATAATCTATATAGTATACATATTACATAATATATATTATATATTATATATTTACTATATTTTATTATTATGCCAAATTTTAGCTTTAAATATTTATTCTCACCCTATATTAATTTAATATTGTATTGAATAATAATTTTTTATTTATTTATTTTTATATTTTGCTTTTTTTATTTATCTTAATTTATGCTTCTCTGGGATTACAGCTGATGGTAAGAAATATCTATATATTATTAATATTGGTTTAGTTTAAGTAGAGAATAAAACACATACCTAATAATGTCGCTAGAAAAATGGACTGCTCCCTACGTAGATATTCTAAACTCCTATCTCGATATTTTTGTTTTTATTATTATTTTTACTTCATTTATTTGTTGACGTTTTTAAGTTGCTACCATTTATGAATTTTTATAAGCATACCCTCTAACTCACTTGAATGTTTTATTATTTTTATTTTTTGCTTTTCATACTTGCCTTCTAAACGATGATAAAGTTTAAAAAAAATAATAATATTTAATTTCAAAACAAAAATGTAAAGAATTTCATAAAAACGAGTCATTTCAATAATTACGATTTTATTGACCTTAAATATATTGGTCCACTTCAAAACTATTGAATATTTAATTGGCAGCGATTAAAAACACAAATAGCTAAACAGTTGGTTTTAATTAAACTCTACGAAATACTGATAGGCGAGTAAATAAGCATTTATATTTGATAATGTACTCAACGTCTGAAGTTTACTAAAATATTTAAAAGATCATTTTCAGTGACCAATGCCTAATGAATCTCTATTTAAATCCAATTTATTTATAATTAAAGTTTTAGTTAAATTTATAGGCTGTAAATTACATTTGATAAACTATGATTATATTATAATTTTGGATGTAATAATCACTAAGACGAATACCTGTACCTATGCAATTATTTGTGACCCCATTTAAAATGTTTGAATTAAGTTTTCGGAATTGATAATAATATCACTGCCCCTTTTAATTGCTTTAGTGTACTTTTTATTAATGCCTGGTTAACTTATTTGAATGTATTACGGCATTAAAATTAAAAAAAAAATTGTTCTTATGAAACGAAAATAATATTGCAGTGAAAATATACTGACCATGATTTTGAAAATTATGTTTTTTTTTTTTTTATCAAAAAGTTGATTAATTTTAAATAAAATTAGAATAATATTGTTACACGCCGCATATATACATATATATATATATATATATATATATTAAATCTACGGAAACTAAAAAAAAAAAATTGAAAAAAATTATACATCATAACAGCTCTTTTATTTATTTACCTCTTTAATTTATTCCATCGTTAAATTTCATACTGTAAAATTATTTTAAAAACTGAAAACAAAGATACTTTTAGGCTATTGTATTATTACTTTACTTATTCTTGGACGCACTCTTTCAATCTTCTATATTTTGTTTTCTTTTTGTTTTTCTGTTTATATTTTTAAAATCTTTCGCTCTCTGTGACCGACCGATCGACAGCCATTGTTGTTAAACCGATAGTTCCGAAAATACCCGGTAAGTTTTCTTCCCGAAATTGTTTTATTTCTGTTTTTTATTTTAATTTTCAAACATATCAACATAACTTACAATTTTGCTGTTTTTATTTCCACTTTTCATTTTAGCAGCCCTTAGATTTTATTTTCGTTGTTGTTGTTGTTGTTTTTTATTTATTGTTATTATTTTTGATTAATTATTTAATTATTTTCGTATTTAACACTATTAATTTGTTGACATTAATTTTTCAATTTTTTTTTTTTTTTTGTTTTAATATTTCCGAGTGTTTTTAATTCGCTTGAATGTTGGTACTAATTAATAGACAATACAAATAATAAAATGAGAGAGTTCAGCAAACGATTAGGAATTTCTCATTCAACTATATTCATTATGATGACATAATAATAATATATTTATAGCTATCTCTCGTTTTCATTGTACCTTTACATACATTATTCTTTAAGATTGAATAGTACGTGTTTTTTTTATTCTAGAAACGTAGGATAAATCTTTATTCCTCTGTGGCATTTCCTTTGAATTAATTGTTAATCGACACATCCTTTTAAAGCTTGAACAGGTCAAAGCTTGGATTGTGCATGTGGTTAAAACGATACTTTACCTATACTTATCTACCTATATTTATTAATGTATCAAATCGCTTTATTAAAAATAAATTAATTAATAAACTGTAAAAATATTGTATACATTCTTCTACACACTCACAAACACACACACGCACACATACGCACTATTTAAACGCCCCGTAGAATATATTACTGTTATATAATTAAAATAAGTAAGAATGTATTTGCTTAGAACTCTGTTACAAGTCGATGTATAAATACCAGTAGAAAAAATGCTTCCCCGACTCGCTACCATGCGTCGTGGTTCACTTCGTTGTCATACCTATTTATCAGCGCTGATCAATATATAGTTTTTCTTTTACACGTACATAATATATACCCAAAATACCTTTCGGTTCCAAAGGTAAACGTCACTATGGCGTATAAAAGTTGACTTCTTCTGAATGTACTAAACACCACAGACAAATGATATATGTATACCTTTCTACACTCTTCACTTGTCTATTGCATCACACCGGTATATAATATTTTTAATTTACATAATATTTAATAAAATATTACATTTTTTATCCAACAAACCAATAGTTTAGGCCTAAAAAAAATAATTGCACTCATTTTTAGCTTAAATAATGCGTAATTATAATTTCGCTGTTGGTACTCGTTATAGGTCGCAGGTAAAGTATTCAGAATTACATACGCGAAAAATAAAAGAAATATTAACAAACTGTAGTCTTGTAATATTTATAATAAATGATTGTTACAATAAAGCGCCACGAACGATTTTCACATCCATAAAGTATTAATATAATATTTATACATACTCATTAACCCGTACTAATATTTGTGTATTAATATTGTGCGTAATAGCCGTGTACTATTTAATTAATTATTTGCTATTTACTATTGGACTAAGGTCATTGAAATAATATTTTTTTCAACGTCATATTTCATGGGATTATTTACTCCCCTTAAAAAACAGTTTTTCTTAGTAATTATTAATACTACGACATTTTATTGTATTTTATAATATTCTAACCTTTACTAGAAGATGTGACTAAATAACTCGTGAACGTACTTGTAAATTGTGTTCTTAACACATTACCGTGTACTCGAGTTAAAAATAGTATAATTATATATTATGCGTTTTGCTATAGCAGTATTTTATTGTTTTTAATTTTTTTTTTTTTTTTTTTTTTTTTTTATACGTTCACATCGGTTATATTATCCAATAAATAATAGTGTTGATTATTTACGAGGGTAGAAAGTTCTTAATAGATAATATAATTCTAATAATTTTTTATATGTCCTGGTTGTTGATTTAATTTTACAATTATTATAATTTGAATGTTTTGTTTTTTTTTTCTGTTTTCGTTTTAATATCCGATTTTATTTGATGCGGATGTACGCGGGACTTGTTTGATGGCGCACCAAAATATTATTATGACGACATTGCGTGTGTTTCACTTGTTTTCTGTTTTTCATCACGTCTTAACATATGGTAAGTATACTTGATGACGATTTTTTTACTTTTTTCATTTAATTATTATCATTCGCATGTTGTGTGTGCCTGTTGATTTTTTTTTTTTTTTATCACACCGCTTAGCAGTTAAGTATTAAATTGTAAAGCCTTAATGCGAACACGAGTTAACGTACCTGCACGCTTCGGTGACAACGTAGGAAATTTATTTTTTAAGCAAATTTCGATACGTACAGAATATATTTAAAAAGAACGAAATAAAAAAAACGGAAAGTACTTCACTGTGATGTACCTCTGAGATATATTTTTTATTTTTATTTTATAATTTTTTTTTTTCGTTTCACGGATTTTTGAATCCAAAACCCCGCTTAAAATAAAACGTCTCTGTTTTTTCGTCGAAAATTTCTGAACCGTATAACCATATTATTGGCGTATCCAGGATTTTTTTTTTCTTTTGTAGGGCATGATCAGTTACATATCATGTTACAAACCATGATAACCGGAAAAGAAGTATTAAAAAAAAAAATAAAGTTTAAATCAATAAATGACGTTTTGTGATAAAAATTGCTTATGGAAACACCGTACCTGTGTTTTTTTTATATTATTTAAGAATTCCTAAAATTACTGGGTGGCTAAATCCCCCCCCTTGGATTAGTCACTTCCCCTCATGATACATCACTGTGCCACGTACTTGACTTAACCACTGTGTGTAAACATCGTATTTCATCGTATTATAAATTAACGTTGAAAAAACACACGTACTCTTAATTACTGTGTTTGATATAAAACATATGATCCCCGTCCAATCCTTATCATTTGCATGTACATTGTGGTACCTGTTCGTATCTTCGATCGCATCCAGCTGCGGTGTGTAGTTTTAGTTCTCGTGGTGTATAACTAATAAGAGTATATGTTACTGGTAATGTTAACATTTGGATAATGTCGACATTATCCGTCTAAAGTCGACATTAACCAACTGTTATCATTAGCCGCCATGAATATTATTAAATGTTGGCTAATGTTAACATTAACCGGATAATATGATATTAGCCAAGAACTTTTGGATAATGTCTAACCATAAAAATTTAACTGTTTAATTGAGATCAACCTGACAACAACTATTTATTTCTTAATGAATAATTGGTTTAACTACAAGGCCTTTTTGCTTAGATGACAGTTTTGTTTGACAAGGTCCGCAACATTTTAAGAATATAAATACAACTTGAGTCAAATTTTTGTATTTTTTTTTTTATTTCTGCCATCATTCGATGTTTACCACCATGACCAATATTAAGATGTATCTCATTTAATATGTCGTATGTCATATAATTCATCATTTTTTACGTAATACAGTAAATTAGTACTACCTTTTTCAAGAGGTGCTATAAGTTTCTCTTCTCCTCCGATATTAATAATTTCAAATTTATTCAAATGACAAGATTTATTGTCGCCTTTCAATTCATTAATTAAATTCAAATATTTTTCATTTGACAAATAAAACGAATTATCTTCTCGTTTTTCAGACAACAATTTCTCAAATAAATTATAAAACTCCAGTTTTATTTCCATTTTATTAAAAATGCAATCTAAACACTTAAGAGTTTAACACTAATAACACTGTACTTGCAATCATCACATGTAAAAACTGAAAACAGACTAACAACAGATCGATGCGCGACGTCGTATTTTGTATAATGCATATAAAATTGTATCAAAAAATGTCGTACAATTAAAATAAATATTAAACCCATATATCGATATATTGTTCACTTTATTGGTAAAATAACTGACTAACTTGGTTACAAGTCAAGATAAAATATTATACTCTGGAAGTCCGACGCTTTATTATTATATAGAATGTTAATAAAAACCAGTGATGTAGTGCTAAAAATATAAGTGAGTATACGCCAAATTCTATCATAAATAAAATCTCCATAGTAAAAATTGATGTGGGGGGCTTCGTCCCCCACACCCCCCTTAAAATATCTTAAAAATATAATTTCTTAATCATTAATTATGAACTATACAATATTATTTATTTTTAATGTAATATAATTGAGTGCTCTATTATGATATGGTTTAAATGTTGTGCTTGAAAAAATGTCACACACATTACAATTTACATTTTTATTTTTATTTATAACAACTATAAATTATAAAATATTGTAATAATAATAATAATAATAATTTCATTTATTGCAAAATAATTTTCAAATGATACTTAATACATGACGAATTAAGATTAACGAAGATAATACAATACAATTCACATGAAACACCAGTGTAAAATTGTAAACTGACAAATATTAATATATTTGTAAATTAAATAAAGAAACTAAAGTGAGGTTATACGCATGTACACGACCGTGAACCAACGGACTTGGGTTTTTTTTGTTGGGTACACGCATATTCTGAAAAAATAGAAGTGGGTACACGCCATGTACCCCCGTGTATCCTCCACTACACCACTGATAAAACCTTATAGTCTATTTAATATAAAACTTTTAACATGATCCGGATAGTGTTAATAATTTCTGCTTATAAACGAAAAATTTTACATTTTCTACATTAGCCATAATAGATGGCTAATGTCGACTTTAGCCGGATAATTTCGACATTATCCAAATGTTAACATTACCCGTAACATATATAATGTCATATAATGAAAAAAAATATACGGTTTCAACCGTATGTAATTTCATTAACTTGTTTTATGAAAAAAATATAAAGAGTAAATATTTTTTAGTGTTGAAAACAAAAATGTTTATTTAATTCACGAACTTCAGAATATCGCATTACACTTAATTTTAATGAAGTTTTTCCTGATTCTGATTTCGTTATTGTTTATGATTCTTACCGATCACTTTTTTTTCATTATGACTTCGTTTTTATGTATTATTTTAAAAATTATATACCAACTCTATTAATCCTTGTCTATACATATTTTAAAAATCAATGCTTCGCGTTCATGCGAATAAAACTATAATCATATTTTACTCGTACTAAATTCGTATGTTGGTATTTAAACGTTTGAAACCTACATTTGCATTTACGGAATTTTGTTTTTCTCAGGACAATATATTAGATTATATTTTTCTTTGTTTTGGTGTTCATGATACGTTTTTGTCATTATTAATTGTTTTTTTTTTTTTTTTTTTTTTTTTTTTTTTTTTTTTTTTCATTATTTTATTATTATTTGTTTTATTCGTTTGGTTTTTGTTTTTTCACGTCTTCGTATTGATTACATCATTAATGGTAATACGAATGTTTTATATTTTCTTCAACAGTTACTGCAGCCAATTTGAGGAAAGAAGTGATCAGGAATAAAATACGAGCAATTGGAAAAATGGCAAGAGTTTTCTCCGTTTTGAGGTAATGATAAAAGATTGTTGCTTATATCACCGTGATAACGCCTGATATGTCGGGTTACCCTCGTTCTTGATGATTACAGGGAAGAAAGTGAAAGCGTATTGCAGCTGAAAGGATTAACGCCTACCGGTGCCCTGCCTCTAGGAGCGCTGTCCGGCGGCAAAACATCGCTTAAGAACGGTAAGAAATTTTTGAATAAGGAGGCGAGGGAGAAATGATGGTCCTCTTTTGTTCGGCTTGCCTAACGTGGAACGACATTCTCTTCCAGCGCTGCAAGGTTTCTCGCCCAACCACAAGATCACATCGTTCGCCGAGGCCAAAGGCCTGGACGCGATCAACGAACGGATGCCACCACGCAAAGACACTCCGCCGTCGAACCAGTGCTCGCCGTCGAATGTAGCCGCGACGTCGTCTGCAACGACACCCGCCGTAACGCCGGTGATCGAAGAGAAAACGCCATCCGCGCCGTCGTCGTCGGCCACTCAGAAAACAACATCGTCGGAACAACAACCACCGTTACCGAACACCACTCATTCATGATCACCATCGGTTTAGGTAGAAAACACGTTCAAATTTCAATAATCTTGTGCTGTTCTTGCACACTTCGTGCGGTCCAAAATTAGAATTTTTTTTTTTTAAGATTTCAGATGACCTATCCAGGACCTATCTACTATTATTTCCTTACTATTACAGTCTACAATTTATTCAGTTCAATATCTATACTACGATTATAATAATATATATTCATCACGATGATAATTTTTTTTTTTAACTTAAATATTTGGCACCTCGATAAAAATAATAATAAAGTTCCTGGGGACAGATATGTCAATATATAAATAATATATATAATATATATTTTTTTTTTTTTTGTAAATTATTGTCTTATATTTCTACAGTTTTAATTTGCTGTTTTTTTTTTTTTTTTTTGTTATTTTGTTTCTTTTTTAAAATAATGGTTATTACAAATCTTAAACCTCAGTTTATAAATAAGAACAGTCGATAGCTATTCGACTATATTTGTGCATTGCTTATATTATCAATATCTATGGCATAATATCTTGCTATATCGATCTCTTCATTTTACTGTACACTTTATTCATTATTATGTTCTACATGGAAGTATATTACTTTATTTGAAGTACCTCTTATCATTCTGTGGTCGAAATATCATTTAATTAATGAGTATTTTATATTAATTATTAAAAATAAATGAATAATTCAATTTTTTTTTCAACTAATTTTTTTACCTCCATACGAATCAAATATTTTTGACATGTATCACATCAACACTCTTTTACGTATCAATAATGCAATGTGCAGTAAAGTGTGATGTGTCACATAAGCCTAATATTATGCTAAATATTTTGCCATTAATTTTGTCAAATTTTAAAAATCTAAAATAATACATACACATAATTAATTTAGTATAGGTACATCTTTATTAGGTGTGTGTGTGTGTGTGTATATATATATATATATACATATATGTATATATATGTGTATATGTATATGTATATATATATAATATATGTATATGTATAATATATACATATATTAATATTTATAAATATTTCTTTATTAATACTATTTTGTATATATAATATTTAAATAAAACCATTATATTAATATATCTACAATAAAATGAATTTTATATTTAGGTCCTGCAAATTTAAAAATTTGTCTTCAATTTTTTTTCTTTATAGTTTTAAATAAATAAAATATTGATTAAAAAAACTTGTTAACAATTCACTCAATTTGAATTGCATTATTATCATAGCTATTAGTTTTTAATTATTATAAATAAAAATAGAACATTTTTACTGTTGGACCATTATTTTGGAAAAAATATACTTTTTTTCCTTGTTTTATTTTTATTAATAACAAAACTATTGCTTATTATGCAGAAATAATTAACGCTCATTAATTATATATTTTTTCCACAGTTATTTATTTCAATTTAAATTTGTTATCCATTTTCAACTTTAGTAATATTATCGCACGTGTTATCTGCAGTTGTAAACAAATACAATATAGAAAAAAAAATGATGTCAATCACAACTTTTTCCTATCATTTTAATATCACTAATCTTTTATTATAAGACTGTTAATTTATTCGTACAAAGACTATGAATAAAAAAGTAAACTTATTAATATTATATTTAGCGGATATATAAAAATATATAAAAACAAAAAAAAAAATAAAAAAAAAAACAAGACCCTCTCTATCAAAATGTTTGTAACTTTTTTTCTATTGTGTGACCACCATAAAACTCTTTTATACATAATATAAATAATTTAAGACGAAAAATACCCTGTTAATTCTTCTATGTTTATTTATTTTCAAAAGTTAAATAAAACTTTATACAACTTGATTTTTAGGCGACTTGTTTTTATTAGAACCTTTTAAACATCTATACAAGCATAATACCATATTGTTCAAGTGTTATATTTTACTTAAGAACCTCAAATGTTAATCCATGTAAAGGAACATGATACTTTAATATTAAGTATATCAATGAAGTATAATTGTCTACTGGAACGTATTATATTAATTGTAATAAAATTATATTTCATCTATAATGTATAATGGAAAAAAAAATCTGACTATACCAGGGGTCGAGAACCTTTTGGTAGAAAAGAGCCAAGATAACTTTTTTTTTTATCGTAAGTTTTCGTCACAAATGAGACATTTTGGTTGTCTCATGGTGTTTTGAACGAATGTAAAAGTATTAGTTCACTCACTTCTAAATCCTCTATTTTCCTCTTAAATTTAATGCTTTATAGATATCTTGTCTACAATATTGCTATGTTTTAATACGGTGAAAAGTTTATAAAAATAAATAATAAATATTTGGAAGTCATAAAAAATACAATTTTATTTTATTTTTATTTGAAATAAACATCTTTATTAAGGAATTCAAAAATATTATCACTATAATAACGTATTATATAATTTATATTTTACGAGTCTCGTTATTGATACATTTTCCAAAGAACTACAGATTGCATGTTCCTGGTCCCTAGAATAGGCGAATTTTATGATTGAACTCTTTGAACATTATATGTACACTTATTAATCTGTTATTAAGTAACAATATTCCTAAGAAGCCGCTGAATTCTGGCGGTTCTCAATCATTAATTATTGCGGAATTCTATGGGTATAATACATCAAATAATGTATTTTCAATAAGTACAAGTATTTTTAATTAAAAATTACTAATAAAATTAATATGATAAATTAAATAAAAAAAAAAAAAAGTAACATTAAATATGGTATTATATTGTATCCATGACGAATATCATGGATAAGTATAGTATGTCATATGAAATATACATTTAACATTTCAGTATGGTGAAAGTCGTATAATCACATTGGTTCGACATATTTTGCGTAATTCGTATATATATATATATATATAATAAAAATCTTAACATTGATAACTATTTGATACACACCGCATTAATAGATATGTAAAATTGGATGAACTCGATAGAACATTAATGTTATAGATATCAGACGTTCTAAAAAAATTTAATACGCCGTAAATTCTGTTTACCGCTATTATAGATTTCTTAATTGAATCATGTATATCCGTGTTTAATCTACAGAAAAATTCTTTGAAAATCATAATTAATATAAATACCTAAAGTATATGATCTAGAGCATAGATTCCCAAAGTGTGCACCGTGGCTCCTTAGTGCGTCGCGATGTATGTATAAGGGCGCCCCGCCATCATGAAATACTATCGGGTCTAATATTTTCCTTACGATTAGTCATGCTATGACTTAGAGAAAGGCGCCCTGAAAAAACCTTGGATCAAAAAGGGCGCCTTGAGTCGAAAAAGTTTGGGAAGCACTGATCTAAAGTAAAAAATAAATGCTATATATATATGTACTTATGAAATACATGATTTAAGCCAAGGCCGTAATTGAAAAAAAATTTCGGGGGGGGGGGGGTCTAACATAATTATTTAATACAATTTATAGTTAATAAACTATATTCACCGCTAAAATGTTTCTACTTTTGAAAATTTCGAAGGGTCCGGACCCCTGGACACCCCTCCAGTTACGGCCTTGATTTAAGCCATAACGGTTGTACAGTATACATTGATTAAATATGAAATTAATGTTAGAGCACAAGTGATATATTTAACAGTGATAGAAAATTGTAAACCTCGTTAGCAATCTTGTTTAGGTGAAATGAAAGAGGTTTGAATGTGTGGAAGCTGACGTCAATTTCGTTTAAATACTTACAGTTATATTAAAGTTAATTCGACCCGAGGGCTGTACAGTATGGTAAAAATTCGATGACTTACAATTTAAACCATTTGGCATGGTGAGTATTGTTGAGATTATTGAATGATGTATAATTACAAATACTTTTGATATAAATCGGTGGAGCCGGACATTCATCGTTCTAAACGGGGATGAACTTGGTTGACGAGATCGCTCCAGTGCCGTAACTATACTAGGTATTCTGAGGTCTTTGTGCAAATTGAAAAAATAGTATAATAATTATTATAAAAACAAATTTATTTATTAAATAGTTTTATTTTTTTTTTTATATAATATTCATATACATGAATTTACTTATATGTAATTATGTATTAAATTAATATAAAGGGTTCTGTCCGTTGATATAAATAAATTAAATTAAATAAACATAATATGATTAAAATATGAGAACATAATACAATAACCTAGAAGGATACGGGAAAAGGTATTGGTAAAGATAGTAAATAATATTTGTTTCATTAATTATGTATTGATATTTTCATTAGTGATAGAAACGATTTATAGAAAATATAAATTACTTAAATTCGATTGAAAATCAATGGTGCACCTCATGACTACATTTAAGTAGCCAATCAACTTGGTTTAATATCATTAGCGAAATGCAAGTGCATTATGTACGATAACATCCTAAAAGGATTGTTAGATAATAGAATAGATTATCCGTCCTTACTCTCCTTTATATATTTTAGAGTTTCACAACAAACCTCTCGTGTCCCATAGTTTATAACGAAATTAAATTACGCGTGTCTGTGAATACTGAATTGGCCTTTTTGTCGGGTCCATACATAGTGAAAAATCAAATAAAATACAAGCATAACTTTCAAAATACAGACAGGTGTTAAAAAAGAACTACACAAAATCGATTCTAAGTGGATCTGGCATTAGATTAAAAAAAAACACAAATATTAAGGATTCATCTGATTTAAATATTACCAAAAATTGGAAAAAGAAACAATTTGAGTCGCCCCTTCCCCTAGAAATAAGTCTAAACACGCCCCCTGTCGAACAGAGAACTGAATCCACTTGAATTGTAATGGAAGATCAGTTGGAATAATCGAGATTAGCGGGATGAGGACTTCATATCCTTTGAATTTGCCCTTGATGATCATCGCAATGTTCATCAGTTTCTTGACGGACAATCGCATACCGTTAAACAATTTCGGATGATTCAGATATCGTAATATGGTTATGAACGTTTCCACCTTCAGTTGTAAATTATGCGACGGAGTACCTGGCACATTAAGCGAATTCAAAAATTCCGTCGGATAGTTGGTCACTTCTATTTTCACAATCATAACCGATGTAAATAATATTTAGTACTTACACGTTTTCGAACTTTCAGATATAACCAGGGTTCGTAAGTTCATGCATTTGTATATCAATCTTGCAAAGTTATATTTAATGCTAGGTAACATAGATATCCATTTCAAGGTACCACAGTTAGATATGTGAAATCTTAGTATGCATATATGGCATATTTATGTATACTTCTATTTTATCGAGCATATTATATAACATTATATAAGAATCTATCAAAAATCGAAATGGAAAATATATATAAAATTAAAAATAGAAATTTTATTATCTTTTATTATCTTCTTTATACTAAACCTTAAAATGCGTTTACATTAGAGCTCGCATACGAACGAATGGCGCACGAATACAGGTCCATGTCTCCGGCACCGCCCATTTAAAATTTTGGATTAAAACCCGGAGCATTCGTTTGTGCTCCGTTTGTGCTTGTTTTGTGCAACAAACCCTTTCGTTTGTGCTCAATCCCTTCAAAAGTTATTCGTGATTTACTCTGGGCGGTGCTGGGGACATGCTAGTTGCAAACACTAAAAGTAGGATGATTTAGGGGATTCTGGGTTTCCTCCCCCTTAAAAAATCCTCCCTAGCAACCCACAATACACTAATAATATTCCCCTTAGAATGCAACCCTCAACAAAGACAAACCTCACAAAAACCACGACCCTCCTCTTAAAATACAACCTTCAACACAGACAAATCTAACGATAACCAGTACCCATCCCCTTAAATGTATCCGACAATACATAAAATCCAACAATAAAATTTCACTACAATAATATACACTCTATACAAAACACGATATGTCAAACCAGTTAATACAGATCTTTACAATAAAATATCAAGAAAAATCGTAAATATCTATAACATGAAGAAAAAAAAAACAAGTGTCATAATAATTTCGTGTAGATAGATTCGTCATACACTGCATAAAGGATAACTTAAGTCATTTTACTCAGTGATCACAGTAATGTTCAGGAATTGTTTTTTTTTCCATTATTATAATAACGTACCAGTAAAAACGGGCACATGTAATTCCCCTAAAAACATTTTGCTGCCGTATTACACCAATGTAAATTTCTCTAAAAACATTTTGTTACCATATTACACTAATGTCAATTCTCCTAAAAACATTTTGCTACCGTATAATACTAACGTAAATTCCCCTAATAAAATTAGAACCATTTAGAGTAGCCCAGAAGACACCACGTGGAGGCGGTTCTAGCTAACCTATAAAAATATTCGTATTTTTAATTTCATATATATTTCTTTATTCATATTTTATAATTAGAAAAATATCATACAAATAACCATCATAAATAAACATTTCACGGACCCTTATACTTTTTATTGATTTCATTTTGGCTATGAATTACTGGTATTGAATTAATTGTTGTACTTCTTGATGATTGATAGTTGAAGAAGTCAGTACAATAACTATGTTAGTCCATATTTGAAAACTCACGATAAGTATAAATCGAATTGTTGCCCCAAACGTATAAAAAATATATTAAATATAGATATCAGACAATAAATATTATCTAATACGTTTAAAATCTTGTTGGAATATAGGCAAAACTAGTTTAGGATCTTTTATATAGTACACTTAGAATCATATCCTATACAATACGTGTACAATAAAATAGTTTTATTAGTTTAAGATGACTGGGTCTAACTTCTTTCCCTTCCCAGTCAATCGCATGCAATTATCGTTACTTGAAATATATTATTCGATAATAAATGTATAACATCGTTTGTATTTCGTGTGATATTTTAACATAAAATATTTATTTTTATTTATTAATTAATAAGTATAGGTATGTCAGAAATTCAATTTATTACCAGTGAACGCGATCGTTCATAAATTTTGTATAAAATGTATAAATATTATTTTGAACGTACATTGATTCAAACTAGCGAAAAGAAGTGGTGTTGTTGTGTTAAGAAATGTCCAGCTTTTATAAAAATATTAGAACCACCAATTATAATATCATCAAGTAATAAATATCATAAACACGAATCTTGCGGGTGGTAGTAATGTGAAAACAGTACCCACCCGGTCTTCGGTTCAAAAAAAAAAAAACACGAATCTTACAGTGAACAAATGATGCAGCGTCAACAGCTGTCTGCATCAGTAAAAAGAAAAGCATCTGATAATCCTCACGATAAACCATATTATAAGTTGTGTTGAGTAAGTAGAACCCCCTTATAATTTTCACACTCCATGATATCTTCCTTTTTAAAAACAGGATAGAGGACAGATATTCTCCACGATTCGGGTATTTCCTCTTGTTTATTAATTTATGAAGTTGGTTTAGTAAGTATGGACCACCCTTCTTTAAACATTCTGATGCTATTTCATCTTCACCTGGTGCTTTACCATTCTTAAGCATATTTAATCCTATTTCTACTTCATATTTTGATGTGGTTTCGAGTAGCTGTTCTACTGTCTTTAGCTCGTTTACAGTAATATTAATTATTAACTAATTCAAAAGCTTTGCAAAAATATCTTTGAATTCGCATGCGATTTCTTTATTGCCTGTTTGGAGGGTTCCATCACTTTTTCTCATAATCGTTGGTTTGGGCTTGTATCCATGTCTTACTTCATTTGCTTTTCCAAAAAATATTTTTGGATAGCTATTTCTATTATTTTCTATATTTTGTATGCGTTCTTTTTCCCATAATCTCTTATTTAATCTAATCACCTTTTTTACCTCTCTTTGTGTAAGTGCTAACAATATTTTATTATCTTCATTGGGTTCATGTAGTACTTTAATTTTATTCATAATCAAATTTATATATATAAAAAAAAATGATATAATAATATGAACTTTTTTTTTACATTTTGACTTTTTCATATTTATTAATATATTTGGTGGCTCGCGAGTCTGTTCTCGGTGGCCACCCCTGCCTTATACTAATAGACGGAGCATGGGTATAGTTCCAGCGGTCAGACAAGAGTGCGTTGTTCTACTATTACTCAATTACTACGCACATGCGCAATAGAATGTCAAGTTCGGCGATCGTTTCGCTCACTTTTCAAACTAATTTACTAATTTAATGATTGAAAAAATTGACTATTTATTTTATAATTATAAATTATTGACATTGTATTATACATTTATAATGAAGTAGAAACATAATCATTTTTATTAGAGGATTATTTTTTTGGGGACAACGTTTACGGGATTATTTATTAGGCAAATTGAAATTGATTTTTAAATGTTTTAATAATAATATACTGTATAAATATGAGAATAAACATATTTTATGTCGTCAGAAATGACAACACTGTTATGAGAATAGTCGTGACCACAACACCCAACCCCGCCAAACAGTGATGCTTCGTCTATTACATAGACCTTATACTAATAGACGGAGCAAGAGTGTAGTTCATGTGGTCATGCAAGGCTGCGCTGCTCAACAGGACCCGGTGAACTACGGACACGCGCAGTAGAATTTCAGGTTGTATGTGTTTATGGGCGTTTTTTAAAAATGTATTGTATGATAATAACTGTCGACTGATAACAATTATTTAAAACATCAACAGTCAATACGCTAATATGACTAAAAGGCATGCATTAATTTTAGTGCAATAATTATTTATATTATGTTCACTTGTAAGTTGTAAAATAAGTTTGTATAACTTTGTATATATTTAAAAATAATTTATCGCTGTTAACTTATTTTACTTTGGTTAGGTATAATATATTTATAATGGTTTTTTCTTTAAATTTCATTAGTTTAAATGCTGTCCTTAAAACCAAATACTTGCGCAAAAATTTTATTTCATAAATATATTAATAATGTTTATTTATGATTTGTATATATATAAAAATTAAATTTATTATGTAAATAATTTAAAAATTACTACTTAAAATATGCAGTGAAAATTTAAAAAATATGCATTTATTGGAAAAAAGTTGGAAATAAGTTTGCATACCACAAATCAAATTTATAATGAATCAGATTTATTCTATTTGCTTTCCGAACAAATGTTTTGCAAATTTGAAATTTGTAAATGCATAGTCCCGAGCTCTAATAATTATGTTACATTTTATTATAATAAAATAAAGAAAGAAACATATTTTATGTCGTCAGAAATGACAACACTGCTAAGAGGATTGCTGTGACTGCACCACCCAACCACGCCAACCATGGATACTTCGTCTATAAGTATAAGGTCTATAGTCTATTATAGTAAAAGGTCTATGGGTTTAACCAGTAATTGATAAAATGTTATTCGATATTTATCATTCATTAAAAATGATCGAATAATTGATAAAGATAATAGCAAACTTTAGTTATTTTCATGATTATAGATAGTATCCTATCTATAATCATTGTTATTTTCGATTCAAATTAATTCGTAATTATTTAAAAGTTACTTTTATTTTTTGTTGTTACTACAAAGTAAAATTACAATGTATAACCAGATAAATTCATGTAATTCGAATATTCACATTTCACAAGCTCTTCTATCTCAGCATGTTCAATGTGAGTCTTTGTTTTTCAATGATATTTCACAGGAAATCAATACAGATATGCGCAATAAATTACATGAGTTTATGCAAGTACTACCATACCGTATATTTAAAATGGAATTGGCCAATTTTTTTAAACGTATTGATGACTTGATAAAAGAAGGAGAGCAAAATGGTACAAATACTTCACGGCTTACAAATTTGTCCCAAATGGTTCTAAGTAACTCAAGATCATCAACAAGTTTCAGGACACCATCCACTATGTCGTCAATAAGTTGTAACTGTAACAACACAATTAGACAACCTGAAAGTAATAGTCAGCTTATTCCTTTAAATTCATTAAAGCCACCTGTACACAGCGGTCATAAATCTAATGAAATTCTGCTACCACAAGTAAACCAACCAAACCATGTTTCTCAAGATTCATCTGATGTGTATACCACACTTGTTGAAGTCAGCCATAATAATAATAATACTGCTAAAACTGACGATAATCTTGAACATTTGAATCTACCTGAAACAGTTTTTAAATGTCCATCTGATCCTAAAGATACATATTCAGGTACGACAACTGTGGTTGAGAATAAATCACCTCCAACTTCACAGCAAAATGAAAATATAAGTAATGGTGGAAATTCCATAGATTTGCTATGTGAAGCTGTTGGATTACCTGATAAAAATAAGACAACCATGAGTGATGCTAATGAACATAATGGTAAACTCCTTGAAAAATACTTATCAAAGTGGTCTGTCAACATGAAGATAACCAAATCCAATAAACCTTGTGTACTATTAACTGGTAATGACTTATTATTTTAAGTGTTTTTTTTAGTATTTTTAATTGTTAAATATATTATTTTTAGGCACCTTATTAAAAGCAGATCAATCTACCGTTGAAGTAGAACATCACAATGCTGATTTTATAATATGTCGAAAAGAAAAAGATTTATTAAAGACAAATAATGGTTTATATCGTTTACTAGGCGAAATCATTGGAGGATCACCAGATGAATTATACGAAGAATGTTTATCCAAAAATGGTTTCCCGGCGAAATGGAAAATGTTGTTAGATAAGTGTTCTTGGGTTGATGATGAAGTCTCTGGTAAAAGTAAAACTAAGTATGTTACATTTAATGAAAAATCACCATTGCTTGCATCAACACCGAAAAGACCTAAAAAACAGCCTGTGATGTATGAAACTCCTACTCAAATTTTAAAGAAGAAGTTACATCAAAATATGCAAAAAGAAACAAAGAGCCGAACACTAAAAGAGATTGATGATTCCATTAAAGTAACAAAAAAAAGGCGTTCTGGTTCAAAAGAGCAGGTATAATTTATTATGATAATTCAATAATGTTGACATTATATTATGTGTATCAAATGTATCTACTAATAGTTCTACAGTTTTATTTAATTGATGGAGTGTATAGTTAATTTTTTGAGTATAGAGATTAAAATAACTATTCAATTAGAATTCATTAAAATATTCTGTACACTATTCACAATTAAGGTATAAATAATTAAGCTACATATTAAAATTAAATTTTATATTTATAAAAAATGGTATATATTATTTATAGATCCAAGACTATCTTATTAGAGCATAACATTTTGAAATGTATTAAAGTCAAGTATATTTAGGATTGAGTGATCTATGTTCTTCAGCACCCCATTCCTATAATTTATTTATTCCAATTTGAATATCTTTAAAATTAATTCTGAAATTGGTATTAGCTAAAATATTTTAAATGTTTTAGACATAGTGTGAACTCTTCTACATCATTAGTCACTAAATTCATTCTATTCATGGGTCTTCAAAAACATATATATATTTATCTTTAAAATCTTAATTTAAATTGTTCTTAGATAAGTCATGGATTTAGGTTTTTAATCTCATTCCTTGTATAAATTCTAATTTTTTTTTATGAAAATTTTCTTTAAACATGTTTGAAGAAAATATTTTATTATTATCTTAGCTTAAGTTTATGTATATTAATCAATTTCCATATCTAAAAAGGGAAATTAATATTATTTGGGAAGTATTTAAAATTTGTGATTACTAAAATATAATTTTAAATTTGTAGGCTGGCAAATTATTGAAACAAAAATCACCTATCAAAACGCCTCAATTTATGAGTAGTGCTAACAGTTCTAAAAGTTCCACCAAAAAAAGTATCCTACAAAAGTCTTTGCTTAAACTGTCAATAAATTCTACCAAAAGCAGTGGAAAACAAACTCCACTTTCTGAAAGAAATGAAAAAACTAAAAATAAAATAAAACAAGTCAAAACTAAGTCTATCAAAAATATTAAAACCGTGAAACCTTTAAGCCACAGTGAATTGAAAAAGAATATTGATAATTCCAGAATTTTAAAAGAACAAGATGCAAAAATACTCAAAAATATAAAACACTCACATAGTCCTGGATCTGGGATTTTTGGTGATATCAACGTTGATAGTTTTGAAGACTCTAACGTGAATATGAACGTTATGTTGTCTGCTGGCAAATTAAATATGGTATCAGAATCTGAAAAATCGAGATGTGAAACACCACCATTGTTTGATCTTCAATGGAACTCAGGAACCAAGTCTCTAATCATGAGTGAGTCACTAACACCACTCGACAAGTTAGTCGAAACCAAAGCTGTAAAACGTGTAAAGCTACCCAAAATAACTGTAGACGAAGAAATCAAGAAAATGAAGAGAAATAATAAATAACTTGATTTTAATACCGTCTCCGAGAAAATGAATAAGTTGGTACAGTTTGGAAGACAAGGTAATGCATCTTAATTTATATATTTATAATAATTAATGAAAATAAATCTTACATATTTTATTGATCTTCGGTTTTTTTTATTCTTATTATTTGGTTGTTGTAGCTTTTCCCATCACCTGTTTTTTAAATAGTTGCTAAATGATAATATAGTTTTATTGTAATTTTACATATCTTCAAATCAATATGAATTATCTATGTATATTTAGTAATATTTTTATAATAAGATGCATTGATATGTTAGAAAAAAAATGTCAGGAAGAAAATTTACCGGGTATTTGGTGACTCAGAACTTCTACATTTCTTAGAGTGAGTGAATATTTTTTAATACTACTAATTGTGAATAGTGTACAAGATGTATGTGTAATAGAGGTTGGTTGGTCACGGCTGAACGAATCAAAATGAACGAGTCAATCGAATGGCCGAATCGCAACTGAATGATGTACTCGGGCATAAATCTGTCAAATAACTGAATGATGTAATTGGTCCAATCAATCTTTAGGACTTGACGGTTTTAAATTAATATTTTCTTTCAATCCTGATAGGACTAATAGTATATTGTGACTGACTTAAACCAAATTAAAATTTTGATTTTTCGTACATATGGTAACACTCAGTGACGTATATAGAAACTGTTTTCAGGAGGGGCTACTATAGACAGATTTAAATTACCATTGCTATCTAAGAATTACTAAAAAACACAGTAGGTACTTATCTACATTTAATTTACAAAATGTCCCAAAACGATTTGACGTTGGGCGCAAATTCTAAATAAGCATAAAGCACCATTAAAATATAACATACGTTTAAAATAATTTTTAAGTTTTTCAAAACATTTCGGGGGGGGCTGTAGCCCCCTAGGCACACCCCTATATACGTCCCTGGTAACACTGTCTACGGCTCATTTTCTTTTTACTTGTTCGCGCTTTAGTATATTCTGTACTTGATGGTTTAACTACAACATTTTAGTGGAGTGGTTGGTGTGAACCACTCATAAAAATGACATACAGAAGCAGGCCCCCACAAATGGGAGGGAGGATGTCAGTGAGGTCTATGGTCCCGGGGCTCGTACAAATAACATAATTTATTACGTCTTTTACTATATTATTTATTTATTGTTGTTTCAACCTTAAACATTTATTATTATTATAACGATCGGTGTAGTGACACGTAAAATGTATGCTATATATATTGATACAAACGAATACAAGTAGTTCTATGAACAAATATTGCTTATGAGATATTAATAGCACGATGGGTTAGATAACCGATCGGTACTTCAGTAATCAAAGAACATATAATTACAGAAAATTGGGGAAATCTATCCTAAAAAAAATAATCTCCGTGTGAAGAACATCGACATTGATCTCACAGTCGTAATCGACATTATTTTTTCGGATCGCTGGTCGAAAGTTGCTTTATTTCTTTGATATCGGTTGCCGCTTGGTGTGCTTGAGAGTCCTCCTGCTCTCTGAGTGAAATCGGGTGGTTATATTCTTTCAATTCCGTTAAAACGCTGAGCATATCGACAGCATCCGCGTCGTGGTACTTTTTGTCGAACCGCTCTTCTGAGACCACGGATTTGGCCATCATATCGGATGTGCTGAATATGACTCGGTCCGGTGTTGGTGCAAGTTTAACCATGTCAACTTTACTTATCTGGCCACTCGCACGATCAAGTAGAAGCGACATCATCGACTGATCGTAGGGTTGTTTAGTTGATTTCAAGGCATTCATGAAATCAGTCATGTCTTTATTAAACTGAACAAATGAATTTTTTCCTGCTATCAATTTATCTACTTCATTTTGTAGTCTATTTATTCGCGTCAATGGGCCTTACTCAGGCGTACGTCGGACGCTGGGTCCTCCGGACCGTCATGAGAATAATAATAATAATAATACTAAAGATATTATATGGTTGATATGTACAAAATTATATTAACTAAGCAACAAGTATACAAATGATTGTTATGAGAGCGCATATACGAGCCAATATATAATGAGGGAGACGGGGAACACCGCTCTGAGGGCCGGAACTGGCGATGGATGGCGATTGATGAGCACTGACCCTGCCGTGCGGAGCTGCTGCTGTAAGTCCGGAACTTGAACCACGTGGTTGCCCGTACAGCCGCAAACTGGGTGATGGCCGGAGCTGGCGATTATTGAGCTGCGTGAATATTGTTCGTATATGCTCGACCACAATGGTATCGAGAATAACGGCCAGTTCTAGCAACTGGAAGAGCCAATCGAGCAATAGGCAAAAGTAAAGATGGCGATCACATACGAGCGAGTATGGTGATACAAAGCATGTACACGGGAACAAAACAATAGCACGTCGAACATCGTGTGTGTTATGCTTCAGAGAGAAAAACAGAACAGACAACGATTAAAAACGACCGTTAGCGGCGGTGCACGCGTCGTCGACCCGACCAGGGCGACGGCAATGCATTTTCGCCAACTTCGTTGGTGACGGAGCGCGGTCACTTTCTTACCCAGGTCCAAGACCAGGGGCAATTCAAAATACGCAAAATGATTGAACACCATTGAAGTGTAAAATTTGAAGCTTGCAGCTGGACAAATCGGCTAAACAAAATCGTATAACATAATATATATTAAATACTAGTGAATATAATTGATTTTTGATCTTTGTTTTGATACAGGTACCTTTCGTGTTTTTCAATTTATATTCATTTACTTCATTTTGATGACGCAGAACATTAATTTTTCGTGTCGTCATAATTTTTTCAACATCTAAGTTGACTAAATATAAGTTATTTACATTAGTAATTATTAATATCTACTTTATTCATATTGAAAAGATTTAAAATGTATACTATAAAAAATAACCTTTCATCTTAATCATTTTCGACGATAAATTAACAATTAAAGCCTTCTGGGCTTCAATTATTGACATTATTGACACTCCAAGAAAGAAAAAATTACAAAAAATAATAACAAGGAAACAACAACAAATTAATAGCAAAAACACTCATATTTTTAAATTAAAAAAAAAAAAAAATTCTTTAAAAACTCGTAATTGTTTAAATAATTTAATAATGTCACATAAATTTCCGTCAACCAACTCAAGAACAATTGTCACGATGCAATTTAAAAACAAACGCAATCCATGGACCCCCGAGGAAAGAAAAGTAGCACTTACAATGTTTTATAAGTCTCCTTCGTCGTATAATTTTGTAAGGTTACAAAACTTAAACTTACCAGGTCCATCAACTGTCCGCGGTTGGATTGGCAGATCCAAATTCTTACCGGGTATCAATAGGTCATTTTTTGCACACTTAAAACACAAATTTGAATTTAAAGAATATAAAGAAAAGGCTTGCACTGTTGTATCGATGAAATTTCTATAAAAGAATTTCTAAAATATTCAAAGAACTTTGACTTTATAGAAGGATTTGAAGATTTGGGTAAATACGGAAGGAGTTGTAATATTGCAAACAGTTGCTTGGTATTTATGGCCAGAAGTATTTATTGTTCCTGGAAAATTCCAGTAGCCTATTTTGTTACTCATTCATCAATTAAACATGGCATTTTAAAGTCCCTTATTGTTGATGTCCTGCAAGAACTGTTTAATGTAAGTCTTTATCCCAAAATTATTATTTTCGATCAAGGGACGAATAACCAAAGCGCATTTAAATCACTAAATGTCTCAAAAGAAAAACCGTACTTTTATGTAGATGAACACAAAGTTTTTGCTTTATTTGACACACCTCATCTACTTAAAAGTGTCAGAAATAATTTACTTGGAAATACTTTTAAGAAAGGTGATAAAATAATAGCGTTTAGCGATATACTTTCGGTTTACAATATAGATTTCAAGAACAAAAAAAGTAGAGCTTTACTGAAAATAACGGATGTTCATTTAAAACCAAACTCATTTCAAAAAATGAGTGTAAAATTAGCTGCTAATTTTGCCGATGGCTTCGGCTATACGAACATGTATTTCTACTAGTGAATTAAAAAGTAATACTACCTCTGACACTGCGGATTTTATAGATTTTATGGACAAATTGTTTGACTGCTTAAATAGTAGAAATTTATTTTCCAAAAATCCATACAATTGCGTTTTAACGGATTTTGTAGTCAAATAATTTCTATTGGACGCAGTGAATTATTTTAATGATATTGTTAAGGTTAACTATAAAGGCAAAGAGACTCGTCCTCCATGTTTTAATGGATTTACTCAAACAATTAACGGTGTATTAAGTTTTTTGATGACTAAATAAAAAATAATGGTATAACGTTCTTAATAACAAATAGGCTAAATCAAGACGTTCTGGAAAATCTTTTTTCAATATTTCGCCAAAAAGGAGGATATAACAGAAACCCTACGGTAAGAAAAATTCGAACCTCGTTTAGAAGTACGTGTGTATTTTCTTTAATAGCCTCAAAAAGCAGTAACTGTGAGATCAGCCAAGTAGATGATTCTATTATCGTACAAGATGTTATAACCAGTGATAGAGCCATTAAACGAAGTCGTATCAGATACATTTTCAGACACGTCTTCTAATTGTTCATATTCATCGTCATCAACAAAATCAGTGCCTAACCTAGATATAATAATACCCAGTGGCGTAGTTACGGGGAGGGTGTAAGGGGTTTCCACCCCCCCACAGATTTTTTTTTAATGATATTTGATTATTATTTATTAATATTTATATATTATAGTAAAATATTTTGATTTTACTATGATTAGGTATATATTAAAAATTGAATAACAAAATAATTTTCATTAATACGGGACATAATAACACTATTTTAAATGTAATATTATTATATATGATCTCGTTTTAAGATATACTATGAACACTTAAAAACTTACTCTTAAACACCCCCCCCCCTCAGAAAAGAATTGTATCTACGCTACTGATAATACCAAATTATATTACACTTGAAAATTGCTCTGTTACATATTTTTCTGGGTACTTGGCTCACAAATGTATTAAGAAATTTAACTGCAATGATTGCATTGAATATTTAACAACAAAAAGAGATTTAAATGATAAAAATCAATTACTTTTAGTACATAAAGATTATTCTGCCATTGATAGAGATACAGGACTTCAGGCGCCATCAGATAAATTAAAAAATATTATAAATCGCGCTTTAGAAATATTTGAAAAAATTCAACATACAAAAAAATTAAAATACAAATTTTTAGCCAATTATAAAATAGACGAATTGATATCTAGGTGGATAAATGAAGAACATATATGTGCAGAACATCATATTTTTATACTAGAAAAATTCTTGCTTTGTAAAATTTTTAAAAAATTAAAATTATTTTCAACTACAACTCACCAATCTAAAATAGCAAAGTTAAAAATTTTAAATTACATTTAAAACACTTCCTTACTTACATAATATTTAATGCATTTTGCCAACTATTTATAATTTGTTTTAATAATATGTTGATGTTTAGGTTAATTTATAAATTATTAAAATATTGTAGTTTTTGTAAGATTTCCTGAAATTATGTAACATCTTGTGTCCTTTTTTTACCAGTCCGTGCATGAACAGATTTCAATTAGCGGCGAAAACCATTCGCCGCGGAACTGCGACAGTTGGACAGTATTGCAATAATATAATAAATAATGATTATAGACACTATACTACTAGAGCAGCGGTTCTCAACCTTTTTTCATTCACGCACCCCTTGACCACTCACTACTACTTTACGGACCCCCAAATGCCAATTTGTCATATATTTTTACATAAGATAGATATGAATTTACGAAATAAGTTTAATAATGAAAAATTTGATTTATTTTGATCAACATGCGCAATACATTGTATGTATAAAAATAAATAATAAAAAATAATATTGAGTTAAAAATGTAATTTTAATGTGATCCTTCAGCTTGTTTGCTAGCACTTAACTTTTTGAAATCTGGCTCCACGGATGATAAATAAACTCGTAAGTCTGAACTCACCGAGAGTCTATTGCGGTACTTATTTTTAATAAATGTGTATGACGAAAAGGCTCTTTCCACTAATACAAAGCTCGTAAACGGTAGCAAAACATTGAATGCTTTGTAAGAAAGCTCAGGATATTCGTCTTTCACATTAGCCCAAAAGGTGATCAGTGATTTTTTTTTCAAGAAATTCTGCTTGGAGTGAAGAGTCCGTTTTCAGTTCAATCAATTTTTCTTTTTCACGGGCTGATAAAACTGCAGATTTGAAATAAATTTCACTGAAAGGGAACATAATCCAGTGGTCTTCTTTTCCACATTTAGGGAAGTATTTTGCAAAAACTGTTTTAAGCTCATTTAAATGTTGAACAATTTGGTGTTTGATGCCTTGTGATAAGTTCATATCAGTTTCACTGAGAAAATCATGCAGTGCTTCAAAAATTTCTGGTTGGTTATTCTCAATACACGTTTTCCAGTATTATACTCTTATTATACACTTATACTAAATCGTATAAGTTACGAAAAACCTATTTACAACATTTACAATATTTCACTACTAGTGTCACAAATAATTTCAATTAATTACAACAAATTTCAATTTTTCCGCCATTACGCTTTTTTTTCCGGGGAACCCCTAATACCTACTCGCGGACCCCTAGGGGTCCGCGGACCCCCGGTTGAGAACCGCTGTACTAGAGTATGTACATTGTTAATAAACGAATTTCCCCACTACCGACGCCTAACCACTCATCCCGCTTCCAACTATGATTAGGGACCGTCCTAGACATCTGGTCGCCTGCAGCGCTCCATAGCGGCTGACGTCTTATAATTGGTTACCATATTTTTGTACAGCGCCGCTTATTTGTGTATTATAAAATCAATGATTATACATAAACATCATATTTATAATCTGCCATCTAATACACTGACGCCTTAAGTACAATTTTTAATTTGTAAGTCGATCGATAAACGTGTTCCCCAAATGTCAGTTGGAAAATTAATTTCACGGGCTATAGTAGAAGTAATTTAGAAGAAACGGTATAAAAAAAAAATAATCTATTAGAATGGTAATCTATAAAAATAATAAAAGTAAATAAATCCTTTAATAATTTATTATGAGCATCTTGTTATTTTTTAAAAATGTAACAAGCTAAAAATTATGAAAAGAATAAAAAATATATAAAATATACAAATCAAAATAATATAGTTAATTACTTATGAGAATCTTGGAAACATTCTTAACAAAAATCTGGATTTTTTCACATGTATTGCAATATAAAATAGTAGTTTTACAAATTGTTTGTGCAACTGCTCTTCTTTTTTCACTAATCAGTTTTTCATAACAATTCACACTCACACCTATACCTTTTCTTTTAATTACCTTGTTCTTATTTTTCATCTGTTTCAATTAATTTATGATTTCTAGGAGACGGTAAAATTAAATTCAAATGTTCTATAAATTACTGTCTAAAATTTGAGATCTGACGTTTATTTTCAATTAATGCTTTATAAATTATTAATGAATTTTCCATAGCTATACCCAATAAAAGTTGAAATGCTACTTCATGATATACAGTAAGGTTATATTTTCTTAAAATTAAATGAAATTTAATAAGGGAGTTAGGGCTCAAAAAAACTTGAACACAACATTTTATCACTTGTGTACCGTGAAAGAACTCGAGTTCTCTCATCTTAATTATTATATATTCATTAAACTTATGTAAGTCCAGTAATTTTTTTATATAAGACATTTTTTGTACCATTAACCGTTAATGAAATATTGATTTGGTACAGGAGTGAAGAAACTGAAATATTCGTACGGTACACAAAAGTAAACATAAAGAAAAAAAACTCTCATGGTAATCAACGTGTTAAAACTTATACAGTACAAATATTTATAGCATTTATATTATTTAACTTTCCGAAAAAAATGTTTTATTATAAATGAATATTTATTGGACGTATATAATCGGCATTGTGAGTTAGAGTTAGAGGGCCGTAAAGTATCAAAGTAGATAAAATATTTAAAATGCACAACACATAAATAACGATTTCACAATTTTATGATCATAAGTAAAGAGTAAGGTCATATGAAATTTTGAAATGTTTGTGGTTTTTAGGAATTATGATACGAATATTTCTGTGATTAGGTTAAAAATGTAAACATTGGCTGCTTAGTATATGACGGATTTGCTTTAATGATAATAAATATCGAGTCAGCTATCTAGTTGTTTTATTGTTTTCTGTGGCCGCACCGCGCGGGAATATTTAACAGTGTGACTAGCATCGGGGAAAATATAATAATGAAGTTTACTCAACTGTTGCACATTCAATTGTAACCGTCGCCGGTTCATTTGCAATTTGTCGGTTGTCTGTTTATCCTGCCTTGTTGCAATATGTACTAATCTATGCCTTGTAGTATCTATTCAATAATATTTATTTTCCCGCTTTTCTCTTTATCCGTTTTATAATGAATAATTAGTATTGTATATTTGTATACAACTTCCGAGACTCCGACTGTGTACGTATTATTATTTCCGTTTCTAGTACAAATCGTAATTGTATTGTTATTATTGTTCGTCACACGACAAACTAATCTGGACACTTTTAAACTGTGGTGGTCACACCACGAGCACAAATGGTAGTGGACACTATTCTTGTTGGTACTGAACCTTGTCGGAGATCGTTGTTCGGCTGAAACGTTGCAATTATAATCAACAACCGTAAGACATTTTTATCTACTTATTCATAAAAGGTCTATTGATCTTTGTTTGGTAATCTGTTTACCGAACATTATACCTACCTAATTATTAACCTTATACATAATCATTAAACTAACCGTTTTAAAATTCGTTGTTAATTATTTTAAAACTATTTTTATTTGTTTATAGTAACTCTTTAGAAAAATCACAATGTATAACCAAACAAGATCATCTAATTCAGGTTTTAAAATGCCACAAGCACCTCAACCGCAGCGTGTTCAATCCGAGTCTTTGCTTTTCAATGACATTTCAGAGGAAATCAACGCAGATATGCGTAATCAATTGCATGACTTTTTGCAAGTACTACCATACCGTATATTTAAAATGGAATTGGACAATTTTTATAAACGTATTAATCGTTTGAAGCAAGAAGGGCAGCAAAATGGCACAAATATTTCACGGCTTACAAATTGTTCCCAAATGGTTCTGAGTAATTCAAGGCCATCAACAAGTTTCAGGGCACCATCCACTATGTCATTAACAAGTTGTATCCGTAACAATACAATTAGACAACCTGAAAGTAATTTTCAACATAATACTTTAAATCCATTTAAGCCACTTGTACACGTTGCTCATAAATCTAATGAAGTACTACTACCACATGCAAACCAATCAAACTATGTTTCTCAAGGTTCATCTAATATGTATACTACAATTGTTGAAGTTAGCCATAATAATAATGATACAGCTGAAACTGACGATAATCGTGAACATTTGAATCCACCTGAAACTGTTTTTAAATGTCCATCTAATCCAAAAGATGCATATTCAGATATGACAATTGTGGTTGAAAATAAATCACCTTCTGCTTCACAACAAAATGAAAATATAAATAATGATAGTAATTCCATAGATTCTCTTCTTAAAGCTGTTGGATTTAAAATAGATGTTGGATTACCTGATGAAAATAAGACAACCGGGAGTAATGCTAATGAAAATAATAGTAAACTCCTTGAAAAATATCTATCAAAGTGGTCTATCAACATGAAGATAATCAAATCCAAAAAACCTTGTGTATTATTAACCGGTAATGACTTATTATTTTAATTGTTTTCTTTAGTATTTTTTATGGTTAATAATTTAACCATAAATAATTTAAATTAATAATATATTTATTATTTTTAGGCACTTTATTGGAAGCGGATCGATTAACTATAACAGAAGAGAAGCATAATGCTGGTGTTATAATAAGTCGAAAAGAAAAAGATTTAGTAAAGACAAATAATGGCTTATATCGTTTACTAGGAAAAATAATTGGTGGATCTCCAAATGAATTATACCAAGAATGTTTATCCAATGATGGTGTTCCAATGAGATGGAGAAAAATTATAAGTAAACACTCTGATGTTAATAAAAACCCCAAAAGAATTTTAAATCTTTCATTGAACTCTCCTGCTGCACCAATTATATCAATAAAACCACCAAAGAAGACTGTAAATCTTGATATGAGTATGACAAGAGCCGGTAAAATTTATAGCCACAATATAATACCTCATAGAAAAAGAAAAAATCCTGATGATGAAGTCTCTTGTAAAAGTAAAACTAAGTATGCTGCATTTAATGAAAAATCACCATTGCTTGCATCAACACCTAAAAGACCTAAAAAACAGCCTGTGATGTATGAAACTCCTACTCAAATTTTAAAGAAGAAGTTACATCAAAATATACAAAAAGAAACAAAGAGCCGAACACTAAAAGAGATTGATGATTCCATTAAAGTAACAAAAAAAAGGCGTTCTGGTTCAAAAGAGCAGGCTGGCAAATTATTGAAACAAAAATCACCTATCAAAACGCCTCAATTTATGAGTAGTGCTAACAGTTCTAAAAGTTCCACCAAAAAAAGTATCCTACAACAATCATCGCTTAAACTGTCAATAAATTCTACCAAAAGCAGTGGAAAACAAACTCCACTATCTGAAAGAAATGAAAAAACTAAAAATAAAATAAAACCAAATGTCAAAACCAAGTCTACCAAAATTATCGAAACTGTTAAACCTTTAAGCCACAGTGAATTAAAAAAGAATGTTGATAATTCCAAAAATTTTAAAGGCGAAGTTGCAGAAATACAGAAAAAAGTAAAACGCCCAAATAGTCCTGTATCTGGGATTTTTGGTGATATCAACTTTGATAGTTTTGACAACTCTAACATGACTATGAACGTTATGTTGTCTCCTGGCAAATTAAGTGTGGTATCAGGATCTGAAAAATCTAGGTGCGAAACACCACCATTGTTTGGTCTTCAATGGAACTCAGGAACCAAGTCTCTAGTCGTGAGTGAGCCACCAACACCACTTGGTAAGTTAGTCGAAGCCAAAGCTTTAAAACGTGTAAAACCACCCAAAATAACTGTAGATGAAGAAATCAAGAAAATTAAGAGAAATAATAAATCACTTGATTTTAAAACCATAACCAAGGAAATGAATATGTTGTTACAGTTTGGTAGACAAGATAATGAATATTAATTAATATATTAATAATTATTAATTAAGATTAATCTTACATATTTTATTGATCTTAGATTTTTTTTCATTCTTATTATTTGATTGTTGTTGTTTTTCCCATCACCAGTTATTTAAATAGTTGCTAAATGGTAATATAGTTTTGTTGTAATTTTACAAATCTTCAAATTAATCTAAATTACATTTTTATAAAACAATACTTACATAATGTAATAATTATATAATTAAATAATATTGATAATGCTAAAGTTCAGTAAATAATATAAAAATAGACCATTTATTTTAACTGACCGTATTGTTTTTGTAAAAATTTCTTCAAGATTTTTTAATATTTTCATACATTTTAAACAAGCTACTATTTCAATGTTAAAAATGTTAATAAAAAATTGGTAAAATTATTTTTGTATACATTGTAAAAAACTTAACTGTGTTGATTTATTGTATATTTGTAATTATTTTTGTATTATATAAATTAAAAAATGTATTTTTATAATTAAATTATTTTGTTCAATAAGTAAACAATTATATTTTTGATAGAGTGATATTATATATACTTGACACACAATAATTACAAGTACAATTTTGAAGGCTAATTTATTATAACAAGTATATTTAAATATTATATATTTTTAAAACCAATAAATTAGTTGTAAAAATTTTAAAAATTGGAAATGATAAAAAACAATGCAGTCTTTTATTACGAGCAGTAATATTTTATTTATTAATTTAGTTTGTGTTTTATTTATAACCATGTTGTTTGTATGGTTTTGCTATATTTAAATGTGTAACAATAAATTATAGTTTTAATTTTTAATAATAAATTAAAGCATTCATTAATGTAATTGTTTTTTGTAATGAAAATTTACTTATCATTTTATATATATGTATATATTATTTCTGTTTTAAGTGTTGGTTCTTATTCGTAATTGTATATTTTATTAGTGCTGTTTACTTGACTAACTATAAATAATAATTAATTAAGATTTGTTAAACATTCTAAGTGTAATTTTTTTTGTGCACTCCACATACCTATTACTAATTTTGTTGGTATTCATTCTTGACTTAAACAATTACATTGTAGGTATCTAAATAATTATATTTAAAAAAAAATATTGTTTTGTGAAATCATTTCAAGATGTTTGAATTGTATTGCTACTCTAACCCAATTGATAAGACAGTCTACATCAGCGGTTCCCAAACTTTTTTCGCGCTGCCTTTTTTTTTGGACTCAATTTAGCCACGGTTCCCTGCTGTGAATAGCATGAAAGACAGAACAAAAAAATAATCATTGATTACCAATTTTACTAATTATATTCAAATTTAATTTTATTATAAATTAATGAATTTTTAAACTTAAAAAATAAATACAAATGATTGTTATTATTATTATAATTATTACATAAAAATATTATAAGATTAAAATGAGAATGTCCGAATATACAATAGAAGATATTTTATTATTTTATTATTTATTAGTTATTACGAAAAAAATTCTATACATTTTAAACTATTTGTTATGAATTGATAGTCCACGGTGTCCTTAGAAAGTGCACAGTTTGGAATCCACTGAACTACATAATAGATAATTTTATAAATTGAATAACACGTTTCTACCAGTATTATCTTACTAATTGGATTTTTGTCAAGTGTAAAAGTTTGATAGAGAAAAGATAAGTTTGAAGTTAAAGATTACGATTGACAATATTTGTTTCAGAGAAAATTTTTTATTGATCAACATTAATAGTTAACTTATTCATAAATCTTAAACATATTAACGATGACTAGGAAATATATGAGCCTATGAATAAACAAGGGTTTAAATAAAATAATCAAAAATTATATGACTAATGTTAAACCATCTCGATTTAAAGACTTAAATTATTGTTAAAACATTTTAATAAGTGATTGAAACAATCACAAATAGGTTTCTAAAAATGTATTTAGTATAATGTATCCATAGTGCTGAAACAAATGGTTGTATTGATGAGGATGTTCTTATCAATTTTAATCTTGAGATTTTTAAATACACTGGTTGATGACCGGGATGCTAAGTTTGTTTTTGGTTTGCTGTAATGTTTTAGAAGTAAATTTTATAAATTAATATTAAAATAATATACCTGTATAATATACTAAAATAATAATATATTAAATAATATATTTATATTTTAACAATAATAACATAATACATTTTATATTGCTGGTGGTTGGACAAAAGCATTTATAATCCGTAAAAGATATCGTCATTTTTGACATTAGTGATTCCTTTATTTTTATCTATAATTTGTATTACTCTTTTCACAAAATTTGCAAACAAAGGAAATGTAATAAGTATACCTTGTAAGTATAAGTATACCTACCAAATGTTTGTCTAAACAATTTTTTTAATTTCAATACCGTTAAATTGGTAAGTTTGGATAAATGAAAAAAATTGGATGTACACAAATTGTATTGACTTTGTAAACTTCTACCTGATGATGAATTTTTTAATTTGAAACCGGTCATACATACATTACAAACATAATAATACTCCAGGCTACGCTTTATTTAGTTATATCTATACCTAAACTATTTACTCATATTTTAATTTTTTTAGACTTCTAAAATGGTCATCGTATCATTTGGTATGTACTGAAGCGTTTAGTTTCCATTTAAACTTACACCCTATTTCAATAAATATCAATTTAGGTCAATAATTACCTTTTTTTTTTCGCTTATAGAAAATGTATGATATTTTTTGACATGTATGGAATTTTACTTTTTACTTGGAACTAAAAAATGATGACTATATTAGGGTTACCATATTGTATTTGACGAAAACCGGGACAATTTTTTTTTTCATTTTTTTTTTCGATGACCTAACTTTTTATTGGTCATTTAATTATACAGATACAATTATTGCAAAAATATATTTATATATTAATTATTTACTACTGCGACGTCCCCTTCCGGGATAGAAAGTCTGAAATTAACATTGTTTATAGTATGACTACTCTACTACTCTACGTTACAGTTCTAAACTAATGTGATTAGCTCATTACAACTGACAAAATATTAATTAATGGTCGATTCCTTTAGCGATAACTACAACTATTATTGTTATATTGTTATATGTTATTATGTGGAAACGAAAATACGAAGAACGTATTCCACAAAAAAAAAATAGTCACTTAGTCGGGAGAATAATTAAAAACAGATTTCGTCAGTCAATTATTCAACATTTTATTTTATCATGACAATAATATTATGGTTTTTTGAACTAGACTTTAATAAAATAAAAACACATTATTAAAGAATCATTCCGGGACAATTGGCTTTCCCGTAACAAATCATCGGGACACCGGGACGCCATACTCAAAATCGTTACTGTCCCGGCCAAACCGGGACGTATGGCAACCCTAGACTATATACTTATAAGTATTTAATGCACAAAAAGAAAATTACCTATATGTTTCATTATTATTTTTATTATAATTATTATAGTTTACTTGAATGATGGTTGGTGTTACTTCGAGTAAATTATGATCAATATTGAACTCTATGTTGGTAACTTTTAATTTAAAATCACTTTTTACGTTTTTATTTCTATATTTATTTTTTGTGTACAATAAGTGAGAATATTTATTTTAGCACATGTATGTTAGCACAAAAAATATTAGACATTTTAAAGCTTGCAATGATAACGCTAAGTATTCTTTTTACAAATCCAGCCAAATATTTGAGATCTTTTTGGTTTTGAAAGTAGTTTTTAAAGCAGAATCACTGGTTAGGTTAATGAATGATTCTTTTACTAAAATAACATAAGGGTTTTTGATCCGTTTCATTTCTGAGTTACACTCAGAGAAATATTGTGGTAAATATAAGATGTTAGTGATTATAGGTGTTCCGAAATGTCTGTAATTATATTTTAATTCGGCTGAATTTCACTATCTTCTCAAAATTTGTTTAGTGTCTCAAATATTGAAAAAATGATTCTTGGATACTTACGAAATAAATAAATCCAAATTTATCATTAGTATATAATACGTTTGTGTTTGAGCCTTGCAGACTTATATTTAGAAAATTCAAACGGTCAAATATATTAGCCATTTACTCTAGTCTTGACAGCTATTCGTCATCGCAAAACAATTTGGACTTTTCTTTATTATTATCAGTTAGAAGTCATTCTTTTTTTTTTTATGTATAAGGGAGATTTCCTTTGTGTACCACCTATGCGCTTTACGTGTACCATTAGTGGTACGTGTACCACAGGTTGAGAAGCGTTAGTACCTATACATTGTATACGCATAGGTAGCTTTCAACCATAGCTGTTTGTACCGCACTATTTAACAATATTAGTTTATTCGTATCATTCGTGTTGTGTGTGTTGAATTTATTATTTCCGTGTATATAAATGCTAATTAAAATTCATGTTTTAAATGATCATTTATTTTTTTTTCTACGCTCTGGCCCATTAGATTTTAATTTTCTAAAAATTGGCATTCTAGTAACTTTGAGTTGCCCATCCCTGCTTTATAGTATTTTTTTCTCCGATTTGGATATCAAGCGTTTGAATTCATCAATATTTTAAATAACAAATAATACAATTATTTTTATTAATAAAATAAATAAATAACATTTTCATAATCATGGCACTTAGCAAATAGTATATAAATTATACATACATAAAAAAAATTCACGTAAATAAACGGTGGTAACTACAGTACCTATGCGGTAAGTTTATTATACACATATAATTATTAATTTCTATACATAGTTATTGTTAATAATATTATGACTGCTCGTCCGATTGAGCAACAGATCTTCAGGGGGATAATTATTATTGTTTGCCACCGGCATTGTTTCTTCAGACATTATCCTATAGCGTTCAATTTCTTTCCACAGTCTTAACTCCACACCTCGTCTAAAAACAAAAGATAAATATTAAACAATTTTAACATTAAATAAAATTTTAAATTAATTAGATAGTAATTTCAAATTATCTAGTAAAAATATTATTGCTAGGCACTTAGATAATATTTACACTAGAGAACAGAGGACGTTGGAAACTACAGTACAAGATCTCAAATAACAGTTACTACACCACTATTTTCAAAAATATAGTTAAAATTATTGATTATTTTAATTCATACAATTTCGATGTACTTATTCGAATAGCTTTAGTTAATTTAATGGAATTTTCCTTTTCTTCCAAAAATCCCCAACTACCATTGTAATTATATAAAACTTAATTTTTATTGACCCCATATGATACCCCATTCAATGGAGTGGTTATTGAATAATATAATTTTGAAATACTTACTTTAAACCGAGACTTCTTAAATCTTCTCTTGTAATATCTAGTCGTATTTGATCCAACAAAAACTGTTCGTAGACGATCTGTCATTCAAATATACAACATATTATGTACTTACTGTACAAAGGTGTTAGGTGGTATATACACTATTAATTTTATAATATTATCAATTGTATTATAAATTATTTATCAATCATTATTATAAAATCTATGTATAAGTACATCGTTATATCAGTGGCATAACCAGGAGGACCAATTGCTTTAGGGTCCTATTTTATTTTTAAATTACATTTTTTTTAAAAATTTGGTTTTGATTGTAATTTGTTTGCTGGTCAGCCATTGGATATACCGCATAAAACGTAAGCACACATAGACAAACAGTACAACAAAATATGCATATGAATTTTGACAGACGTACTTTTTTTTATTGAATGTTCGTCTATGCCAACATTGCGAAGCCATTCGATTAGATCTTTATCGCAGTCGTTGTTTTCTGAACCGTTTTCGCAATCGAAATCGATGTAATTGCGACAGCCTTTGCAGCAATTGATACAGATTGCGATATTGTGTTCAATTGCCGATTTAAAAAGAGCCACTTGGTCTTTTTGATCTTCGAGTGTTTTTTTCAGCAAACTATTATACGATTTTTGACATTCCAAAACTTCTCTTAGTAATCTAAAAAATATTCTTTCATTTACATAGGCATATGGAAATAAATTATTAAAGTACAAGATGATTTTAAAACATACTGCTTTAACAACGAACGTTCACTATAGATTAAAATCTTAAGCGAATTCGTGCGGAAGTACTGAGCACGCCTCCTAATATGATTCTCAACCCCCATAATTGTTTAAACAAAATCTGCTCAAACATTTTTCCTCGAACGAAAACAAATGTATATCCATGCAAGAAAACAACATACTGGTACAATTATTATATTAGTTTTATAATTAAGTTACATCAAATTAGGCTATAAATAATGAAAGGTAATAATCCATTAAAAACTATTTCCCAGCCAAGACTGTTCCGTACAAAGCCGGGTAATGCATCTAGTTACCGATATTTCCTCAGGGTATATGTTAAAAGCATACTTTAATACCGAATTACGATAGTCGCAATCGACCCGTAGACGAAATCATGGAATACCTTGTTAGGTTGGGTTCATATTTTGTTTTTTAAACTGTAGTAAATGCTATAAACGCATATTTTATAACATGCACAATACATTTCGTAAAGTAAACAAATAACAACTACGTGTGGACGTAGTAAGCTTAGTACGAGTGACTAGTATACAGACTAGTAATAATGACAATTACTAAGCACCGTATAAACCAAGCATAAAGCTAAAATATTTTGTCACTGCTTCTGAAATGCCCGAATGCACATTAGTAGAAAGTACATACAGCGTGATTTGTACTTAACGTGAATATTATACAATTATATTATATATATATTCAATACAAACCTTGGATATACCATGTAAGCTATGTTAAAAAAACACAAATATTATTTTTGGAATTACATATTAATAGGAACAAAATATTTAACTGGCAATACCAATACAACAATAAATATCTACTACAATGGCGAATAAACACGGAACGTAAAAACTGACGTACTTGTGGTTTTCGGCCTGAAGCATTAGCGTGCGCTTGTATAACTCGTGTCTACCCTTTGAAGGAGGGCTCTCACTCTCCAAGTAGCTGTCGTCCGTTTTCTGCGATTTCACCGACGAACCGAATGACGGTGAACTGTTTTTCGTGTCATCCGTTATGGCGGAGGATATACTACCGTCCGGTTTGGTTTCCTTGGACGGAAGATTATCTTCGAATTCTAAAGGAAAATAACAATTTATATTCTTGCACCATGAGTAATATTGCACGTCACAAGGTATGAACACAAATACAATAAATAATATACCCATTATACATGTATTATTTACCCAGTACCAGTAACTTACGCAAGATTTCAGTTCGCTTAGTGTTTTTCACAAAAGCCGAACATAGGTCCCCATCCACTAACTCTACATCCAATTATTCACATTAATAACTAATGTGAATATTTGCATAGTAGATTATTATTAGTCATCTACTATGTAAACATTTGTTACTCTATAGTTCAAACCATCATGACTAAATAAATTAAATTATCTTAGCTATGATTTGAACGATAATTACACCAATGAAATTATATCGGATAAGCAGTTCAGTGGCGTATTTACGGTGGGGGTCCCCCGGGTTTTGACCCCCCCAGAATAAAAGGTTAAAAAACCACTAGCAAGTTAGAAACCAAAATGTAATATTGACAATAAAAAAAAAAATGTTTTGAGGGGCAGAGGTACTCTAGAACCGTGCCTTTGTATACGCCTAGTGGCGCCGAACAAAATGTTGAATGGTCTAGTCAAAAGCCACAACTAACAATTCATCCCACTCAAGGACGTATTTTATGAGGTTAGCAATTCCCAAAAATATTTAACCTATTTACATTTATGATAGCTTATAGGTACGTCTTAAATAATAATTATTAAATAGATATTATTATAATTCATAGGTAATTCAATTAATTAGCTTATTACTCATATACTAATCCACCACGGGAGCACACACTACTCTAAAAATATGGTCTGGCCATGGCCAGATTTGAACTCCAAGTTGGTTCCACTATATACGCCACTAATACATACATTCCAAAACTCTTTAAAGAAAACATCGAACTGTAGAATTTATCAAATTAAGGAAAATTACTTTGAAAGATAAAAGTATGTACTCATATATAACGGAAATAATTTAATAAACAGAAAATGATTATAACTGGTTTTATGTCCATGTATTGTTAAAATGCTTTATATGATAGTTACAAAAAACCAATTGACCCTGAGAAAATGGTAAAGATAACATATAAAACAATTCTAAGTAAAATATGATATTATTAATTAATATAATATAGCTTAGATATGAGTTCTGAGATAGATGATAGCTATTATAAGACAGATATATTTACCAGGTTTGAGGACAGCTATAGCTGCTTGCACTGCACTGTGCACCAAGTTGTCAAGTGCAAACATCCAGTGAGGCTTTATGTTATGCAGCCGTAGTACAGATTTGGCCTGAAATAATATAAAACATGAACTATAGTCTATATGGAATGAACAAGTATTCTACAGTACCGTGAAAGGAAATTTTTCATGGTTTTAATTAAGACTTCAAGGGCATACCCAAGGGGGGGTTTTCGAGTACGGACCTCATCCATTGAAATTTCTATATACTCAACGATTTAATAGAAAATAGTATAATAATAGTATATAGTATATTTTAATTTCCCATTATCAGATAAAATAAAAATGTTGGACCCCCCCCCATAAAAAATTCCTGGGTACACTCCTGTAAGACTTAACTAGGCTATAACTAAACTAAGGCTTAATGATTAAAGGAATAGCTTGTGGACTTGAGCTCCAACAGCTCACCATATCCTATATGAAGATCAATCAAAACAATTTTATGTATGTTTTGCAAATATATTTCTCTGATATTAGTACATGATCCAGAATCAACCATAAATATTATTCTAAAACTGTTCATTATTAATGGAAAATACATTATAGGGGAAAAGTATTGCTATAATTTAGTCCTATTCTATATGTAATTGTAATATATAATTGAACAAAAAAATAAATATGAACAATCAATTTGTAATATGAATATGTAATAAAAAATATATAAGTTACAGAGTGTGGTAAGTTCTTATAATATAAGGTCTTATACTATAAGACCTTACCACACTTTGTAACTTAAATTAGTAATTGGAACTCAACCACCTTTTAACTTAAACTTTGAAAACTTAGTTACGTTTGTAACTAACTTATTTAGAAACTAGGAAATAATAACAAAATATTTATATAGTCAATATCTTACAGCGTCCTGAAAGAAGTACAACGAGAAATGCAATTGATGTACAGCGTCCGAGTCAAAATTCAAATTCTCTTTCAGACTGTTGATGGTACGTTCGACAGCTGATCTTTTTTGATCTGCTATGTAAACCCGAAGACCTTCCATCAACATCTCCAAGTGTTCATTTGTCAACATGGGTTGACTGAATTCTCGACTTATAAACTGTAACCAAACTTTGCACAATGTGCAACGGTCGTTAGCCAATACCCTAGCCAATGTGGTCCTTCGCTGGGAGTCCTTTTTCAGCATGTAAAATCCATCATGTTCCGCTTCTGCAGAACTGCCTGCTGTGCCCATGTCGATCTCGGGAGATAATAGTGTTCCAGATGACTGCCGTCTATTGTATTTTTGCCGTTCAAAACTAAACAGAAAAAAAAAAAAAAGAACAACCAATCGCACATGGTAATTTTCCATATTATAACATGATGTTAGTTGTAACACTATATACACAGTCTATGGTCTTATACGAGGTGTCACATCAAACACTTCAGTAAACAACAGCGGATACAAGATTTTACCTAAAGATAAATACAATTTGTATGAACCATATAAATGATAATATAAAATATTTTAAGCAAAAAAAATACATTATTTGGTATTCAAAATTCTTAGATTAATTAGAAAATATTAGATATTTGAAGACATAAAAAAATTATTTGTACATTATTTTTTTTAAAAAACATGAAAATCAATTTTATAAAAAAAAAAATTAAAATATTTTACTTCTCAACAACTTTCAAGCCCTGAATTTTATAATAAGAAACTAAATTTGTCATGTATTTTAATTCAATACTTGAATACACATAGTTGCTTGTAATATAGTTTTACTTTTTTAATTATTGAAGTTATACAAATTATCACTGTATTGTTATTCTATTTTTTTCATAGTTAGTGTAAACCAGTGTGGTTTTATTGCATTCCCTTATTTATTAAAACATTATTAGTTAATATATTTAAAATTTTTTGCTTGATTTCATAAAGACATTATTTTTTAACATTTTAACGTGTACTGGTGACTGATACCATACACATTTAAATAACAATTGGTTACATAAATTCCAATTATTTAAAATTTAAATTCAACAATAATAGTGTCTCTTCATTGTATAATAATCTCATATTAGTCTAGTCTGTTTAAACTTTAAATTATAATAGCCAATAAACCTCTAATAACAGCTGAATAGGTGTAAAATTAATAAAAAAAAAATTAACATTTAAATATTATTTCAGTAAAATTTAAATTATAAGTAAAAAACTATTTAATAACATAAAATCGATACTCTTTTAACAAATAAAGAGAGATACAACAATGAAATTATAAAATAATAACAGATTAATAATTTCTGAAAGACTGATAAAAACATGAATTAACAAGATGAGACACCTAGTATGTAAAATTGTAAACTTTATTATATTGTAAACAATAGCATAACATTTGTTTATTCATCAACAAATGAAAAATATACCTGTTGCTAGAGTGCTGCATATTTGGTAAGCTGGTAGAAGAAAGGAACTGGTTTTGTTTGATCTTTTCGGGTTGGGATTTAGTTAACCAGCTGTATACAAATACATTCCAATGTAAGCGCCCTCACTAAGTAACACATTAGTAGCATAAATCTGAAGCATTTTTTATTGCATTTTTCATTAGCAATGTTATAAAATGCAAAATTTAAAAAATATGAGTTTTTTATGCTGGCCAATTAGGAATAGATTTTTAATAATTTCATTAGAATCAGTGCAAAAAAGATATGTAATTTTTATACATGTTTAAATAATTATTATTATAAATATTATTATTATAATTTTTGGATTATAAACATTAGCTAACATAGAAAATAAATTCATGTTTACATAAAAAATTTGCTATTTTAAAGTAAATACAATTATAAAAACTATCATTTTTAAATGATTTTGAATGGATCAACGAAGATAAACAGTGCCTAAAATTACATTAAAAATACACATTAAAAAAAATCACCAAACATTTAAGTTTTAAATAAACTTATAAACTTTAAATAAACAAATAATTAATGCTCATAACAATATTCATGATATAATTTAATTGGTTTTTTGAAAAACTTTGTTTTTTAATATAATTACTTTAAGAGAAAAAATATAATTACCTCACAATTCAAATTAAGTTAATTTAACTTTAGCTAAAAATTTGTCAACACAACACAAAATTAACAATAACCATAAACCTAAAAAATATTTTTGATATAAATGAAATATATTAAACTTTTGAAGTTGTTATTTTCAAATTAAGTCTTGGATAAAATCCTAATCTGAAAAGAACTTGTATTTTTAGTTTTCAATTATTTAAATAAAACAACTAATAGGTTACTTAAGTTTTAGTAACAGGTAGTTTCTATTTATATTTTTTTATAATTATTTGTAAATAAATACTTGGTATTAAAGAATTAATAATAATTCAAAATTAAATATTTAAATAAAATCAATTAGAAAATTATATATAAAAAAAAAAACATGCTTAAAACAAATTGCCTCAACCTTCAAAATAATTTTAGAATATTAATCATTTAGTATTAAAATAATCAAAGTTGGACTGCATTACAGAGGATTAAACACAAATAATTTAATTGATTTACCTGTCTTCTTTCAATACTCGTTTGCTAGGATTTTCATTATTTTCTTGATCAACAGACACTTGATTAGATTTTAAATTTTTCTCAACTGGCACAGAAACGCTACGATTAAATTCAAGAGGAGCAATTAAAGCCTTGGAAGTTTTCTTCTTTCTAAAATAATACAACAATAAAAATATTAACATATTATTTACTTGATTTTAATTTAATTATACTATTTTTTAATAATTTGAGGAATCAAAAATTTGTACAGGTTATTAATTACATATTTTAGTATTTATATTAATTTTGTAAGCATACTCAGACATAAATGAATCTTCTAATAAATCAGCAGCTGTAGCTCGTTGATCTGGTTCAGGAACAAAACAACGACGAATAAAAGTTTTAGCTCGCTCACTAAGTTCAATTGGTATTTCTGGATGCATTTTATAATAACCAACTTTGAAAACAGCTGCTTCTGCTGATCCAAGTTCTATAAAGGGTGGCTTACCAGTTGCCATTTCTACAACTGTACACCCTAATGACCATATGTCGGCCTATAAAAAAAAAAAAAAAATTAAATATTATATGCAAATTAATTTTAGTTTTAATACTATTTTTCAAAAAATCAAACATACTGGAGCACCATATTCTCTTTGTCCTTTATCAATGACTTCAGGAGCCATATACTGTAATGTGCCCGTAAAAGTTCCTGTACTGGGACACAATCCAGTAAGACGTTTAGAAGTCCCAAAATCAGATATTTTTACTACACCACTGTAAGTATTAACCAGAACATTATCACCTTTTATATCACGATGTACAATTTTTTGATCATGTAAGTATTTTAATCCTTCTAGAATTTGTTTAGTATAATATGAAATAGTTGACTCATTTTCTTTTAAGGGACCCCACTTTGATCGTAGCAAGGCAGAAAGGCTTCCTGAAAATAGAAAAATTATCATTAAATATTTATTATACAAACTATATAAATAAAAATTAACCTCCTGGTACTTGTTCCATAAATATTTTAAAAAAACCATCTTCTGATATTGATCCTAAATATCGTACAATATTTCGATGATATAATTGCGAATGAAGTTTTATTTCTTCGTGCAATGGTTGAACATACCTTCAACATTTTATATAAATGAGAATATAATAAATTAAAAACTACATAAAGAAAATAAAATAATCAATACCCTCCTAAATTTCTTTCTGGTATTTCCTTGACGGCAATTCGAACTTGTGTGTTAAGATCACGAGCTGCATATACAATACCATATGTTCCTTTACCAAGAATAATTTTTTTCTTTGAATCATCAAACTCATACTCAAACTAAAAAAAAATTAAAATTAGTAAAATTTCAATATATACATTTAACATAAATAAATAATGACAATTATAAGAGAGAAATTGACATAAATAAATTGACATAATAAGAGAGAAAATACAATTGGGTATAAAGATAAATGGCAGGAAAATTGATATGCTACGGTTTGTAGATGATATAGCAGTCATAGCGGAAAATTAAGAAGAATTACAAAGGATGCTGAGATGTATGGAAGAAACTCTGCTCAATGAACTGAGCATGAAAATAAATGCACAAAAGACCAAAGTTCTCGTATGCAGCAGGAACAATAATATTACGACAAGAATACACCTGCAAAATAACCAAGAAATTAAGCGAGTAGAAGAGTTCGTATATTTGGGAAGCATAATAAGTAAAGATGGTAGAAGTAAAAAAGAAATAGTTAAGCGAATATGCCAAGCTAAGTTAGCATTTAACAAAAAAAGAGGACTATTTACTTCAAAAAGTACTAGCGTACGCACCAGAATAAATCTTCTAATGACATACCTATGGAGTATAATGCTGTAAGGCAGCGAAACGTGGACGATTTCCAAAGCAGAGCGGAGAAGGATAGAAGCTTTCGAGATGTGGTGTTTTAGAAGAATGCTTAAAATAAGTTGGACGGACCTGGTATCAAACGAGGAAGTATTAGAAAGAATGTCCGTGAGAAGAACTTTATGGAGTAGTATCAAGAAAAGGAGAAATGAATGGATTGGACATGTATTGAGACATGGTGGATTGCTAGGATTAATCATAGAAGGCTGCGCGGAAGGAAAAAATGCTAGGGGAAGACCACAAATGGAATATATGCAACAAATAATAGAGGACCAAGGGTGTACTTCTTATAAAGAGACAAAGAGGAAGGCAAGTAATATGGAAGAGTGGAGAATTGCTACAAATCAATCTCAGGATTGAATACTAAAGAAAAAAATAAATAATGAACAGCAAAAAAAATTACATTGACTTGGTCTCCTATTGAATCTTCTTCTAAATTAGTCATCATTCCTTCTTCCCCTTCAGTCAATTTTATAATGAGATCATAAAACCTTTGACGATATTGAGATGAAGGAAAAAACATTTGAAAATCATCAGAATTTTCATGCACATATAAAAATAAACAACGTTCATCTCTTTTATATAAACTAAAAAAAAAAAAAAAAGAATATAAATAAAACATAATATATTAATAACTAAAAAAATATACCTAACACCTCTGATCATACTAGCAACAAACAGCCAATCATGTGCTTGTTTACACATTTTTTTCATACAAAATACACATAAATTCCAAACGTGAATAGATTTTTCTTCAGCACCTAAATTCACATTAACGTAACTAGGCATAAATACTTTTGATGGTTCTAAAATTAATATCTGAAAATATAAAATTATTTTTAAAATCAACAATACATTTATATACAATTATAACAAATTGTACTAACAGGAAAACGAATACTATCATCAATTTCAGTTTTAGTAGCTTCTATAAAATAATCCATCCAAAAACCAAAAATTTGTTCTTCTGCTGTACTTTCAATTTCTTCACTTTTTTTTTTAAATTTGCTAATTAATAAAATATTTCCCACAGTTGAATTTAAGTACCTATGAAAATAATAAAAGTGATGACACAATCTTAAATATAGCATAAAATACAGAGTGAAACTATATAAAAACTAACCAATTGGGAGGTTTTAATTTAAACATACATTCAGCAGCTTGGATTGCTTTACTATAGTTTCCAGCTAGTACACTGATTTCAAAAAATGTAGCTACATCCCAGTACTCTTTAAGAGATGGTAAACTTCCTTTTTTACCAATCAAATTGTTTAAAACCATACCTATCAAAAAATTACACTAACTAAAATAATTTATCATATAATTAAATTCATAATAAAATAAATAAAATAATAATATAATATAATAAAATAAAAAAATAAATAAATATATATTGACTTTGTATATACCTGATTATGAATTTTTAATTAAAAACTAGTCGTACATCACAAATATAATAATACTCCAGGATAAGTATTTATTTATTTTTATATATTTAATTAAATTTAATCAAAATATTGAGTTTGTTACCATAGTATAGTGCATACCAATGTGTCGAAGTTCTTCAGACTTGGAAAATTCATTCCCAGCAATTACTAACAATGTGGCTAAATTTATTCCAGCATATTCATTTGGTTGCACTTCAAATCCTTTTCGATACCAATGGATAGCATGTTGAAGAGCAGATTTATCTTCATACAACGATTCTACAAATTTGTCTTTGTAAATGCGACCACATAAGCAGACCATATCAGGTATATGATTTTCTTTTTTTTCTAATGCTAGTTCAATGACCTCTAATGCTTTTTCTCGGTCCCCTGGTTTATTTCGTCTGAAATTTAAAATGTACAAAACACAAATAAGAAAAATAAATAATTAAATTTACTAAAAACAAAAAAAACAAATTATGGTAACCTATTCAAAGCAAAAGGGTATAAAAAACGCAAAGCTGGAGTTTGTATATAATTTTTTTTGTTTGGAATAGTTTGTATATCTTCAACAAGTTGAACCATTGCATCATAGTCCTATAACATAACAGATATTAAAATGTTAGTCAATAAGTCATAATAAATACAAGGGCGTAGCTAGGATATTTTTTTTTGGGTAGGCCCACTATAAAACTTCTACTCACCGACGGGAATGGGAATTTTTCCGATTTTTTTTTTTATTAGCCTACCATAATTTCAAAGTTGTCAGTGATTCTTATTTATTTGTCAATTCTTATAAATAATTAAATAATAAATAACTTAAAACAAATTGAACGAAAAAATGAATAGATACTTTCAAAAGATGCAACTTTTATTTAAGTACCTAAATATGAGAGTTTTATGAAATACAATTATAAATATTAATTAATATACGCATTTTTAATTTATTCTCAAAGTAAAAATTCTAATCTTCTTAACAGCAAACTGGTCAATAACAGCTGATGGGTTATCCATAAACTGTCCACTCATTTCTCTTTCTAAAATTATTGGTTTTTCTCTAGCCTCTAAGCCTACCAGGCCTACCTACTGGCAACGCCCCTGAATAAATAATTTATAATGCTAATAATCATGATTACCTGTAGATCTCTAAAAGATATTAACATATTGAGAACTACATCACCAGAGAGTACATGTGGATCATCTAGTCGTTTCCTCATTATTAACAATTTATTACGTAACTCTTCACCAGTATAACTTTCTCTTGCTTTCCTTAAATCTGATAAAAATTTTTCTTTAATATGAACTCTAAATCAAACCAGAAAACATTATTAATTTTACTAAACATTAACAGATATAATAACAAAGATTTTATTTTAGTTCCTAAGATTATTTTATCCATACTTGGTTTGAATCTCAACATCTTTTAACAGCTTTTTTAATTTTACTGTAATTGGTACTCTAGGTTCAAAAGTAGTCGTACCATTCTTATCTTCAAATGAAGTATTTGTTGTAAGGCAAGTACCACATTCAGCTAATTTATATGATACAAATGTGTATGACCCACATGATAACTGAGAAATATTAGAATGACAAAATTGATAAAAATTAAAAATTAATAAAATACAAAAAATATTATATATTTACATATATACCTTAAGTCGTAGAGTAACTTCAGAATCAAGATCATTGAATAACATAATATTTTGTTTCATTCCAAAACTTTCACGTAATCCCAAATGATAAAATAACGAACTCTGTTGAAACTGTATTGACAAATCAACTATGGCTATATCTGCATTGTAAAATGTATCTAATTCAACAGTTTCTCCAAAGTCTAATTTTTCAAACTAAATTTATTAATAAATACATTTATTTTAATAAATACAAATGCACAAGTTGTATAAAATAACAATAATACCGAAACAATAAACAAATTAGCGTTAACCATCATAGAAGCTTGTTTAACTTCTTCTAAAGCTCTTTTGCGATGTGCCAAATTACAAGTCTGAACCACATCAATAACACACACTATATCCATTTTGGTACGGTTTGAAATGTCACTGCTAACGCTAGCACTATGTGCCAGGTTGCCTAAAATTAAAAAAAGAAATGTATTAAATAATGTTAACAGTACAATAAACACACAGTTTGGAAATAATAACTAAATCATATTCACACATATGTGGGTGTAATTTGTAAATAAGAATAATAATCGAACTTGAGTCAATAATATTTTATCGAAATAAGGGCTAGGCACCTATATGTATTTCACTTAAAATATTTATGATAATACTTATTAATTCCACAGATAGTTTGTTATTATAGCAATACATAAATCTTACCAGCAAGTTCAACATCTAGTTTACTACTAGAGCCAAACATATTATTCTTTCTTTCATGAACACATTCGATCATTTGATAATTTGGTTAATGCTATGCAATAACAAAATTAACAATTTCAAATACAATATTATTTAAAAATAACTTTTCAAAAAAAAAATTGTACTGTTTAAAAAATATATCTCTTACTGTTATATTATTTTTATATTGATTAGAAACATATTTGATAAAACTTTGGGACAAACATTTCAAGTAGTTTCAAGGTTCCCAATGTTGCCAAATATACGGTTCAATAAAAATAAATAAATAAAAAATTTAAAATAGGTACTACCTATTTTAATACCTAGAATAGAATCTATTCTATAATCAATGGTACTACCTATGACCGCAGAACAATCAAATTACCATCAATAGGTACTTTTATTGTTTACGACTTTACTGACTTTCACTATTTAACAGCTTTAAAACCTCAAATTTGCGAACTTTTTCAATTCTAGTTAATTTTTTTCAGAAAGAAAGTAAGTGGATTTTTAAATATATATTTTTACATATTGAATACAAATAAATACAGAAACAACGTTTTTGTATATTATAATACACAATTAATTAATAGACCACAGTATGGAATATGTGTTGTATTCGTATTGAAACAATGTTTTTACAAACTACTGAGCATTTAAATAATAGATTTAAAGAGTTTTGGATATTATGGATACCATAAAAATTAGAATAAATATCATAATATCTTATCTTTACAACTATAATAACTATTATCACTAATTACATTTGCAGTTTAAAGGTTCCTTCATAATTTTCTCAGCAGTGCATTTCATTTTTTTGCCCCCTCTTAGACATTAAGTAGTATCATTGATTATAGATAGTAATATCCATAATCAATGGTAGTATCATTGATTTTGTAATAGACTATTATAAAAATCATATCAAACGTAGGCATAGGCGTCATTAAAGTCCAAATTTGGGGTAGCAAAGTTTATTTTTTAAAAAGTTGAAAAAAAATTTTTAAAGGTTTAACATGATAACTGGCTTACTGGCCAACTTTTCTTCATAAATCTTGGTACGACGTATACACTTGTTAACGTCTTATTGTCCGTATGGGACTTATCACAAAATATAATTATTTTAGATACAATCATAATAGATGGTATATGTTCATATACACTTGAATAACAAACTTCGAAAATATTTTTAAAACTATACATTTTTTTTAGATAGCAAAAATATACCCTTGCTACTCCACAAAAATATCTGAACGTAGATATTAAAAATATTTTCCATAAGACTTCGTACTAATTGACATACGCAATGAATTATGACAGTAACTCGCTTTACTAACCCCCCTTTTTCATTTTTTAGATTCGCATTTGGTAGGGAAGGATTGTTGGTGCGACCACTTAACTAATCTCAATTATGTACATTGAGGCGACCAAATCGCATAGTAAGAGTTGGTTCGGACAAAATTTAATTTATCCAAGGAAGTTCATGTTCTCGTGTTCGGTTAGGAATTATTAGGTAAATCGAATTGGAGAAAAAAAATTGTTTATTGAATACTATGATTATCTCGTGTTATTAGATATTCATTCCTTACAAACATCTAATTTTCAGATTAAAATAAACATTTAATTCTTTGTTTAAAATCTTAATTTTTAATCACTTATGTAATGAGCTATTGAAATATTTAAAATAAAATATAGGTACATTAAACAAGTTTCATTTAGAAATGTTAATAAAGTCGGTAGGCAAATTAAATTAAATTTTATAGCCAATAGGCATTTAAAATGTATAAGATTAATTATAAGATTTTACCACAGCAAATGTTCAATTTTCACCTCCATATTTAAACAATTACAATCATTATATACAATACATATAAATAAAACGAGTAAACAAGTGCCATTCAAATATTTACTTTTCTCATCACTTGTGTTATAATTATGTATATAACTAATAAACTAATTCTAAATTATTGTATGGTTCATAAAAAAATTATGGTCCCAAACAAAAATTGGTTGCATTTAATTTGAAATTAAAATTAAAAAAATTATCATCAAAATTTAATTTAAAAGGATAACTTCTAAAATTAAATAATTAAGACAAAAATAAAATGTTCATTTTCTTTTAATTTCGTAGTGAGCTTTTACATAATTTTTAAGAATTAGAATAATAATAAAGAATCTTCCCATAAACCTTTAAAGGGGGTAATTAGTGTGAAGTAAATATACATTTAATGTAAGTTTTTTTTTTTTAAAAAATAAAAATCATTGTTTGAATATTAACATTATATAAAATATATATTCTTAAACTGGTGATTCATCACGCTTGCTGCAAATGTTTCCCACTTGATACAATGTGCGACTTCCTCTGTTTTGCCATTTTTTATAAATAATATATGTCACTCCTAGAATACAAAAAGAATAAACTTACTATCAAATTTTAAATAAATATATAGATATTTTAGTAAATACTTTCATATAATTTCAATAAGTTCTGCAATTAAATAACGATAAAAAAATTAATACTCAGGCATCACTAGTAGTGATGGGCAACAATATCGATATCGTGACACATTTTCGACACTGATATCGTTATATAGTTGTACGATATATCGCAATATCAAATTTAATAATTTATCTAGAAATACATTTTATTTTTAGATTCTAAACTTTAGTAAATTGTATTGTATGTACTGTGTAATAAACCATTAACTAATAAGTAATATTTGTCTACTAATATAAATTATAAAGTGTGTACACGTGTCCTCGGTAAATGTGAATTATTATTTTATATTTAATTATACATTTCTACATTATTATTATATTTGATATAGCTTATAATTTTATCTGTATCAATAAGCATTATATTCTAGATAAACGTTTACAATTTTGGTGTACCAATAATAAATATCATATACTAAATTTTAGTATATTATTTTACTAAATTTATAAAAATATAATTCGACACGATATCGAACAAATTCCGATATCGCGATACAATATCGAGAAAATCGGAACAATATCGATACACAATATTATATTGTTGCCCAACACTAATCACTAGGTTATTTAACATTAAAAGTAGAAGAAAAAAAATTAAGTCAGCACATTAACCCTTTTTACAATTTCATATGTAAAAAATTAATACTATTAATATTCTATATGATAAATCAAGAAGGAGTAATTATTTTTAAGGTACCATAATATTATAATATAAATACTTTTGTAATAGTTGATAGGTATACTTATTTTAATATTAAAAATGTAATAGGAAAAACAGTATTATTAGATTTTTTTTTTTTAATTTCATGGTAATTACTATAATTTATTGAAGAAAAATATATTAAACATATCCTAAAAGTTTGAGTATAAATTAATTAATAGATTAATAACTATTAAGTGTTTTTCTTCTACACAAATAATTAAATTTAAAAAATTTAATACTGTGGATGAGAAAATCTAAAATATAATGCAGGAAGTAAACTTATAAATAATTAGCCGTCCATTTTTATTTCACGCTTCTAATCTAACGATTAAGCTAATAATCAGTGATATTTTCATATTAGTTTTTTTCTGTACTTAAAATTAATAAAAAAATAAAAAAATAAATTAAAAATATATTAAAACAATTATTAACCATACCAAAAGCCAGTATAACTATAGCAGTCAGAAAAATTAACTTTCCAGAACAATAAGAACAACTTTCTGAAAATAAAAATCAAATAAATAATAATATAAAATGATTGATATGACTAACGACTTACGTGGACTTGATGAAATGTCAGAAGAAGGCTTAACACTATCAATGTTAACATTGGTAGAAGTATTTTGGACATTTTGTTGAACTAATAATGGCGTTGTCTCAACTGATATCGGGTTTGAAGTGGTTGAATTATTGTTAAAATAACTGTTATTAGTAGATATAGTACTTATTTGAAAGTCAATAATATTCATTTTAGTACTGGTCAAATTTGTATTAGTTGAAATTTCAGATTTATTTAAACTAATAGTGTTCAATGTAGTTGGCATTGTAGTTACAGAAGTATTATTATCATTAACATGTCTTGGCTTTCTCATGGAAATACTCTTTTTAAATCTTCTATCAATATAAGGACTGGAATTAACTGGAATTTTATCAACATCCCGGAAAAAATGTCCAAGCACATTAATTCTCTTCCGAAGGTTGTCAAACACTTTATTCCAAAGCTGAACATGACGACTAGGATTGTAATAATAGTCTGATGGTGATATAACTGAATTGAAATTATTATCAACAGAGTTATCGAACAAGTTGTCAGATTCTTTTAGTAGTACCAGAACTCGAGGAGAAAAATTTTCATTAGCTTGACCAAGACAGCACAACAAACCTATGAACAAAATAGTATTTACATAAATTAAAACATCAAATAATTTCAAATTAAATTTAACAAGTCTAAATATTAATTTTTATTTTTTGTTTCTGTAGTAGGAACTTAAAATAGATAAGCGGTTGAGAAAATAAATGGATAATATTTAAATTTTATAATAAATAAATTCATATATATATATATATATATATGGTCTAATATTTAATACCGAAACACAACAATGGAAACTGAGATCAAATGCCCAATTAGAACATTTATACAAAAAGGAAAATATTTTGCAATTTATTAAAAGTATAATAATGCAATGTGCCGGACATGCGTGGCGAGCAGACGGATGCCTAATAAAAGGAGTAATGACTTGAATGTTAGCATGGACGAGACCAAGGAGAAGACCACGAAGAAGATGGATAGACAGCACAAATGAGATATGGAATGCGGCAGCCCATGGTGGGGCGGATTGGCGAATAATAATGTATGATAGAGAGAAATGGAAGGAGGTAGTTTTGGCGTTAAAGATCCTCGATGAATCGTAAAGCCAGAAAAAAATAAATAAATAAATTTATACTAGTAACTGTAAATAAAATTAAAAATAAATGGTTTAATTATGAAGTATTTCTGAATATAAATTTCAAAAAATAATATAAGATTTCTTATTTATAGTTAAAATGTATAAATTTGATAATACTGATTTATATTATTTAAAATTGCTATTTTGTTTAAAATGTTAAAAAAAACCATTTATTAATTAATTTTCTAGGTGTATATGTAAGGTATTATTAAAAATAAATAAAACAATCGATTTAATAGTAGATGGGTTTTTGTAATTTTTGGAGTTGAGAAGTTTGACACTCAGGATAAATAGAATGAGAAAATTAGGATAACCTATGAAAGAATATATGAGATTATGACAAACAAATAATCATAGATATTAAGATAAAAAAAAAAGAAATCAAATATATAAATAATGAAGTTATAAAGACATGAAAGTCAAGGAATTTAAAATAAAAGTGGAAAGAAATTATTCATTTCAGTATAGTAAAATCTAACAAAGCCCATTTCAAAAAAAAAAAAAAAAAAAAAATGAATACATTTATTATATCAAAATAAATAATGATAGTTATTAAAAGAATAAAAAAATAAATAAAACTCAATGTATATTTTAATATACTACTTGTGTACCAAATAAAAGTTAGATTACATAAGTAGTAGTCATTAATTAATAATTATTTATGTTCCATACCCAAATTGGATAAAGAAAATTAGATAAGCTTTTATTTTCATTAAGCATATAATATCAATCAGTAACATTACATCTGTACATGTGTATTACAGTATTGAAGTATGTGCCCATCTATAATTAATACAAATAATTAAATATAAAATAATCTATAAAATACTAGTATTATTAAATGTTTATACCTAATAGTCAATTAATTTATTAACTTCATTAGAAGATTGAAGAAAATTATTTTAAAAGAAACAAGGATAGGATATTTAACTATTATAATTGGATAAACAAAATAGTATGTATTGATAAAATTAACTTCAAACTGGGAAAAAAAGAAAATTAACTTATTAACTGTAACTAAAATGATAAAAATTTATAACGAAAAAAGTAGATAAAATTAGTACAACACATTATGTGCTTCCATAATACTTCTCCAGTTCTAAGAAAAAATGCTTGGTAAACCTCAGAGGCCGGAACGATGGGGGAGGCACTTCATTATTATTTAAGTGAAATTGGTTTCTTTTCATTATAACAGTGAATTATTTGAGAGATACAGAAATCTTAACAGAAAAAAAAGGATAATCCTCAGACCTTCCCAATGAAGACATTTATATAGGATGACACAAATGGAAAGAAATTTAAATGTTGAATTAACTGAACAAAAATATATGCATTGTTTTTAAATCCCTTTTATCGTGCGATGTAGTCCTAAAAGATGCGCATGACTAGTACAAAAAAGCAATCCCATCGAGTAAAATGATTAAAATTATTTTTCATAAAGATGTTGAACACTACTAAATCGCAGATTCGGATGAACATGAGAGCACGTTTTTAATTAAATGGTTAAATATATGGTTTTTTCCCCGAACGCTGCGAAATTTTCGTTAAACAGACGCGAAAAAAATGTATCGTTTGTACCCTTATTGTCCGCTTTCATCGAGTCTGCGCACTCATGAGCAGACACTAAAACACTAGTAGTGTCACAAAGCACGCGGAATACGTTATTACTTACCTAGGAGAGAAAGCACGACGCTGTACGAGATTACGACAGACTTCATGATCGGTCGAACAGAATCAAAAACGTGTTTCGGTGGGGAGGAAAAAAATGAATAATTAAAATGATAAAAAACTGCGTAGAAACAGGCCACTGATGAGTGAAGATGGACGACGAAATGGCAAATGGTCGACGGTACAAGAAAATGCTTAGAACCGCACGCAACGGTGGTGTGAGGGGTTTGAATTGCCGCTAGGGTGGAGGGGGGAAGAATAGACTTTGTCTTCTTTGAATGTCTAGGAACGGAAGTGAGAAAAACACGTGTCACGTGGTCATCGTTGCGGTTGTCGATGGGTGCGCTTGTGTATACGTTATTCACGCGCGTGTGTGTGTTTGTGTGTGTGTGCCTGAAAAAAAAAGATAAAAATGGAATTCCCCGAGTTTTGTTTGTGCACCAAAATCATGTGTGCATACGTACGGGTGTGTGTGTGTGTGTGTGGGCACGCGATAGGAGAGTAGTGATGACCGTGAGTGCACACATATATGTATGGGTTGTTTTTACGTACAGCATGTGTGTGCCGGCATGGGGTGAACAATTTTAACATTATTTCATCGACATATCATAATCGACAGTTTTGCTATTACCAAATTTTCGACGTAGACCAATATAATAAATAATTATCGTATCAAAGTTTGAAGAATGTATTTTATTTATTTTCTGTAGTTATTAATTATTTATGAAACATTTTTAACTCTTAAGAAACTATGTTTTATTATTTAAATAACATTTGTTATTTAATTAATGTATATTTTATAGATAGTAAATAAATGATAACTTGGTCTTATATTTTAGTTATTAAGAATGGCTATGTTTCACAGTCCTACAAACGGGAAACATATAAATACTGTCCACTGACCACCATGGTGGACAAAGAAACACGATGGATAACATTATTTTTATTTTTATTTTAACCGACGTGGAAAATGAATCGAAAACATCTCCCATCGCTGATCGGTTTGTTGTTTTTTTCATCCGGAACACGTTGTCCTCGTTTATCGTGCTTAGGACGACCTGGGCTGGGGGTTAATTGAAGGCGTCCGTTTTTTCATCAGATGTGTCCAAAAGGATACCTCAACGTACTCTAATAAAATACTCTATAAATGCATAAAGAAAATAATAGATAGTTTCATACAATCTAGTACAATTAATCAAGCTACTGGACTTAAACGACTTTTAATAGATATGAATTTTGTTTTTTTGGCTTAATGTTTTTCACAAAATGATGCCTCGTGTACATTTTCTTTATAACGTTGTTTAATCTTAAAAATATTGATCCTGTGTAAATAAAAAAAATCTGTTATTAATTTTAAAAAAAAAATTTCTAACATTCGTGATAGTATGACTGATTTCTGTCAACATTTTTCGGAAAAAACTGACTTTGAGATTACTCCAAAGAAAAGACGAACAGATGATAACGATAATTCTAGAACATTAGCAGCTTTAGAAGTGTGTGACGTAATAACCACACATATTGAAAGAAGTTTTGTTTTTACCAAGCATTTATAAGCTGCTCAACTTTTTTTTAAATGAAAAATATGCAATGTATAGTAATACATTACCAATAACAGCTCTCAACATGACTGTAGAATGCTATCCGTTTTTTAATCAAGATCGTTTAAGGACTGAGAAGTGCTTTATTCACGTGATGACTTCCGTAATTTATCTGGTGTTATTTCCACGTTAAATTATATTATAAATAACTATATGGAAGATACATTTAAAGAAGTATCCAAACTTCTAAAACTCTTGGTATGCACGCCAATGACATCTTCAGAAGCTGTAAGAAGTTTTTCAACATTGAAGATTAAGACGTGTTTGAAAAGTACCATGTGTGAGGATAGACTTAATGTGCTGATTATGTTAAGTGTAGAGAGTCGCATGAAAAATGAAAACATTGATTTTAATAAAAATGTTATTGATAGTTTTTGTAACGTTAAGGAAAGAAGAATGGATTTTGTGTATAAAGTTTATGCTTGAAGATAATACAAATTAAATTACAATATAAATAATAAATATTGTTCAACATTTTTTTTAAAGGGATATTTTAACATATTTTTTTGTTGCACAACCATTGTTGTTTTTGAAATAATCACATATCTGTTCAAACTTCTACAACACCATTGGCCGTATGAATTATGATTTGCGACCATTAATTCGATTATAGACCACTTCAGATATTGTATTGTTGAAAGATCTGAACGGTTCTAGTAGTACAAAGCAGCTATCTTAATTTTAGTTTTCTAAAACTAATAAAAATTAGGAATGACGTGAACTAATTGCGGTGTATGGAGAGCGACCCTTTTAAATGTTACTTTTACAAGAGGTAATCGCTATACATGTTCTTATTATAAGAGACCGGGTCAACCGAATTTGAGCTGGTTTGGCCCAATTTGAATGTGTTTTTACAGACATAACAATAAGAATACACCCTTACATATTTCTAAAGAAAACTTAATAAAGGCACGATAACTCTTACCCATGTTATATGACTAATGCTTATGGAATGTATGTCTTTGTATATTATATTGCATGTTAAAAACATTTATTGTCAATATTATAACAATGAGAAAACTGTCCTGAAGATATGAAAAATAAATAGGTTAACACGACAACTCTAACCATTATTATATAACTATTCCATATGGAATACTTATCACACGCTGTCTATTGAAGTAAAATATTCGTTTAAATTAATTGAATTTAATGGAGTACCTATGTTGCTATATTTCTCATCAATTTATTCATATCTAGATAACAAGTAGTTGTATGAGGTGTTCGTTAGTAAGCCGGTTGGTCGGGTCGGCAGCAGCAGTGGTTGGGGTGGGTCGTGATTGGTAGTCGGTTGTAGTGGTGATGCGTGCGACTAACGGTGGCGATGAGTGATGTTGGCTTGACCAGAAGCCTTTTTATAATTATACCCTTTTTATAATACTGATGTATTTAGTGCTAAACAACGTTTAGATGACGACTTGAATTTTTTTTAAAAAAATTAATAATATTCGTATTTCTAGACTGATCTGCACATTATGATAAAATCTTTTTTACAACTTTACTGAATAAAATATAGTTCTACATTCTAATTTAGAAACTAAAAAAAAAAAAACTATTTCTATATAATATAATTACAGCTTTTGGATAAATACTCAAAAAGTTTGAATTTAACATTAAAGACATTATATAAAATTTTTATAACATGAATACTAATTTATGCAGTGGCGTGCCCAGTAGGTAGGCCTGGTAGGCTCAGGCCTACCCTGTTTTCAAATAATAATTATTAATATTTTTCAAGAAACATAATTTTATACATTTTTTTGCTTCATAATACGATATGTAATTGAATCATTTTGGAACAAAGATTATTTATTTACTACCCACTTAAGCAAGCGTTTATACGTTATTAATAATTCTTTCCTTCGTCGCAAACAATTGTAGCCACAGTACTGCTTATCGGCTAAAAATAGTAAATAATAGACAATAATACACCCGAAGTGAGTTATTTATACATTCGTCACTGGCCGTTCACTGCCGACAATCGTCATTTGATATAAGATAATGAATATGGTTTACAAAATATGTTATTTTTTGGTATTAATAATTTATTAGTTTATTACAGTGTGTACTGTGTACTGTGTAGATGTATTTTAGTGACTTGTGTGTAACCGAGCCGATTGAGGAAATTGTTTTATTCGTTTTGTCTGTTTTTGTTTATGTACACTATTAGAATAACCTAAGTACTTTTTTATTTTATATTGATTATAACTTGAATAATAATTAAATAAAAATAAAAATATGATTAGCCAGTTTTTTAAACCTATTCCGAAACCCACAAGGACATTGAACGATGATGATAGTACAATAGATCAACCACAAACAAAAATGTTAAAATTAAATGTTACCTCAACTTCTAACGAGTCTTCTATTTCCTCGTCTAGCTTAAATGTGCTTAATATTAGCTTAAATAATGATGAACAACCTATTCAGTCGATTATCAATTTTCCACGTCGTAAAATTTTTGAAAAACAACGTAGTTTTCAAAGTTCATGGTACAAAGTTTATCCTTGGATTGAATATTCTGTTCAATTGGATGCAATTTTCTGTTTTTTTTTGTCGTCATTTTACTAGTTCTATATCTTGTGAAAATCATCAAGATGTTTTAATAGCCACAGGATATAATAATTGGAAAAATATTTCGGGGATGGAAAAAAAACATAACTCGGCAGATTCGCATAAAACATCGTTAGCCAAATATCAAGGTTATATATCATTAAAAAGTATAGGAGCTGTTACGACTCAAATGAATAATCATGTCGAAGAGAATATAAATAAAAATCGAAAAGTATTAAAAAGTGTAATTCGTTCAGTTTTGTATTGCGCACGACAGGATATATGTTTGCGTGGTCACAATAATGTAATCGAATATTCAAATGAATACGAACACGACTTAAAAACTACAAAAAATCAAGGTAATTTTAAAGAAATTTTAGATTTACTATGTTCGGAAAATGAAAAGTTTAATATAAATTTAAAGTCCCTACCTAAAAATGCTAAATATACTTCAAATAAAATCCAAAATGATATTTTATTTGCGTCTTCAAATGTCATTTTACAAACTATTATTAGAGAAGTGAATGAAGGTAGTTCGGTTTATAGTTTAATTGTTGATGAAGCTCGTGATGCATCAATATTTGAACAAATGTCAATATGTATCAGATATGTACATAAATTAACTATAAAAGAAAGGTTCTTAGGATTTGTACAAATAGAAGAATTAGATGCACTAGGCCTAACTAATTCTATTATCGAATTTTTAAATTCAGTTGGCTTAGATATTACAAAATGTATAAGTCAATCCTACGACGGTGCATCAGTAATGTCTGGTTCTACCAATGGCGTACAAGTAAATATTAGAGAACTTTCTAAAAACAAATGCTCTTAAATACATTGCTATACACATCGGCTTAATTTAGTTTTGGTCGATGTTGTTAAATCAGTTGAGATTGTTGACAATACGATTGGATTTCTTGAAGCAATTTATGCATTTCAATCGAGTTCAACTTTACGTTATAAAATATTTTCTGATGTCCAAAAAGATTGTGAAACAATTTTAAAAGTCCCTCAACATAGTAATACTAGATGGGTTGCAAAATATAAAGGTATTAATTTTTTTTTAATTCGTTTTGAACATGTCATAAAAGCTTTATCACAACTGTCAAGTAGCTCAAAAAAAAAAAAGAGGCCGTAGAAGCCAAAGGATTATTAAACCAATTTCGATCGTTTGACGTATTATTTGTTTTAACATTTCTTGATAACCTTTTATCAACTATCAACGTACTTTCTACATTTACAATCTTTTTCTCTTGATATAATTAAGTGTTTAAATTTAATTGATGCTACAATAAAAGAGCTTCAAAGTTTACGTTCGGATGAATTTTTCAATAACTTTTATAAAAAAGCTCAAATTATGGCTTCAAATTTAAATATCTCTATGGATAATTATGAAAAAAGACAGAAAAATATTAATAGTACATTAAGTGATTATGTAATTACTTCAACAATTGGCTTAAAATGTAATAAAACTACGACTCAAAAATTGCGAATTATGTATTTTACAGTAATAGATAATATGTTGAATGAAATGAAAAAAAGATTTAATAACAATTCAGAATTTTTAACTGCTATTTCAGTATTCAATCCGATATCGACAAACTTTTTAAATGATGATTTTGTTTTAAAGTGTATAAATTATTATAGAGATGATAATTATTTCTCTGACCAAGTAATAAGTCAAAGCAAATTAGCAAAAAATATGTACAGTAGTTGTAAAAATATCATAGATTTTTACAACGAAATATGCATTATGGGGCAGTCATTTGGAGAAATTAAAAAAGTCATGGAACGAGTGTTAGTTATACCTGTAAGTTCAGTATCGGCCGAAAGAAGTTTTTCAACAATGAAAAGAATAAAAACTTATTTACGAACATCTATGTCTACTACACGTCTTCATAATTTAGCGTTAATTTCTATTGAGAGGGAGTTAAGTTTTGAATTAATTCAGGATCCTACAAAAATTGTTAACGAGTTTGCTAAATTGAAAAATCGAAGACTTCAATTCACTAAATAATTATTATATTTTATATTTTTATGTACTTATAATTAAAAAAACTATTGTTTCATTTGCATTCATTTAGGTATTATTTAGTTATATAAAAACTTAATTTTATTTTTTAATATGTAACTTTAAGTATTATTAACAAGTCAAATAGGAGGAATAAATTGTGTTGTATTATATTATTTTATAATCATTTTTTTTAATTCAATTTAAAAATATTATTAAGTTTCTAAAAAAAAAATAATGTGTATTATGTACATACATAAACTAAAATAATTATAACCGGGCCTATCCTACATTTTGATCCTGGGCATGCCTCTGAATTTATGACATTATTAAATACACATTCCGGATGTTATTAAGTACCTAAAGCGGGGTATTTTTATTTAAATAAGAATAAGCTCTTTTTAATCTTTGATTAAATTAAGAAAATGAATTTCCGCCACGTATAGTTTCCGTTTTATAAACATATAACATAGCATATCTGAGTTCAATAAAAACAATTTGGTGTTGTTGAATTTAATATAGGAGTCAGTTGACATATTATTGTACTCAGTGGCGTATCCAGGGGGGTAGAGGGTTATAACCCCCTCCCGGAAAATGTTTAATGTATGCATATTGTCTATTGATTATAATACAAATACATAAAATTCAAAAAAAAAATTAATGTTACATTTTTTATCACCCCAAAACCCCAAAAAAAAAAAAATTCTGGATACGCCACTGATTGAATTTAAAGGGAAGAACATTTTCTGTGTCTTTCGTAGGTTTTTACTATATTTTAATTTTTAAGTGAGTTATGATTATGTAAAATATTACAATTTAGACTTTAAATATTTAGTTGATAAATGTAGAGAAATGTTAAATTGTATTTATTGTTGTCATTATGCGATAAGCAATAATCTAAAAATATAGTAATAATTTCATTATAGTTAAAATGTTTACTTAGATATAATCATAGTAATACAAGCAAATGGTGGACTGTGGACTTAAGTAAAATAACAAAATAATAAAATGATAACTTTGAGTACTTTTACAATATAGATAATAACACAAATAATTAGGTATAATAATAATCTAAAATATTATCTATCGGTTAAAAAAAAATATTAATTGCATATCTCATATTTAGATTATGTTTCTTTCCCTAATCTTCAAGTTAAAATTTTAAATTATTAGATTTACTTAAACTGTGACTGTACTCGATTATCCACTTATACTACATTAGGTAGTATATTACTGCATATCACCAATAATTGTATCCCAGTTTTATTTAGTACGTAATATTTAAAATTGAAAATTTGATTTGATTTCAACAAATAAGTAAGTTATTTATAAAATAATTTTTAAAAATAATGTCATTGAATTATTACATATTAATTTTTTTATAAGTATATTAATTTTTCTAACTGTACATCTATAGAAAATTTCAACATTTTTTTGTAAATAAATTAAATATTGTTAGTATACTACAATTTTATATTCAAACAAAATTGTATACCGTTATCAGTAAAGACCAGATTTTGCATAAAATAAAATTATATAAAAACAAAATATTAAAGTTGTATATTACATATTTTCGTATATTCACATTAGTGCATGTTTTAAAACTCGCAATGCTGCTAGTCAAAGATATCTTTATATATAAGAGCAAGTCAAACTGACGGTTGAACCGTGGAATGAAGTTGAACGGAATTAATGGTATCAAAATCAACAACTTGGAAATGTTACGTATCAAGCTATCAAGATATGAAATTGCATTTAATTATAACGTGGAAATAGATTACAGTTCATTGCAAATTGTTGCTACTGGACCAATGAACGCTGTGCGCCAATATTGCAAGGCATTTATGTTTAAAAATGAAATTCCTGGTTTGTGTTGCGCGAGCGGTCAAGTCAAATTGACTCCATTGGTACCGCCACCGCTCTAGTGGCTTTCACTACATTCATTGGTTTCCGGAAATGGGCAAGATTTTAAACATTGTTTTGATTCATATCCAACTATACAATAATTGTTTTCAAATGACGTAATTTGGTGCAACAAAAATTATTAAAGAAAATTTTATGCCAACTTTCAAGATTCAAGGTCAAATATATCATCTAACAAGTTCCTTATTGCCAATGACAAATGGTGACTACACATTTTTCCAAATTTATTTTATGCGTAATTCAGCAAAACATGTCAATCAGCGTTGTGCACACAACAATTCGGCATAAGATGCCTGCAGGATAACACGCGAGACGTTTTAATGCGCCAACAATTGACGAAGTCGCTATTGTCGTTATGGGAAAAAATTTATAAAATCGAGATATTGTTTTACATCGGCATAACAATCAACTGCAGCGTGTGTCCAATGCAAATCGATCATATGATGCGTTACAATATCCTATCTTATTTTGGCAAGGTGAAGATGGATATAATTTTTCAATGAAGATGATAAATCTAGTTAAAAGTTCCGAAACTAACAAAAAAGTAAGTTTATTGAATTCATACTATATGATATAATCTATAATAGACTTTTGGTTCGGGAAAAAGAGACAGTAATATCTTTAAATGTCGGCATCTATTCCACCAATATGCTGTAGATATATACGTGAAATTTGAAACTAAATGACCTAATCAGGTTGAACTGAACCAGACTAAACTGCGTTATGAAGAATACATTAGTCTATGGAATGCCATCAATGCTGATAGAAAATGCACAGAATGTTGGTAGAACAACTCTTCTTCCAGCAACATACGTTGGAGGTCCGCGACATACTATAGTATACATGAATACACTTAGGATGCTATGTCGTATGTACACCAGATTTGTTTAATAACGTATGCAATCCACAGTGAACAGAAATTTGACAAGAATTATTTCTAGGCCAACAACCCATTGATCGCCACGACATTGTCGCAAGGGTGTTCAAAAGAAAGTTAAAATCACTCATGAACTTGATTGTTAAGCATCGCGTATTCGGCGAGATGCGCTGTTGGATGTATTCAGTCGAGTGACTAAAACACAGATTGCCACATGCACACATTCTCATCAGGGGCGCCATTTCAGTTTTTTTTAAGGGTGTGCAAGTAATTAAAGAGGCCAATTTTTTCCCATCACCAGGCTAACATTTATGATTAGCAGTGATTACTGATTAGCCGCGGTGCATGCACAACATTAAAGATTGGAAAACTGAAGACCAAAGTGGCAAGGCCATGTATCAGTGACGTCTAGGCCAATAATTAAAGATGAAAAAAATTCAGGGTGTGTGAGTGCACACCCTGCTCCTCCCCGCCAAATGGCGTCTCTGATTCTCATTTGGTTGGTAGAGAGGATAAGACCAAATGAAATCGATGATGTGTAATCTGCGGAAATTCTCGATAATGATAAACATCCGTTGTTACATGAAATTGTTACAAAAAATATGATTCATGGTCTCTGTGGAATATTAAATCCAAATTCTCCGAGTATGGTTGATGGTAAATGTTCAAAACTCTTTCCAAGACAATTAGTGGTAGAAACTATTAATGGAAATTATGGTTATCCACTTTATCGCCGGCGATCCACTGATGACAACGGAAAGTCAACAATAATCAAAGAGAATCAGCTGGAAATTGAAGTTGATAATCGTTGGATTACTCCGTTTTCTCCGTTATTCTCGAAAACATTTTAAGTACACATAAATGTTGAATATTGCCTTTCCGTATCGATAAAATATATATACGCGCAAGAAAAAAAACTAAGAATGTTGTATATCATAAAGCATTAAAATAATAAACACTTTTTTTGAAATATTTTTTTTATTAATTATACCAATTCGAATTCAATAGTCATAATTAAAACACGACAAAATTTCATTAAATTTATGTTGTGAATAAATTTAACGTATATATTATTTAACATATTAGTGTGGATTTAAAGAAGTTAAAACATTAAGTTATAATATTTTGTTTAAAAGTTTCAGGTCTTACATTTAATAATATGGCAAATCCAAATGTGAAAGTTCAATACAACCAGGTATTTTTATTATTTTTAAATATAAAGACGTACCTATATGTTTTAAAAATATTGTGATCGGTATTATATTTGAAAAGAGAACGCAAAGAGTTTATTATATTATTTAATATTGAAATTACAAAATTGTTTAATGTAATTCAAAAGCACTCAAATCATATGTAATCGCCTATTTCAGATTTTTATCAACAACAATTTTGTTAATTCGGCAAGTGGAAAAACATTTAACACTATCAATCCGGCTAATAAAAAGATAATTATCAATGTTTCTGAGGGAGATAAGGTAAGCATATTCTCAGTAACCTTATCCAATAATACTGTTTAAAATGTGATGAGCAAATTTTGATTCAAATTAAAAATACAATAACAATTATTTTTCAAACATTTTTGTTAATTTTTTTTAAACGTAAATAATCTCTGACATTTATATCTATACATATTATAGTTCAATGCATATATTTTTTGCAAATTTGCTGCTAAAATATTATTCTTACCTATGAAAACTCATTTTAGAATATAGACTTTTTACTTTGGTACCTAATTTTAAATCTTAATAAAAGAATATTAATTATATTCTTAATATATATAAATATATATAAGTGAAAATAAATAAATCGAATATTTAAATACAGGAAGATATCGATCTGGCCGTTAAAGCAGCGAGGGCTGCGTTCCAGCCAAGTTCGGAGTGGCGGACAATGGATGCATCCGCTCGGGGAAAATTAATTTATAAATTATCTGAATTGATAGATGAACACAAAAATTATTTGGCCAATTTAGAGTCTTTGGATAACGGTAAACCATTCGGTGATTCTTTATTGGACATTGCAGTATCGGTTTCAACTTTACAATATTATGCTGGTTTTGCTGATAAAATTCACGGAAAAACTATACCAGCAGGTAATGATTCTAAATATTTATTTGACGAATTGATTTTACTACGAAAACATCAAAATATTCATAAGGTTTCTATTATAATAATTTGGAACATATACTTTTTTAAACAAAAAAGTCACAAAAGTAACGCTTGAGTAATTTTTATAACTGCATAGTTTAGACTATAAGCTTAATAGTTCAGTCTCGGTTTATCAGTGCGCACGAACGGTCGTGCGTTACAATTGTCGAGTTTAGCACGCTGTTAGTTATTTTTCGCCACGGTATAGTGCATTAATGTGAGGTATTCTGCCACGCATTAGGTCTCTTTTACCATGGCTTCAGCCTCCGGCGGCGATGGCCCCGGGAGGGCCCCTAAAGTAAAATCGTCCTCGTGCACTTCTAGCTTTATTGTCGTTTCATACAAAAGCAATAATAGGTATAAGTCAGTCTATTTCAGTCACCAGCCCGATATCTCCGACCTTGGAAGCAATTACGGCTAATCAACCGTCTCTTATCGACAAGTCTATGCATTCTCCACCATCCAACGATGTAACAATGTCGTCTATCTCTGGAATTAACGCCGTTAATCATGTCCACAGTCCACCGCCACACACTTCGAACCAAACATGGTAAATTCTCACACCAACGATAATCCCGTGTCTTCTTTTTCTTTTCACCGATCCGAATACCGATTGTTACGAAAATAATCATGACGGCCCGTTTATATGTATTGTTTGATACGCGGATAAGGTAATAAATATTGGCAACCTGCACCCGTTGCAGTTCGGCAAACTTATCTACAATTAATTTGAGGGTGTAGTATCCATCCAATCCGCCGGCGCGTCCCGCGTAAAAATCACTTTTTCGTCCGTCGCCTCGGCGAACAAGTTTTTAAATTCATCTATTTCAACCGAATTTAATTGGTCAGCTTTAATCTACTCGTTCGGAGTTATCCGGATCGAACAGTCTTACACGAAAAAAATTTCGGCTTTAAAATAATCTCCTCAACTAGAGACAGTGTTCAGGCCCCGTCCAGACTAGTCGAGTTAAAGTTCAAATACACTTCATTACCGGATTCTGTTTCTATTAATAATGTAAATTTCAAAGTTGAACCTCGCTGCGAGTTTTGCTCTTCTATGAATTATTTTGCGGTAGATTATCCCGTTCGCCCTGAGACCAAAGCAACCGCTACGTGCGCCAACTGTCAAGGTTCCCATCTTCCCTCTGATCGGTCGTGTTCAGAATGGGCTCGTCAAAATGATCTCAAAAGTTAATGGTCATAAATAAAATTACTTTCAAGGAAGCTGTTGGTTTTAAGAACAATAATGTGTGTACTCTGGCCTTCGCTTTTGCCGACATCACTTCTCCGTCCTATTCTAAATTTTCCTAAAGATACTTCTAATAATTCATCAAATCACATTTCAAGCTCAAGAGTTTCCTTTTAGTCTAATACAGATTTTTCTCAATTAGGTTCCTACCCTAAAAATAAGAAATCTAGATCTCCAAATAAATATAAGTTTAACCAGAATCCTTCCTTTCCCCATCCAGCCTCTCAAACTCCCACAAGTCACCAAACGGTGTCTTTTTCAATCATGTTACGCCTCCTAATGCTTCGCCTCAGCCTTCCCCTAATAATTTAGCATGGATTTCGGATTTTGCTTTCCAATTGTTTCAAATTATTTCCTCTACCAGTAATGTAGATGATAAATTGCCATTATATAATGTAATTGAGTCAACACTTTTTAAATTTCTTTCTATCCCAAACGTAAAAGATAATACCAATGAATTCTACTAATTCCATTCCTATTTCAACGTCAACGCACCTCCAATTTCTTCAATGGAATGTCAGTAATATCAAGTCCCGTTTCTTAGATCTCAACAGTCTGATCACTATTTATCTTTGTCATGTATTCCTCCTATAAGAAACGTGGCTTCTACAAAACGCTGGTTTCAAGTTAAATAATTATCATCTATTTCGCTTCGACCGCCCAGATGGTTACGGTGGTTTCGCCATTGCTATACATAAGGGCTACCAATCTCGGGCAATTCCTCTTCCTCCTTCATTATCTGCTTTGTTACTTCAACATGATATCAATATAGTGGGTATTGAATTATTCGACTCTCGTCTCATCTGTCGCTCCTATTTTTATGGTCAATTTATATCCCGTCCGATTCCAATCTTTTCAGTTTAATTTTAGATCGCATTTTTTCCTTTTTACCCGTAAATTTTCTCCTTGCTGGTGACTTCAACGGTCACCATCCTGCTTGGAGCTCTGCTCAGCTATCTTCCAGAGGCACTCTTTTACATATTTCTATTGTCTCCCATGATTCTTTTATTCTCAACGAAGGCTCTCCCTCACGTATTAATCGTCTCCCACATAGCAATACTACCCCCGATATAATGATTTGTTCCCCAAACAATGCCATCTCGATGAGTTGGAAAACCACATCGGATCCTTTCGGTAGTGATCACCTTCCTATCCTTATTTCATGTCTCTTCCCCTCTTCCCAATTTCTCCCATTTCACCCAGCATCTACATCTTCTTCTTATCGTCTCTATTTCAGTACATCCTCACATTCTATCTAACGTATTCACGATAGTCGAATTAATGACTGCCATATATCACCGTTCTTCTGTAGCTTCCGGCCCCAACTTATTTCACCACTTTTTTTTAAACAACTACCACAAGATGTTTATCCATTACTTCTTAATATTTTAAACCGTCTATGGTTTAACAGCTTGGTTCCTCCTTCCTGGAAAGAGTTGAAGGTTTTCCCTATTCCCAAGCCCAATGGCGAGGGTTTCCGTCCTATCTCCCTTACTTCATTTTTTTGTAAGGTTGTGGAAACAATTTTAAAAAATTGTTTGGATTGGTGGCTGGAAACCAACCATTTTTCCCCAAGTAATATTTATGGTTTCAGACGTGGCCTTGGCACAATGGACTGTCTCGCTCATTTCTCGAGTCATATATATCATGCCTTTTGATATTGTCAGTTTATGGCGTCTGCATTCCTCGACATTAAGAGTGCTTACGATTTCATTCATACAACTACACTTGTACTTCGCTAATCTTCCTTGAATATTCCCCCCTTATTTTGTAATTTCATCTCGCAGCTTTTCTATCATCGCTGTCTCTTTTTCAACTCTCCCTTCGGTGACACCTTCATCGCATTAGTTACCTCGGCCCCCGTCAAGGTAGCTCATTAAAAGCTCTTTAATATCTACTTTCTATCCGTTATCCAGTCTTTATCTTCTAAAGGTTTTCAAGCGATGACCTAACAATTTTCTCTGTCTATAAAGATATCGAATTCGCTATTGATCACCTTCATTCCGCCCTTGTATGTCTCTCCACTGCCCTACGTGACAGCTGCTTTCTGGTAGTTCCCGTGAAATCGAATGTTTTAAATGTTTACCAGACGTTAGGTTACTCGAGATTCTTCCACCCGTCCACATGGACGGCTTTTATATCTCTTTTATTTCCACTTTTACCTATTTAGGTATTATTTTAGAAGTAAAACTTCGCTGGGATCCTCATTTTCATTATCTCCTTTCTTTCAATTCTAAATGGGCTAATCTGTATCGATCATTATACGGTACGAATTGAGGTGGTCATCCTTCCTCTCTCCTATTAATTTATAAGTCTATAGTTAGAGCTAGGCTCAACTATGGTACCTTCCTATTTAGAACAGCTTGTAATACCTTTCGCGTTAAACTTAATTCTTGTCTAGATATGTGTCAAAATTCCATTACTGGTGCCCTCCGCACCACCCTATCAATCACATTGGAAGTCGAACTATGCGTTTCTCCCTTGGAGGTTCGGGCTCGTAGCTTAGGTAGCAAATTCTTGATGAAAAATTTGGCTTCCCCTTTTAGCCACGATTCTATTCCCGGATTATATTTATTTATCTTCCGCGTTTGGCATTACTCGGCCAAATCCACCCCATCGTTATCCACAATTATCGATTCTCTGCGATCATTTATTTCTTTCATTCACTCTTCATCAGCCCGTTTGTATTTTTAAGACACATCATTCATTTGTTAAATGTTCTTCAATTATCTGTTCATCATTTCTAGGTTTTCCTATTTCTTTTATCAGATTCGTCCCAGCTTTTGTTGTTAATTCACTATTTAGTGATTACATTTTAGCCCATTATCCTAAATCTTGTCTAGTCTTCACGGACGGATCCGTTGCCAAATCCTCCGCAGGCTACTCTTTTTTCATCCCTAACCTTTGTATCAAATACTCCAATAATGCTTTCTTATCCGCCTCATCTTTTACAACAGAATGCCTTGTTATATTGGTAGCTCTGCATACCATTAAAACCTTAAATGCACGTCACTTGTCATTGTCTCAGATTCCTAATCTTGCCTTATGGCTTTAAATTCCTCCAACCTTCACCGTTTCTTATCGCCTAGTCTGTCCTCACGTCCTATAATTTCCTTGGTTTCATAATATCCCTATTTCCCGTAAAGTCATCATCTCCTTTTCTTGCATCCGGTTGGGCCAAAACCGCCTCCTGGCCCACTCATTTTATTCATCTCTTAATGATTCTCCCTTCTGTACTCGGCACGTTGATCCTGCTATATGCAATGCTTCCCATTTCCTCTTTAACTGTCCAGATCTTTTCATTAAGCCCCAGATTCTCTCCAATATCTGTTCTTCCTTTAATAATCCCTTTACCCTCCCACATATTTTCCAATTTCCTAATGCGTTCCTTATTACTTTCATCGTTAACTTCTTCCTCTCAAAAGGCTTTTTACTTTAATTTTGTTTATTATATAATATTGCTTTTCTAGTTGTTTTATACAGTTAAATTGTATTGTTTATTTATAATCGCTGAGACAAATATTTTAATGCGCCTCTTAAATAAAAAATAAAAATAAAATAAAAAAAAAACTTAATAGCATACAATTAATACACATATACTCTCAGATGAATATTCAAGAATTTTAAAAATATTACTTTAAGACAATTAGTAATTAATTGATTTATTTTTAAGATGGGCCTTTCTTTTCATTCACTAAACCTCAGCCCATTGGAGTCGTCGGTCAAATTATACCTTGGAATTATCCAATAATGATGTTAGCTTGGAAATGGGGGCCGGCTCTTGCTGCTGGATGTACAGTTGTTTTAAAACCAGCCGAACAAACTCCTCTCACTGCTCTGTATATTGCTGCATTAACTAAAGAAGTAAAATAAATTTACATTAAAATTTTACTTTTAAATTTAGTACAAAACTTGTTAATATTTCAGGCCGGATTTCCCGATGGAGTTATTAATGTTGTGCCTGGATATGGTCCAACGGCGGGTAAAGCCATTGCAAGCCACCCAGACATAAACAAAGTGGCTTTTACTGGATCGACAGAAGTAATAAGCAGCACGATTTAATATAAAATTATGAACTGTTGTTTTTAAATCTATAAAATTCGTGTTCAATGTTAGGTTGGGAAATTAATCATGGAAGAGGCAGCTAAGTCGAATTTAAAACGTGTGTCATTAGAATTAGGTGGGAAAAGTCCGCTTGTTATATTCAATGATTTTGACGGTATTTAAATTAATAATTTATTACTAAAGCTTTATTCATTGCATTTGTATTTTTAATTAATTATACTATAATATCTAACACTATATGCACAGTCGACGAAGCTGCTAGCATTGCCCATGATGCGGTTTTTGCTAACATGGGCCAAAATTGTTGTGCTGGTTCTAGAACATTTGTACAAGACGGTATCTATGATGAGTTTGTTAAAAAAGCTGCAAAACTAGCATCGCTAAAGAAAGTTGGAGATCCTTTCAATTCTGATACACAAATAGGGCCTCTGGTAATTTTTAAAACATAACTTATGCCAATATTAAATTAATATTATTATATTCATAGTTTAAAAATTTAAATATCATATCTATAATTATGATGTGTAACATAATATTATATTAAAAATTTTAGATTGACGAAAATCAATATAATAAAGTTTTAAGTATGATTGAATCTGGTAAAAAAGAAGGAGCCAAAGTAGAAGCAGGTGGTTCCAAAGTAGGAGATACTGGATATTTTGTGTATTCAACAGTATTTTCTAACGTGACTGATGACATGAGAATCGCTCGAGAAGAAGTAATTATTTAATTTCATAAATACTCATATTATAAAGTAATCATGTGTTATTTGAGATATCAACCCCTAATTAGTGTATTTCAATAAATTATTATTTTTATCCATATGTGGTATGAATTTGTCTGACATAATAAGACTGACGTAGACATTTTTACTTCTGCCTTTGTCCATAAAAATGTAAATGGAATTAGTGTCAATCCTCTCATGTTGTCCAGCCTAGTTAAGAAAAGCCAGCACAATTACTCATTACGTATATTATATGTATACATATTGTATATTTTTCAATATTTAATTACTACTTTAATTACTACCCTCTAAATATTCATCAAAAAATGTTTTTTTGTATTTTGTGGCAACCATGGATAATCAATTTCACATAGTTTTATTTAGTGAATACTAATAATTTGGTCAATTTGTCTATGATCAAAAATCATTGACTATTACTATAGGTAATAATATTGAAAATTTAATAAAATGCCTTTTTTATGTGAAAGTTAGAATATTAAAAGTTCAACAAATTTTATTAAAAATTTGATTTTTCTTCTATATCAACCATTTTTAGAAGTATAAACTAATCTATATGAATTCTCACTCAGAATCGTTTTTCTGAAAGTAATGGTACATTGATCTCAAGTTTAAGTCAAATATTGCAAAACAATTGTCCACCCCTGTATCTCATCCAACCTAAGATTCTCGTCCTTTTTAAATATTATGATTTAAATTTTAAAGCCTTAATATATTTATTATTTTGTGGGATCTCATTAATTTTCAAACTGTATAATACGTATAAAATAAATAACACTGTTTATATTATATTTTTAGATATTCGGGCCTGTTCAACAAATTATAAAATTCAAAACATTGGATGAAGTTATCAAACGAGCAAATGAAACTAAGTACGGATTAGCTGCCGGAGTATTAACGAAAGATATAAGTACTGCATTGAAGTATATGGAAAACGTGGATGCTGGTTCAGTTTGGTAATTATTAATATATTTAACAGCTAAAATATTTTTGTGGAATTCTAATAAATTACCGAAAATAAGAACATACCATCATTGATTATAAACACTAGTATTTAGAGAAATGTCGTTCGCGATCTACCTAGCTTTATTGAACATTTAACCCAAACGAACAATTTAAACTAGTTCACTAATGAACTATATCGTTCTTAAAAGAACGAATGAACGAATTAGCATCGTTCATTACGACAAATTATTCATTCGACGTAGATATCTTATCGTTGAATGAACTGAGTTCAGTGAACTAATTCATCTAAATGAACTTAATCCAAATACCATATTAACAATATTTTGGAACTTCCTTGTGTTTTTATAAAATATTAAATAATCCAATCTAAAAAATCTAAATGCTTAGTATAATTTATAAACAACCTTCGTGTTTTTTTTTAAATGTTTAAAATAGGGGCATGCCCAGAATTTTGTTTCGTGGTGTTATTTTAAATTTGTAACGTTAATATCAATTTTTTTGTGACGGCCAGTCAAATGAGTCAATATAATATAATATTATTTTTCTTCTCCGTTGCCATTTTCTAGGGCTGGATTAGAGCGTAGGGTTGCCATACGTCTCGGTTTTACCGGGATACTACCGGTTTTTAACCAAGTGTCCCAGTGCCCCGAGAAAGTGTTTCGGGACACAGCGATTTGTTCTGTTTCAACATTTTACTCGATAAAATATCAAGAAAATTGAAAACGTATGATATGGTCGATTTGATATCTTCGGATATCCCCAGGTATTTTCCAAGTGTATTTTTTTCTGCGGTAAATATTTTAGAATGTGTTGGCTATAATCTTATCACTTTGTATGCAGAAGTTAAAAAGGTAGTCCCCTCTTTGATTTCTAGTTCCTAGTCCGAATTTTCTTACTTATTCACCATCTGCACCTTATTTTACTATCACATTCCTATCTCTCATTATTATTAAATTATCTTCTCCGTTTGCTAGTTTGCAAAGCTCTTCTAGGCCAGAATAAACCTCTTCTTTAGCATTATATTCTACATCTGATGTGGGAAAGTACACTTGAATTAGTACAATCACTTGGTTTAGCTATAAGCTTAATTAATATAAGCCTATCGTTATATGCTATTTTGTTTACTACTTGGTGGCCCCATTTTTTATTTGTAATAAATCCTATACCAGTCTTTCCTGATTTTTCATCACCAGAATGGATGACACGGTAGTCGCCTAACCAGAAATTATCATTTCCTAACCATCCAACTTCACTCACCTTTTGTATGTGAATGTCCAATTTATTAATTTCTAGTTTAATCTCTAATTTGCTAGTATTTATCATAGTTCTAAAGTTCCATGTCCCAATATTTTTCCATGGTTTTCGCTTACTGACGACCTGAGAAGCCATGATACTTCCCCTGCCGGCACAAAATGCCGGCTGACATTTTCGAGTATATCTGTTACTGTAACTTCTAAACCTACTTTTACTTGATCCATATTGCTTTACTAAAAATTATAATGTGATGGGTTCCCTCCCTTTCCTCATCGCATTTGATAAACCAGTTAATTCAAATGGATCAGTTCCTTCCATTGCCGTTAGTTTTGCTGCACAACTCGCCATATTTTCATTAGTTTTCACTTATTAGTTATTTTAAAATATCAAATCGTACAATATCTTATTAATAAAAACAAATATTTACATTACCCATCTACCAACAAATATTTATGGATGCTCTAATTAGTTTTGAGTAGGACTGTCAAAAAGGTTACTTTTCAATTTTTTCCATCAGTATTGGTTGGACAAAAAGCATTTAATGCTGTTATAAAATTGTTTTTCAACACATAATTCTAATTGGTTTTATGATTTTTATAATTAATATAGGATCAACTGTTACGATGTTGTTAATACACAATGCCCATTTGGAGGATTTAAACAATCTGGACAAGGCAGAGAACTGTAAGAATTCAAAATAATATTTAATAATAATTTATATATTGATATGAAAATATTAATTTTTGCAGAGGAGAAGATGGACTGAATGAGTACTTGGAAATTAAAACGGTGTCAATCAAAAAATAAGTATTGTCATCAATTTAAATATTATTTACTATAATTTTGTATACATATAAATATACTTTTTGGTCAATAAAGTAATTTTATATGGAAAATAGTGTATTAAGTTTGTTCATTTGTATCATAAGATTACAATGTATTACATATTGTAAGCTACAACATTTTACACGTGTCCTCCAATCAGATAATATAGCGTTACATATTTTCTTATACCAATATCCTTCGTTAGCTAATATTTCCCAAAAATAAGTTTATTTATACTATTGATAAGAAATAAATGTATGAAAAATTAAAGATTTGATTACTACAAAAAAAAAATGGTGAAAGTAACTGTCACCAAACATTTCCCCTCTATCTAAGACTTATAAAACCTATTAATTTAAAAAAAAAAATTTTAATTGACATTCGACTTGGTCAAGCTGCAATTTTATTTTCACCTATGAGCAGAAACAAAAATTACCATTAAATGGTTAAAGGTTTAAACAGTTTTACAGTCAACTAATCAAGTAGAATATGATAAACAGTAGTAGTTTTATGGGGGGGGGGGCGGTCTGAAACATCCCAGCTCATGCGTTTATGTTATGATATATTTTATATTTTATTTATTTTGTCTTGTGACTAAAATGCTATTTTATGTTCTTTTTTTAGTGTAAGAATTACATTTTAAGACTTAAAGTAATAATGGGTTAAAAATTTTAAATAAAAATAAGTTAAACATTTTTTGTTTTCATATATTATAAGATAATGTAAAAGGACCTCCCCCAGAAACAATTAAAAAACCGCCATTAGTGATATCATTGAAAAATCAAATCGCTTGCTTTGTCCGAACTAAAGTATTTTATTTTATATAACAATACGGAACATTCCCAATTTAATATAATATTGATAACATATATAATTTGTATAGGATATTTTTAAATTAGAGTTGATGGGTCCTAATTGGCTAAACTCATCATGTGGTGCAATTGCTGATTTTTTGCGTAATTGGTGTTACATATTTATAAGAAAAATGGATAATTGTGACGGGAATAAAAGGACGGTACTTTGAAATTAATTTGTGTTAAAAGTTCTGGAGAATCATAAGCGTGCCCATGGGGGTGGCAGGGTATGCACTTGCACTCCCTGCGAGATGAAGCGGCCACTGCCACGAGCAAGACTGGATTGAGGGCGGTGGTCTAGCCGGGGTGGTAGCCCCAGGACTCTCTCGAGTATCCAAGTGAAAGGGACCAAAACAATTTTAAGCCGATACACATTTTTTATCATACTAAAATGAATAGTTTTATAGATATAAATTGTATGTTATATACCTATTAATTTTATAATTTTATAATGCAATTGACGATTTGTGAAATAGTTAAAAAACATGTATCGTTCTGCGAGTGTAGCGAGCAGCTTTGTAAAGCATGTTTTGTCAAAAAGACGTATATAAAATTTCAAACCCGGGGCTCAATAGGGGCTAATCCGGCCTTGACCGCAAACGCATACCAAATTTTTGCAAAACCAACGTGAATCCGTATAATTATCTATTAATGTATATGGATATAACAATACAGATATCCTGTAATCATTTACCTATATCACTATCACGATTAAAGATATAATGGTTGTTATCTCGTCGGATACGTGTATAACGCATTTTATAAGTTAGCAAAATTGATATATTTAAAAGGTCTTATAGAAAAATCCTATAATTGTTTTATTTTTTTGCGTATGATCCCTGAGTATACTCATTTAATGAAAGACCGGTTGAACTATACTCAGATAACCTTATTGAGTTAGTATGGATTATTATGGTTAGGGTTGCACCCTCTGCGAAAAAAGTCTGGACACGCCTATGAGGAGAATCTATTAGTCCATCAATAAGACGTCTTAGAAAAGTCAAATTAGTTTCAAGTCATCTGTCAGCTAAAGTTTGCATGTCAAGTTAGTATAAAACTGTTGAATAATCATGCATTGGGTGATCATTTTTCAGTGCATATGCCGCAAAGTTAAGAAATTTACGTTGAACACGTTCAACTTGATTTCTACCGCAAGAAGTACTTGGATCCCACACCGTATTCCAATATTGATCTCACAAACGCACAATATATTTTATAGGAATTACTAATTTAAATTCACTATAAATTATTTTGATAAACCTAATGTTTTTAATGCTTTACTACACATACTATCTAAATGAGCATGAAAATTTAACTCGCGATCAAAAACTATACTTAAGTCAGTATTCGTATTACCCGCATACAACGTAGAATGTATTATTAACTATGACTTATCATTTTTTTTTTTTAATTATTAACTAACTTTTTTTAGGTTTATATCGTGCTCAATTGTCTTAGAGCTTAATTTTCGCAGCGCTCAAGTTTCGTGCGCTCAATAGTCTTCGCCCAATTGTCGTGCGCTCAATTTTCTGCGCTCAATTGTCGTGAACCCGTATCCCTAAATTTGTTCAAGTTTATTCACATTTAAATAGTCATTAGGTATTGATTATGCATAAAAAATGTAAAATCACAAATGAATAAGAAAATATAAGGGAAGGAATCCATTTAGAAAAATTAATCGTTTTAATAATTTATATTAATATAAGGGATTATTTAAAATTAGTTCATATTAATATCTTATGTCAATACATTTTAGATAATAATGAATAATAATAATCAAAATATTTATATTTCTTAACATATATCTCTCCTGTTAAAATTAATTATCTTTAAATAAAACGACTAATTTTTCACAATATATTCCTTCCTTTATTTTTTCATATACAGTCGCAATTTTATTAACTTTGTATATACCTGATGATGAGTTTTTAATTAGAAACCGATTTACTTTACAAATATAATAATACTCTAGGCTAAGCTTTTATTACTTAGTATAGGTAAACTATTTCTTTATTTCTTTATATATTAATTAAAACATTTTGTTTTATTTTTTTTTTCATAACGAAACATCATTTATTTTTTACATACAAAATATTTTAGAATAAATTACCTTTGAAGGGCTATGAAGAAAAATGATATTAGTCAATATTTCAAAACTTGTCAATATTCCTTTTTTCTTAATATTTGTTCAAAAAATTGCAGTTTTAAAGTTTTAGGACTTAAAAAACTCAGAGATTAGGTACAAAATAATTTAAAAAATGTATTTTGGTAATTCAAAAATTTTTGATAAAATTACTTAAAGAAAAAATAAATTTTTAAAAGAAATTACAAGATAATATAATTATTAAATTTTTTTCTTTTCTTAACTATTATCGTTTTTCCCCTAAACCCTTCGTTTAATTTAAGTGACATCAGTTACGGGCCCTTTAATTTTAGAATTAAATTGTAGGGCTCCTTTTACAACATTTCGGGGGGTGTCTGGGCACACTCAGCACCATCCGTTCTCACGCCTATAATTATACTAGCTTATGTTTTATACTTACAGAAATTAGATATAAATTTAATAACTATCGATTCATCGACTGTCTAAAATTGTTCTAGAAAATATTGACGGTTATAGTATGTAGTTAATAACAGTCACGGGATTTAGGCACTAAGACTAAGTTCTTCGTTTTATGAGAGAGTTGACACTCGTATTTATTCTTTCCTATGTAGAATAAAAGAAATTGAAAAATGATTCTATTTGAAGGTCGGTTCACTATAATAATATTTCCCACGGTTTAAGATATACCTATAGTATTACCTATATAATCATATATCTACGTACTTACTACTGATATCAGTATAATATATACCAGCTACACAATTATATTATGATAATGTTCCTACAATAATCGATGTTATATTTATAATAGTGGGGACCACGATGTCTCCTAATGTGATAAATTTACATAGTTTAAACACTATAAATCTCTAGTCTACAAATATTATATCATTGTATATTACCAACATAATTGATCGATAATGTACTAAACTGTTATAAATTAAATTCAGTAGGTACCTGTTAGTTATATGACATTAGTCTACTGCAACGTTAGATAACATCTCATTTTAAAACCAATTAATATTAAATTTAAACATTTACATGGAAATGGCGAATCCAAACGTGGAAGTATTATTTAATCAGGTAATACTATAATTTACATTAATAATTTTAGTGTATGTAATCACTAGGGCTAGGGACTTCATGCCCTTAAAAACCTTAAAATATGTATGCATTTATGCCCTAAAGAATCAATAAATATGCTATTAAAATATGTATTTAAAAAAATTATATTTGTAATAAGTAATTAAATAAAAACATTTTATTAGTAATAAATTTAATAATATTTTTATATATGATAGATATGATGATCTGAGATAATTTTTTCTTTTTTTCAAATTTTTTTTTCATCTTACATTGAGTTTTTATCTAAAACAAAATACTTAAAATAGTTTTAAAAATAAATTAAATTTAAAACATTTTTTTTATTTTTAATATAGTTATAATTCTTCTAACCTTGAGCATTACATTGGACTATAAGATATTTTCTTAAGTTGGAAAATTTAAATGACTGCCTGTTATCAGCCAAAATAATTTTATATTTAGAAAAGGAACGTTACACGTCTACGGAACTTATTGGTGCAAACTTAAAAAATCGTAGGTCACTACTATCTGCAGGCAATCTATCCATAGATTCATTTTTCCATTTAAAATGTTCGACATTTTTTGTAGTTAGCCTTAGTTTGTGCAGATTCTTCAATTTTTGCAGAATGTATACGTTTTTTATAGTTTTAATTATTTTAATGCATTCAATTAGTGCACCAATAAGACACTTTGATGTCCAAGTTACGAGATATATGAAGAAATAAATCATAATTTTTTTTTATAAAATTTAAAAACTTACTCCTTCATATGAATAATTGTCAAATATGCATTTATAAAATGAAAAATGGTCAAATATGCAAAATATGCAACTATAAATTTTAAATATAAACTTGTATTGCTTTGAAACAAATTTATATATTACTTAGCTATATTTTTGATAATTATTTAAAAACATGCAAGTTCCTAGAAGTCCCGAGCCTTATTAATCACTATACTATGTAAAACATACATACTACATAATGATTACAATTTAAATACTATTTTTATGGAAACGTCATTCCTCCTTTTAATATTTGTTACATTTAAAGAAAAGATTTATATGAACTACACAAGAAAAATTCCTTAAAAAAATATGGTTTAATGCATTCATGACAGATTTTTTATAAAAATATCATTAAAAAAATGCTCTTAATATGATTTACAAAATTGAAAAATTTTGTTTTGTTATTATATAAATTCTTATTTTTATTAATTATTCGTATAATTTTATTAATAATCTTCTCCTATATTTTTTTTTAACTGGTTAATTATTTCCAAAAAATGAATATATAATTTACATAGAATACGTTATAATTTTTCTTTGTGTTCCATGTGAATAAATTAACATTAACTATATTTTTATAAACATTTATCCATTTATATATAAAAATTATTTAAAAATATTAAAATGCACTAAAAAAGTCAAAAATATTCTAGAGTAAAAATTTTTAAAAATGCATAAATATACAAAATTAATATTATATTTTTCAATTCCTTGATGTATGAATTGAACTTTGTACTTGGAAATCAATGTTTTCAAACATTCAAAAAAAAATTCAATTTGAATTCAAATTCGTTCCCTAGGTATAATGAAGTAGCCTAAGGTTATATGTTTTGATAGCAATTATTCTCAAACCTCAATTATTAAAATTTAGAGTTCATGAATTCTGTAGTAATGGCTTAAAGAACTAAGGTATACATCAAACAATAAAAAATATAATTATTTATATGGAATTTTGTAAAATATGAAATAATAAATATTAAAGGTAAATAACATTTATTTCATCCATAATTTATACATTTTTTTAAATAAATGTACAATTCACCCTTTAGGGAAGTTAATTTTTAATTTGTATACACTGAACATCTATTGGACATTTATTCGGATATGAATGATAACTTTATGTTTAGTACTAATAACAGTTAACAATTATGCAATAAATCTGTATTATAAAAATTTATTATTTACAATAATCTATACATTTTTAGATATTTATTAACAACAAATTTGTTAGCTCAGTCAGTGGAAAAACATTTCCTACTATCAATCCTGCAAATAAAAAGATAATTGCCAATGTTGCCGAAGGGGATCAGGTAAGTTATTCATTAAACTAATCTTACATAAAATTATCGATATCTAATTATTAAATATAAATAAAAAACAATTTATAAAAATATACTCCTTTTTTATTTTCATGCAATTTCTAATCATGCAGGTTAAAATTACTCTAATTTACTGTAAAATAAACTTTAATTTATAATCACCTGATAACATAACATTCAGACATTCAATGGAACAAGAATTATAAGAGAAATTGGAAAAATTCTAAGAAAAATAAATTAGATGGTTATAGATAATGGAAAAAATTAATTATAAAATAAAATATAACATTTTTGAAACAACGATTCTCAACAAAGTCTACCAGATTTAATTTATGAGCGAATAACTGAAGAAAAGTCTTCATTATTGAACTTATTATTAATTGGCAAATAATGGTACATCATATTTTCAATATTTGCTGAAGTAAGCAAAATGTTGAACGGTTCGATAGCTATTTATAGGCTTATAAGTTATAGCGTTGATTATAGAATAATTGATTGTAATAATTAATGGTTTTAGTTACATTATCTTATTAGTCCATACCATTAATAAAACCACTTTTCAATGTTTCTTATAATTATGTATATTGTTATTTATGTGATTTAGATTCAGGGCCAGCGTTAGGGGGGTATAGGGGATTTTACACCCCCCACTCGGCAAATTTGATTGTATCTAATCGGCACAATTACAATTTAAATAGCGGTCGTCAAATTGTTTTTCGTAAAATGAAAAATACAAAAACATGTCGATGTAAATAATTTATCATTTATTGTATTTTCGTATCTATGAAGATAAGGGACTGTCGACTGAAATATGAAATTAGGAATTACCATTGAACATTTAAATGTCTATGTGTTGTTGTGAATAGTATACAAATATATTTATTAATAGGTTATGTGTACATTATTGTACATTGCTTATCATTTTACTAATCGCTCGGGCCCGACGCATAGACGTAGAGTACAAAGCATTTTATTGTGGTGAACCATTTCCTAGCTACTCAATATAAAGTACTAATTTCTAAATTAGCTAATTTATTTTATAATGAATGATTTTGAAAAAGAAAAACGCAAAAGGAAGAGGATAAAACTTGAGTGCTTGTCTTGTGGTAGTACATTTGATGACGACTACCGTCGAAAGCACGAAAAACAAGTGCACAACGGAGCAAAGGTTAAGGTGAAACACCATAGAGCAGCAAATAATCCGTTCGTACATGCTCGGTTGAATTTCGAACGAAAGGTATTATAATTATACGATATCTGAAAATAATTAGAGTAGAATAGTGTTTGTACATTATTGATACGTATTTATGAAACTATTGAAACTAGGTAGGTAGGTACCCTTCATAATAAAATTCATTTTGAATTATACTTAATGTGTTTTAAAAAAAAAGCGGATCTAATAAAATATACTAAATAGGTAAGGTTAGGTACCTGTATATATGTAGCAGTGATTTATACTTTGATTTTGAAGTGTTTGTACTACTTACCTAATAATAATTTTTTTTTTAACATTTAATAAAATATATACAATCTGTAAAACAGTTTACAATAAGCATACGAGCGCAATATAGTAAATATGGGTTTGAATGCTTGAGGCAAGTTAGATGATTAAAATTGTATACGTAAAACATAGGCGCAAATAGCGTTTGAGATTTGGGGGGGGCTGAAGCCCTAGGTACTGAATTTTACATCATAAACTATAATAATACTAAAAAGGCTTAAAAAAAATCAGAAAATGTTTGGGAGGGCTATTGAAGTGTTTGGGGGGGGCTTAGCCCCTAAAGCCCCCCCCTATTTGCGCCTATGACGTAAAATTAATACACACACGCATCTGACGCATCATGTATAAATACATATATTGTATGTATCTACTTATTATACATGTTTATTTATTTATTGTTATGGTATATTTACAACTCATCCTTTTAAGTAGGATAAATTAATTAGTAAAAATTATAAATAAAATTAAATAACCAATGTTATAGAAAAATGAAAATAATACAGACATAAGTACAAAAACATCGGAAAATGAAGTTGGTCAACTATTATCTGAGTCGTTTGATGTAGATAAAAATAAAATCGATTTTGACTCAAGTTTAAAATATGACAAATTAGAATTACTTCCTGCTCAGTTGGACAAATGTAGTGAATATATAAAATCATCTATTGTGAATACAGATCATGAAATATTATTAGTCAAATTGCAAAAAACTGATATTTTTGATAATTTAACGTGTTTTCCGGAAAAAAAAGACGATACGAGTGATACAACTAAAGATGAAACGTGGGTTACTTGTGCAGGAATTTTCGAGTCATTACTCTGTGATTTGAATATCTGCACTGATCTATTGAACAAAATTAAAAGTGATACAGTTCCTAATCCTATAGCTTTTTTAGTTGAAAGTGTTGACATTATTTCTTTATTTAAAACGAAAGCAACAGAATATATTAATTATGCAATAAATGTATTAGCTAAAGAACTTCCTTCTGAACAGCCCGAACTCAATTTATCCACATTACCACAAGATAATATTATTGATAATTTATTAGACCACGATCCCGGAAAATGAGGAAAGATTGAATCAAGTTCTCAAAGAAATTACTTATTGAGTTTAGGACCTTTTCAACCAAAATTGGTAAAATTCTCCATTAATATTGATATTTCTGAAAGTAAACAAAAACAATTTTGTTCAAATTGGTATAAAGAGTATCCATACTTAGAATATAGTATATTTAATGATTCGACATATTGTTATATTTGTGGTTTATTTCCAAGTGGGCCTAATCGATCATTTGCTGATCCTGTGTGGTCAATAACTGGAATAAGACATTGGCATAAAATGAAATCTCACGGAACAAAAAAGCCGGGAAAGCTTGAATAACATTTTACTTCGAATGCTCATAAAGCTGCATTAAGCGACTATAGTAATTTTGTTTTGCATTCTAACCACATAGACAATTTGTTAAATAAAAAACACCGAGAAAACGCCATACATTTTTCAAAGCAAAAAGAATATCATAAGGCTGTAATAAGAATTTTATTTGACGTATCCCGTACACTAGCTGACAAGGACTAGCTTTTAGAGGCGATAGTGACGAAAAAAATGGAAATTTTTATCAGATTGATTTGCTCATATCACGTCACAATTCAACTATGAAAACATGGTTAAATGACTCTTCTTTTCGACGATACCACTCAACCTATCTAAGTCATGACTCTCAGAATGAATTTATACATTTATTAGCTAAAGAAACAAAAAATAACATAATTGAAGAAGTTAAAGAAGCTAGCATGTATTCAATCATGGCTGATACAACGCCTGATTTATCACATAAAGATCAATTAAGTGTCTGCTTACGTTATATTAACTCGAAAGCTGAAGTTTGTGAATGTTTGATTGCTATTGATGAAATTGTCGATAAAACTGGAAAAGGTATAGCAAGTAAAATATCAGATGTTTTGTCCCAAAATTCACTTGATTTGAATAACATTGCGTTCCAGTCGTACGATTTTGTAAGTAGCATGTCCGGTAAAAATCTAGGTACACAAGCTATGCTATCAAGAATTGTTGGACACAACATACCTTTCATACCTTGTCAAGCACATCGTACAAATACATTTATTGAACATAGTTGTTCTGCTAGCACCAAAATTATTCTTTTTTTTCAGTATTAGAAAGTTTATATGTATTTTTTACTTCAAGTACTAAGCGTTATTTTTATTTAAACAATAAATTATTGGAAATTGATATCAAATTAAAGTTACGTAATTTATCGATGACACGGTGGACTGCACGTGCTGAATCGATTAAGGCTGTTTGGGTTTTATTTGAATATATACTAGACGTATTGAAAGAATTAATTAATGATACAAACGTTGATTCTAATGCAGATTTTAATAAGTTTCACAGACAATGAAATTTACCAAAAAAAATTGACTGTAATTCTTCTACACAAGCAATATTTAATTTACAAACATTTTATAGGAAAGAATTTAAAGAGGTATTGGATTTGTTAATTAATGAATCTGCTACTAATTTAAGAGATTGTTTTAAAATAGTTGAACCAATATTTAAAGTATTGAGTATACCAATAAAAAGTGATATTAGAACTGAAGATGTCAAAAAAGCTTGTGAATTATTTCCACCTTCATACGAAGCTTCATTTGTTACTGATTACGATGCTATATTATGTCAAATAAACATACTTCGTCATAAAACGGAACATGAAAATACATTGGAGAAGGTTTTGAATGTTTCTGAATCTTTGAAAACTCTTGTTCCTGTAGCAAATTCACTTTGTCGATTAAGTTTTACAGCCCCCATGACAACAGCCTCTAATGAACGTTCGTTTAGTAAACTAAAAATTATTAAAAACTACCTTCGTACAATAATGGCAGTAAATAGACTTGATGACCTCATGATTTTAAAACTTGGCCAAAGATATAGTTGATAACTTAAATTTGGAAGATCTTATAATCAATTGGGCTGCATTAAAAGAACGTCGAATCAAAATTTAATTTTTTTTTTTTTATATCTATAGAAGTGTGAACTATACATTTAAATACGTTTGTTAGTTACTTATAAATTATAATTTTAATAGGATGTTTTTTTAAACTAGGAAAGTTTCTCTTAAATAAATTTAATTTTGTTTTTATTTGTCATAAACTGAAAAAGTATTTTAAAAAAAATTAACTTATTATATAATCTTGTTTATTATTAGTTATTTACACATAACAATGTATTTACAAAAAGGTCTCATTAAATTCAGGTAAGTAAAATAAATATTTAAGTCGGCATTTTATTATTTTGACACCCCTCCTTATGAATAATTTTTCACGCCGGCCCTATTTAGATTGTATCAATCAAACTAATTTCACCATTAATTATGTAATCCTGTGCACATATAAAAATAGATTGACAAGATTATAGTTAAGTTTTGAGATATTTTTTAAACAATCCTGTCAGAAACTAATTTAAAAATTAAGTATAGATTTGAGCAAACGTATACTTCCATGTGATTTTTATTCATATTACCTAAGAAATAATACTTCTTATTACCATTAATTCTTCTTTTTTCTCGTATTAAACTCTATGATTGGCTTCGCAGTCGGACACGCACTCTCCACTCTTCCCTTTTTTTCAGCTAACTTCTTCAGATATGTATAGATAAATATTTTGTTATCAGAGATCATTTGTTCGACATATTAAATTATTGGACATTGACGGTCTTTCTAAAATTCAATTTTCCCTTCTATTCGTTGGTATGGTGTTTTATTCAACTCACTCGTAGTATTTCAAAACTTTGAGGATTTGTTGTTCTGCCTTCTTTGGTGTCTAAGTTTTGCAGCAGTCTAGTGCGAACCATTAACCGCGATACACGTAATTAAAAGTTGCCCGATCCTTTTACTCACGCCAGCCGTTTACTTTTTTGTACATACAAGTATGATACCTCATTAGAATCATTTAAAAAAAAGTACACCAAAAAAGTACAACTTAAAAAAATTTGGTTGACCCTAAAATTATCTATTCGAAAAAAATCTGATAATTTCAATTAATAATTTTCATGTTATATCATTATCGACACATAATTTCATTTTTTCGTACACAGTCAAGACTTTCCGACCCGGGCGGCAGTCATTATAATTTCATATCTAACAGATAAACAATTTATGACGAACAAACAAAATTTATCTGCACACCGCTCTAATAATAATAATGGCTCCAAAACGTAATCATAAATAATAATAACCCGAATAAGGCCACCACTCGCAACGCACGTATACAGAGCACCTCAAGTGAATCTGTCTTCTCAACTTCAGAATTTTGCAATAAAAACAAAAACGAATTCGAAATGGTTAAAGACAAAGCCAAACGCCATATATCTTTCTCCAGCTCTTCGGGGAAAAAAAAAAGAATAAGAAATACAAATAATTATTTATCTCTTCTAACCGCTACACCATAATTGTTGTGGACGACGACTCGGAACTGGATAATCACACCCAAAATCACACAACAAATTCTAGTACAGAGCAAGAAAAAAACTCACTTCCACCTCCTATAATAGTTCGCGGTGTTAAAGACTTTTCAAGTGTAAGAGCTGAACTATTAGACATAGTTAGTTCCGATAACTTCTATAGCAACAATAAACAATCTAAAAATTCAACCTAGGAATCCCGACGTATATAGAGCAATTATACATTTTCTAAAAGACGCAGAGGCCGAGTTCCATACGTATCAAATGAAAGATGATAAAGCATTCAGAATCGTCCTACGAAAACTACATCCTACTACAGTACCAATTGAAATCAAAACTGCAATAATAGAAATTGGTTTCTCTGTTCGCTCAGTCACGAACGTTCTTAGCAACACTGAAAAAAATTAAATTACCCCTTTTCTTTGTGGACCTTGAACCATCCGAAATAAACAAAATATCTTCAGGGTCAACATCTTACTAAATACGATAATAAAAATAGAAGAAGGATTCGGGCCACTTTGCAAAGAACCAGATATCCCTCAAATAAAATAATTTTTAACAAACTATGCACAACTCTAAAAAGAGAAGTAGCTAAACAACGCGTTGCAACGTTCTGATGATTTTATTAAATATACTACCTTGTTATCAGAAAAAGACGGTTCACTTTGGAGAGCTACTCGAAAAATATTCAAACATAAATCAACCATTTCTCCATTAAAAAAACAAGATGGAAACTAGGCAATAAATGACACTGAAAAAACTGAAAAAAAATAAAAATAAAATAATACAACTATAATAAATATTCCCGCTGAAGTATTTTCAGTGGACAACCTCTTTAATTCACGCATTTCATACAAAATAATATTAGTGTTATATATAAGTAGGAACTATTGTATGCTTATACTTACAATTAATCACTATACTATTGTTTATTTCTATACTCCCCTATGCTTACTGTACCATATGCGTTCAGATTGTATAATTCTCTAATTAATAATTAAAAAAAAAAAAAAAGGATTCGCAGCTGTTATTAATTATAAAATATAATATTCCATAATCAATGCTATTACTTATAATTTACTCAACTGAACAAATGTAGTGAATATTATTTTATGTGAGGAGTTAATAGGCTATATTAATGTGACGATACTTAAAAAATATTCTATGTTTTTTTAGCTCCTTGCTGAGCCATTTTGAACGTTAAAAAATTGCTCATTTTAAAACGCACTATAATATGTGAGAAGATAAGATTGGTTTATTATATTATAGGCTGATATCGACTTGGCAGTTAATGCAGCAAGAACTGCGTTTCAACCAGGTTCTGAGTGGCGCTCGATGGACGCATCTGCTCGGGGCAAATTAATTTATAAATTATCCGAATTGATAAATCAAAACAAATATCATTTGGCTAACTTAGAGTCATTAGACACTGGTAAACCATTCAGCAACTCGTTAATAGAAGTGGAAACCACTGTTTCATTTTTTCAATATTATGCTGGATTTGCTGACAAAATTCATGGAAAAACCATACCAGCAGGTACATAAATAATATTTTTATATCATACAAATAGTTTTTCAAATATTTATTTACTATTAGAATAAAATTTACTTGCTTTTTATGTTTTCCACAAACTATTAAATTAGTATGTTATTATATAGATGGGCCTCATTTTTCCTTCACAAAACTTCAACCCATTGGAGTCGTTGGACAAATTATACCATGGAACTATCCAATTTTGATGTTGGTTTGTAAGTGGGGAGTAGCTCTTGCCGCTGGATGTACAATTGTATTAAAACCAGCTGAACAGACTCCTCTTACTGCTTTGCATATCGCAGCACTGACGAAAGAAGTAAAGTCGGATACACAACTATAAACTGTAAAACTATCATTTACAACTTCTTATCATTATAGGCAGGATTTCCCGATGGAGTTATTAATGTTGTTCCCGGGTACGGTCCAACGGCGGGTAAAGCTATAGCTAGCCATCCAGACATAAACAAAGTGACTTTTACTGGATCAACGGAAGTAGTAGAGATCAATTCAAGGTCTTTTTTTCTTTGTATAATTTATAATTAAAATTTAATTAGGTTGGAAAATTAATAATGGAAGAAGCTGCCAAATCCAATTTAAAACGTGTTACATTAGAACTAGGTGGAAAAAGTCCTCTCGTAATATTCGATGATTTTGATGGTAAAATATGTTTTCGAAGTTTAATTTGAAATTTGATTTCAAATTAGTATTAATAACATATTATAAATATAAGTATTGTTTTTAAAATTATTCATATATCATATTTCAATCATCGACTATTATGTAAATAGTTGACGAAGCTGCTGATATTGCTCATGACGCGGTGTTTACCAACATGGGACAAAATTGTTGTTCAGCTTCTAGAACATTTGTTCAAGAAGGTATTTATGATAAATTTGTCGAAAAAGCCACAAAACTTGCATCCAACAAAAAAATTGGCGATCAGTTTGATCCCGATACACAAGTATGGCCTTTAGTAAGTCTAAAACGTTTCATTAATTTTTTTTGTTGTGTGTTGCATAAAATAAATATTTTACATAATGTTTATAAAATTATTTTCCAGTTATGCGTTTGAACGTGTAATATTAACTGTTATTATAATGACATTTATAGATCGATGAAAGTCAGTACAATAAAGTCTTAAGCATGATTGAAAGCGGTAAAAAGGAAGGAGCTAAATTGGAAACTGGTGGATGTAAAGTGGGCAATACAGGATATTTCGTACACCCAACAGTATTTTCTAATGTGACTGATGATATGATAATTGCTAAAGAAGAAGTTAGTTAACAGATATGTACAGGTTTCAATCTGTAACAAATATGAATTCTTTGTATACATACTACAGTTAATGAAAGCATATCATTGATATTTGAGCATATCGTTCCCTTAAAAATAACACTAACATTGATTTTATAAAATATACATCAAACATGTATAACATGTATAAACAGGCCCACATTTAAAAATGATGTACCCCCGGGTATATAATGTATGCCCCCCCAAAAAAATAAATAATAATAATATAACACTTATTATTTCGTCCATAATCAAGATTCTTTAATATTAAACTATAACTTATAAATAAAAGTCGTTTAATACTTTTTTTAATTAACAAATTAAACAAATTATAACATAATAAATTTTTATTTTTCATGTGGTACATCATTTTTAAAATTAATTTTGCTAAAATATTTTACCACCCCTGAGATTTAACGCCCCCGGGCATGTGACTACCCGTGCCCCCCCTAAATACAGGCCTGTGTATAAATGTAACTTTAACTTTCATAATCAGGGCTGTGCTAATCAGGTGTGCAAAGTGTTAAAAATACAAGGGTGGCTTTATAAATAAAATTCCAGAAAAATAAATTATAACAATTACTTTTGCAGTGATAATTTATTACAAACATAATATATAAAATATATTAATATTAAATATACAGACTCAAAATTATTTTAAAAAACACTGGTTAAAAAATCTGTGAACAATGTTCAGATACACAATTTGAGGGGGAAGAAGTAGCAAATTTGTTTATATAACATAGGTGGCTAAATAGTACAAATTATACTTTTAAACTACCTATAGGAAGGGCTGATACTAAAAAGGCTAAAACGGTACTTAACATTAAGTCAAAACACGTATTTAAAACTAGGACTTTGTGGCAACAAAACTCATCCGGTTGGAATCAATTTAAATAATTAATTTTTACAAAATGTTGTCCCACTTTAACGTATTTATTATCTTAATTTTCGATAAATGACTAAATTGAATACATTTAATTTTAATTTAGTCATAAATAAAACAAGGACTCCTCTTAGCAAGTCAGCTTTGATTTCGTAAACTAATTTATAATAAAATTAAACAAATATTATATTTATATTTAATTTTAGATATTTGGGCCTGTTCAACAAATTATAAAATTTAAAACATTGGACGAAGTTATCAAACGAGCAAATGAAACTAAATATGGATTAGCTGCTGGGGTATTAACTAAGGATATAAGCACTGCATTGAAGTATATGGAAAACGTGGATGCTGGTATAGTTTGGTAATTAATAAATTATATTTTATAATAAAAATTAATTATTTGAAGTTAAGATTTTCTTTAAGTATTTACTATACAACCCAGTGGCGTAACCAATGGTTGGCTGAGGAGTAACCAATGGTTGGCTGAGGAGCCCTTCAGCTCCCTCCCCCCGAAATGTAAAGAAAATTATATTAATGTCTATGAAAATCGCTAGAAAAGAAAAAATATTTAAAAATTTTAGTATTAACACTTTACTATCTATCTGTGGTAGTAGGCAGTGGCGTCGACTTGTATTTATATTTATTAGGGCAAAGTATAAAAATTTGTTAATACCACCATCCAAAAAGAGCAAAATAATGACAGGCTATATGATTGAATGAATATATTTTAAATTTAACCATCATAGCTTTAGCATTTTTTTTTTTATTGTTTGGTATTTTTAGTAACTCATTTTGTGGAAACGCCGAACAGCCAACAGCCTGCACTAATAAGTCTATTTTAGAACATGATTGTATTTATTGTTAAATGTACCGCTTAAAACACATAATAATAATAATATAAATTATGATCAAGTAAAATTTCTCATATTATCTATTCATAAAGTCATTGAAATTTCACATGATCAAATATTTGATACGTTTGTTAACAGCGGAAAGACTTAAAGGTTAAAATAGTCGTTTCAATTTTTTGTCATTTAATAATAAAATTAATTAAATAGGTATTGTTAATTATTTTTATTTATCATATTATATTCATGTTTATTAAGTAGGGGTTTGTTTTATTACATAAAATGTTGGTCTATTATATTATCAGAGGCGGATTTCCCATTAGGCACTGTAGGCAGCTGCCTAGGATGGCAAAATTTGGGGGCGGCTAATTCTGTAGTGTTTTATTAGAAAACATCAAACGTATGCAAAAAAAAAAAAAAAAAAAATTGGAAAATTATTTACTTTATATTTATGAAAAATAATTGTATAATAATGCATTTATGTGCATTTTGTTAATATATTATTGTCGGAATTTCGGGGAAAAATAAATACCCCCACTGTCACACTATATTACTAATTCGACTGTATTAATAATCCTATGCTGCTATTATGAAAATCTGTTTTTAATAAAATTTGGTGGACATCCATTGACATTTTTTCGAAGTAGACTAATTAATAAAAGCGAAAAAATAGTCTTAACATTCAAATGGATATAGGTACATATGCTTATATATTTAATATTTAGATTAAGTATTTCGAAAGGCGTAATATAATTTCTTCGCCTATTATAGGGGCGGCAAATTTTTGGTGCCTATAGCCGTAAAAAAAAAAGATAAATCCGCCTCTGTATATTATGCCCTATTCAGTGCTTGACTTGGCAAAATTAAAGAAGGATGACTCTGTTTAATAATAATAGCGTCTCCAAGACTAGTTAAGCGTTATAATTATAACGTAATAATAATAGAGGGACGCTATAATTTCTGAAAATTAGTTGGAGTACTCTGTCCCAATGCGTCCTCCCTCAAGCGCTGGTCCAATTAAAAAAAAAATTCATTGCTATTTTTATTATTTTTTTTTTTTTTTTAATAAATAATACATGTAAAATAATTTATTTTATTTAACTATAAAATACAATATTCAAAGTATTTAAAGTATATAAGAGTATTATTAAATCAATATATATTAAGGGTTATAGGAACCAAAATCTAAAATATAACTTTGACATCCGCATGTTAAACTTATGGATGAACCTATCTAAACCACCACTGTGTAAAAATTGATAGGCCCCCCTGAAGAAAATCCTGACTACGTCACTGATACAATTTCTAAGTCAAGGTTAAGTTAGTTCACCTGCAGTTCATATAAAAAATACATATTTTGACATTTAAAACCCATGAAGATAGTTGCATACGTATTGTTTATATGTAAATATAATCTTAAATTAAAGTTATTTTTTTTACCTACCTATTTAAAATTAAAATGTTGCATTGAATGATAAAAGTATTTTTGTTGTATATTTATTTTTACTAAAAAAATAATTAATGAATAAATTGATGTGCAAGGTCTTCAACAATTTGACTAATTTGTTTTTACAAAATATATGTTACATTAGTAATGAATCAGATGTATATCGTATGTATAATAACAAACTTTCAACATTATTAGGGTTAACTGTTATCTTTCCTTCACTCCACAAGCTCCATTTGGAGGATTCAAACAATCAGGATTTGGAAAAGAACTGTAATATTTTTGAATTACTATAAGTCATCAATAAATACATAATTAATAATTATTTATTTACAGGGGAGAAGATAGTTTCAAGGACTATTTAGAAATAAAAACCGTCACAATTAGAAAATAAGATTCGTCTTCCGTTTAAATATTAATAATAAATCTAATATTTAAAATTATATTACAAATTATAACTTATTTGAATTTTGTTTGACATGTTTCTAACATGACTTTTTTTTTTTTATTTATTTTGAAAATTTACAATTTGTATTACGAAAACACAATAAGTAAATGTGGTAGTGTGTACAACAAAACAATATAATAACAGAATGACATGATAAGGGAGACTATCCAATGATAGAGCCCTTCAGACTTAAATTAAAAAATAATTTATTGATTTTTTTTTTTTTATATCATAAAAAATCTCGACACCAGCGCCTTTTCAGGCGACGAGGGTTGTCGGGTAGTGTAAGTGAAGACAAATGGGAAATAAGAGGATTTTGGTGTTTAACTTGACTTAAATTAGTAAAAAAAAACTAAACTTAAATATTAGTAAGTTTAACATCTTATATAAGTAGTAACCAAACTTATATTACTTTATATTAAAAACATTTTGAATGATAAATTGTAGCATTTAGGCAAAAATCAATGATACTGATTTTGAAAGAATACTTTTCAGGCGTTATGTATTGCAGCAAATGACAATATGTATATAATTTTTGAAATTATTACTTATTTAATATTATTTAAATTATTAAATTGGTGGTATAACTAATACGAGTGTATGGTATAAATTATGTTTTAGTTGAGGGCTATATTTAAAATTTTTCCACAATCAAAGAATTTGGCAAGAACATTTTGTCGTCCCTCTTCCCAAAAGTGCAAAACCGAAAATAAGTTATTAAGTTAAATTATTTATTAATAAGACACTGTTACACTTGCAATTCGTTCATTCTATTTCAATACCTAACCTAACCCAGGGGGGTTTTCACATCTGGATCCCTCCCATTGAAATTTCTACATACTCAAAGGTTTAATAGTAAATATATTAGATAATAGATTATATAATACATATATCTATAATGTATATATATATATATATATATATATACATGATTTATAAACCATACTATAGTATATTAATAGTAATTTGTAGGTAATGAGTTTAACTATAATTATAATTAGAGAACAGATAAAATAAAAATTTTGTACCCCCCCTCTCATAAGAAATGCCTGGGTACGTTTCTGTTTCAGTATACTGTTACACGATATTTGTAATCTATAAAAAATCCAAAATAATAACTGACTTTTAATAAAGTTATATAAATTGGTGGTACTTTTTGAGTCCCATCTCCATACAAATCAAGATTAAACTAATACCTAAATCTCTATAGTAATTAACATATTATGAAGATTTAATTACTTGGTGTGGAGCAGTGGCGGACTGGATATTGAGGGGGGGGGGGGGTCAACTGGACCTATTATTATTATATTTTAGTAAATAAATAGTTTTAGTTAATTGTACTCAAGTCATCCAAATTCGGATATTTTAATAGTAAATGATTGGTGTTTTACCATTATAATTTAATATTATATTTTGTATACGGGTAATTAATAATATCATATTAATCGAGGGCCCAGGAGGCGATCACCCCTTTGTCTCCCTGGCCAGTCCGCTTCTGGTGTAGGGGCGAAACCCACGCTGGTTTATAAGAAAAAAACTGATGGTGGGTGTCTGAATTAACTTTTATAATATTGCAACATGACCTAATATGGCCTTCGTCGCGACTGGTATTAGAAAACATTGTATGATTATTATTACGTTTTCTCAAGTTGTAGACAAATCCGAATTCTATGCTCCGGACATCATGTTATAATATTGTCTGTGCAACTTTCCGAAGTACCTCTTAAATACGGCCTTGTGTGTGTTTATTTTTAACAGAAGGATTGGTCCAATCGTCACTGGATAAGTAGTGGGAGAATTTATAAATTTTTTTGAATTTTTCAACAGTTTTTCGAATAATTATGAAAAACGGGGAAAAAATTAAAAAAAAACTATTTATTTTAAGTGAGATTCAAACTTTTACCAACAAAAATCACCCAATATTTTGTCACGTACTATTTTTTTGTCTGTGAACACAATTTTGACCAGGATTGCTCTGATCATCATAATCATAGAAAATTTTTGATAGGAAATTTCGTCTAATTAGTATTTTGGCAAGGGCAATTTTAAAAATGTCCCTAGTTTTCTAAATAATTGTAAAAATCTGACGAAAATGTATAAAAATAAAACAATTCATTCAATTTTCAACAAAATCTAATTTTTGTTAAAAAGCAATCTTGTTAAAAGATACTTATCGTTTATATTTAAATAGAGATATAAATACATCAATTTTACATTTACTTGTATAGTATTTCAAGTACTACTATCAATAAGTACTAAAGAACAAATAAAAAAACTTGGTTAGAATTTAAATACAAATAGTTTTATAAATATAATTGTTGTAACTTTATAATCAATACCCTTACTCTGATATTAAAACTTTAAATTTGACAATTGAGATCACAGACTCATTCAAACTGTATATTATATACATAGGCGTACGCAGACCTATATTTCAGAGGGTCCCTACAAAACTTTTGGGCTCTATCTTAACAAAACATGTAAGTTTTAACAAATTGTATTGTATAAATAATTAAATAAACAACTTTTATTTTTTAATATTTTGGTATATTAGTCTCAATGAATATGTTTTCCTTGAATCACGTATATTTTTCTCAGATAGCTTAAATTATTTATGATTTGTACTTTATTTGTCAATTGTAGCAGCTATAAGAATTAATTTGCAAGTAAATTGAGAATATTTTGTTTTTTTTTTAAGAAAAATTAGTCGTATATTTTTTACTAAATAATTTAGAATAAATTACATTTAATTTGAGCAATATCAGATAAAATACGAGCGCCTTACTTTTTGACTTAAACTGAAGAGCCCCATTTACAACATTTCAAGGAGTACCTAGGCACATTCTATCTTATTATGAAATTTTTGTTCTTTTAAAATATTAACCAGGTTTAGAAATGTTAAACAATCCTCCAAACTTTTTTCACACTATGAATGTAGTACTATTACATGTATGTTACTAGAAGTATGTAACCTTCCTTTATTAATTTGAGAATCAACTTTTTTGGAAGATTTTTAGAGTGTATATAAAAACACTTAACTAATAATGTATTATTTATTTTTAAATTATTCAAAATATTTTATTTTTATTTAAATATATACTAAAAGTGAACTGAATAGTTTTCTATTTTTATTCAGCTGATGGTACACCTAATTCTTCATCTGTCCATTTTGAAGGATCAGGATATTCAAAATCTCCCTATAACAGATGTTTTACTTGTACAAGATATTTGTTAATAATATATTCAATATTACTTACAACCAAATGTTCAGTTTCAGAATAGCATTTATAAATAACAAAGGCCATAACTACACCCATTGAAATATCAGCAATTAAATTTTTCTTCTCATCTTCTTTTGTAAACGGTATTTGATCACGGTAATGGAATTCATAATGTAAATCTAATATGAAACTGAAATATAAAAAATTCAAAAATTATTTATATTTTTATTTACATTTATTTAACATTAATAAATAAAATATGATTTCAATACTTTTTTTTATACTATCATGAGTTTAATTTAAAAAAAAAAGAAGATATAACTAGTAACTAATATTATTAAGTTAATAGATACCTTTCAAAAATTTAGATATAAGAAGAATGTGGTGATATAGATTATAGTTTTAATTGTATAGCAATTTAATGAATAATTTTAATAAATTGCAAAAATTATCAATCAATTTTAAGGATAGTAAAAAATTAAACTAATTCATAGGGTATGAAAAAGCAGCAAATAATGTTAAGATAATAAATACCAAGAATTAATTAATTCATAATTACACAAAAGTATAGCAATCTAAAATGTTGATTGAAATCTAAAATTAAATCTTAAACTGATTGAATCTAAAATCTAAAATGTTCATTGAAGAACTGAATTATTAAAACTGTTCAGTAAACTTTACCATTATATACCCTTACATATACCTATTTAATGCTGAAGCACAATTTAATTTTAGAAAAATAGTTCAGAGACAAAATTAAAAATTTAGTTAATCTAATAAGATAAGTGCAATTATTTTTAATCAAAATGTTTTCATAAAGAGGAATCAATCTAGAACTTATAAATTGATATCATTGGAGATATTTCACTTAACTTGATATATTGTTAAGAAACTTTGAATATTAAATAGATTTATTCATTCAAAGCATTTCTAATCGACTATCCACTTTGATATCTCACATAAATATTTATTATATTACTATGTTTATACATACTCGGAGTTCAGTGATTCTCTTTTAGCTACTCCCTTGAAGTTCAGCGCAGGCGTCGTATGTAAAGGTCGAATTTGTCTCATGAGACTTCCATTCTTAAATATTGTTTTTTTAACCAAATTCCAACCACTCATGGTTTTAATCGATAGTTACTCAATATAAAAAACAAAGCAAAAAATGTGAAGGTGCGTTGATAGAAAGATTTAGAGTGTTGATCACTGCGGAGCGAAGTCAGAACTTCGGAAATCGGGACTTTATCAGTTGTCTGAATGTTATCAACCGATTAAAAATATGTTAAAACAGCTGTGTATGAAAAAGCGTGCTAAAACAAAATTGTGATACCAAGGTCTACAAATCTATCGTTCTTGAATTACATTAATGTAATCTGTGGTGTTATCATCAGATCATTGAACATCAACAAAGTTGATTCCGTCAGGGCACGAAGTTTGGATCTGAAGCGATTTAACAGTTAATTAGAAACCATATATTTTTTCACTATTTAACCGTTCTTTTTTTTCACGATTACACAGATATTAACAAATTTTCCATGTCCTCCCTATCGCCATCGGAATCAGTTTTAGTGAAAGAACTCTTTGTTTCTTCAAAAACACCAGTACAGGTAATTTTTATAGATATTATTAACTATTAATTAAATCCAATCGTCAGAAACTGAATATATCAGTCGTGGTTATTGAATAAAAATTGTTAGGAATGGCATTAATTTTTGTGAAGTTTATGTTAAATTATACAATATTTAGTAGTAATATTAAATTATACATTAATACTAAGTATTGGGATTGTTAAATGTACAATTTATGTACACAATTATATTATATACTATGTAAATTATATGTTGATTAGAGGATTTTGTATCAATAATTTTTTTTTTTATTAAGAATATAATCTAAATGGCTCATACTTTAAGTTTTTTTATTAATTAGAAAATTAATTTAAGGTTATTAAATAAATTCAAATTTATAAAAATGTCAACCTCAACCAATAAAATAATATTGTATTTAAAAATACTTTAAGCTTTCAGAATACTGTAATGCTTTTAGTTTTTTAAACTTGTATGTCTATAGATGTGATAATGCTTAATAATGTCATAATCATTATGTAAATAATTTGTGTTTACAACTAATTTATATCATAGTTTTTAAAAAAAATAGTTGAAATATTACTTTTTTATTTTTGTTATGAATGTAATCATTTTCCTCATCCTTACTAGTGTTAATTTTTAATAACTTTTATTTTCCAATTGTTATGTTATCATTCAATTCAGGCCATATTATATGTATATTTTAGTGTCATTTAACACGAGCTGTCAAACATCTAGAATTAAATAATTCAGTTTTAATATTAAATGGTCTTGGAAAAGCTATCAAACCTACTATTGATGTTGCATTAAAACTTCAGCAAAAATTTCACAACACAATTAAATTGGATATTCAAACATCTACTGCGGACATAAAAGGTATGTAGTAAACTATTTCATTAGACTAGACAATACAGTGGCGTGGAAAGGTGGTATTTCATTATCTGTGTATTGTTTTAAAGAATGTATGGTTGAGTAGTCATAATAATACTGTTATTTTATTAATATGACAATACGGTTGGGAATGTTATTTGATAGTTACATTACATTTATTGTTAGAGCTCAATTCAAGTAATTTAAAGTCCCGAATATAATAAATCAAATGAGTCTTTTAATTATGAAAGCTTTACTATAGCTATCTTTAAAAAATATTATACCCAACTTATAAGTATACAGATATTTCTGATATGTGTAAAAATAGAGTGCATTATTTTCACTTAATAAGTGTGATTAATTATCGATTAATACCTAGTTGGTCTAAGACAAATATCTTTATTTGGTTTATGTAAATAAATAATAATTTTATTCTATAATACTATTTATTGAAAAATGTTATTTGAGCCACGCCACTGGATCAATTAATGAATTCAAAATTATACTAATTTTTGTCTACATTATAACTTGACAAACCTAAAAGGATTGTCTCAAAATTATACCTCATCTAAATCTGAAACAATAAAATTATTTTAGATATTTTGGAGCCGCTAAATGATGAAGATGATTTTGAAGCAAGAACTCGATCATTATCTTCTATACACATAAAAATAACTAAGTAAAATGTTATTCGCCTTGCAAGAGTTGGTGAGATGGTTAGGATTGACCGTCTTTGAAATGCTGGTTCATCTTATAGCTCTGTTGGTCTTCACTATATTCCTGGCACTTAGATTGGATGACATTGCTTTTACATCCACTTCACCGGGTTCTTATGATGTATGGATAGTGTTTTCACCTTTATTTGTAGCCGATGTACTGTGTACATACTTTAATGTCATTGTACTGATACGTCTGTACATTGAAGGTCATGTTAAGGAAGCTATCGCAAGAACTGTATGGTCATCAGCCATGCTTTTTGTTTGGTCATTATTTAAGGTGTTACTTTGTAGAAGACTTGCAGGGCTGTCAAATCTGGATTATTCAGAAATTATGTCACCTATTTTTCTTATATTACAACTGATTGCCATACGTGCATGTCAATTACATTAATAATATAATAAATATGCCTATGTAAATATTAAATAAATACATTTTTTTAAGGGTGTTTTTTATTTTTTTTATTTTATTAAAACCCAGGTAATATTTTTATTTTAGTCGTGGATACTTTCAAATAGCAATTATCAGTTATCAGATTAAATGAACTAGCCTTTGAAAAAATACCCGACGACCCCTGATATGACTGAAGGAACGTTGGTATTGTAGATACCTTAAAAATCTTTAATCAATTATCTAACCAAATACACGTGTGTTACATACATGGCCAAATAAAAAAAAAAAAAAAAAAACCATGACAATTTCTAAATGTTTGGTTTTACCACTGGATAATTTTCTAAACCAAGTCAATCATGTTGTATAATAATTAAATACTATCAATTTTGCTTATTGTAAATAAATTATTACAGATTGTAAAAATTAGAAATAATGACAAAAAAATAAATAATTTTGTAATAGTCAGCAAATATAGAAAATACTTAGCAATAACATTTTAGTCTACTACTGTTAATTGAACAATTTCTAATATATGATTTATTATTTTAATTACTTTTGTCAAAATTGATCAATAAAATATTATCAGTATTGTATATTAACAGGGACTGGTACCAAGTACCAGTAAAGTAAGTTTTTACAGTTCTCATTCTCAATTATTTTATTACAAGGTTTGGGTTCCATTTATTGAAAAATAGAAAATAAGGGTTCGGGTTGTGGTATTATAAGGTTCTAAATATCATTTTTTTAAATTTATTCCATAGTATTTTTTTTTACCTATTTAAAAATAACATATATGTTACCGGTATTATGACATACTAGGCAAGCACATAACATTAAAAATTAAGATTAAAAATAAAATTTTTAAAAAAATTATATCAGAAATTTATTTATGCTTAAACATTTTAAGAATAAAAACATAATTAATGTTTGTTACATCCAATATTTTTCATTTTATAATGAGGGTTTCAGTTCTTTGAATATGTAAAAATTTGGTCCCGGTTCCCAATATTTTAAGAGTTCTTGGGTTCAAGAACCAGTTGTTTTGGGTTCGGTTCCAGCCCTTGTCTATTAACACTTCTTCCATCTTTTAATTAATTGGTCACCTACTATTTAATAATTTTTTATTATTATTTTAATTAACCTATTTGTAAATAAAGAAATATAATGTTAGATAATTGTAATCATTCCTAGATGTTACATTATTGATCGTAGAATACTTAATTTATATTATTGGTTAGTCTAATATGTGAATATTAGACGTTTATCAATTAAATATACCATTAACCAACAGGGATAATGGATCTTTTTTAATTCTTTGTTCATAAGATTATAATTTAAATTATTTCTAATACCATACTTAATATTATTATAGGAGCGTGTGAATATGTTGGCAGTTTTCGATTTTGATCATACCATAGTCGATGGTAATTCTGACATAGTTGCTCGCAATTTAATTACTCCTTCTATTCTCATACCAAACAGTAAGAATTATCCTCACAATTGGACTCAATATATGCAACAAGTATTTAATGTAATAAAAAGCATCAAAATTCCAGCTCAAAAAATAATTGATGCTGTATCATTAATGAGTCCAACTGAGGGTATGCTTAAGTTAATAAGAGCACTTTATAAAAACGATGTTGATATCATAGTGGCATCAGATTCCAATAGTCTTTTTATTCAAAATTGGTTGAAATATAATAAACTATCAGGCGCAGTTTCTTGTATTTATACTAATCCAGCAAAAATTGAAGATGATCTCATTATAATTGAACCATATACATTACAACGAGCATGTACCATGTGCAATATGAACATGTGTAAAGGAACTATTGTAAAAGAACATTTATCAAGAAAAAACAAAAAATATGAAAACATATTTTATTTTGGAGATGGTAAAAACGATTTGTGCCCAGTTCTTAAGTTGTCTCAAATGGATGTAGCTTTTCCAAGATTGGGTTATATTTTGGATAATTTACTGAAGTCTCGCACAACATTGGCAAAAGTTAAACCATGGCGTACAGGCGATGATATTTATGAATATTTAGTGTCATTAGAGTTAATTTCAGCTAACAATGTATAAAATTGTTTAAAATAATCATCTCTCTGGTTAGATTACGTATGACATACTTTTCTAATACTTCAAAAATGATTTAAATATTGTAACATTTGATTTTAATAAAATATTAAGGTTAACAAGTTATAAATAACTGAAATTGTACTTAAGCTTTTGTATTACTAAAATAATGCATTGTGATGTAAACTGTAAATAAAACCAGAACTACCAAACATATGTCCATGCACTTGAATAACATTTGGCATTTTACTGACACACAACTGTTAGGTTCAGTTTTAAAATACATAATTTGAAAATATAAAGAAAAGAAAGTTTTTAAAAGGTAGATTAGTATTTAACATCCGTAAAGAATATCATTAATTTGTGTAGTAAATGTTTTAGATTAAATCAAGAATAAATGTTTCAAATTAATATAAATTGTATAGTTTTGTTTTTAAATAGAGAAACTTATACTAGTTAAACTTATTATACTGGCACTTTATCCAAAGGTTAATCAGTTACCTAACCATTAGTTTAGGGTTAAGTAGATGAATAGAAATGATGTTTCAGTACTTATTGATTTGTTAAAAGGTTGATATAATACTATTGATTATAAATACAATTGTGTAAATATTATACAAATCATTGCTATAAAAAATGATTCTAAGACTAATAGTAATGCCTAAATTTAATATAAGAAATTAAACTGGTAAGGTTAATATTTCAAAAATTTAATTGAGACATTAAAATACAAATCACAAGATTTTAAAGTTTCAAAATATTAAGTTGAAGAAGAATTATCAGACTTCTTTAATATTTTACCTTTGTTTAATCAGCTATCCTGAAGGTATACCACAATATTTTATTTGTTATTTTTGTAGACATTTTTTATCAAAACATTTCAATGATTAAATTCATTACACAGACTACTAAAAATCTACTAATCAGTTTTTAATAGGCACATATATAAATTTTTTTTAGATTAAACAATTTTATTAATTATTATCTACTAATCAACGTATCAAATTTTAACAATAACTTCAACACAAAAAGCAAATAATAATAATGAAATATTAAACTATTTTATAATGTAATATTTGATTCTTCAATCATGATGGCGGTGTAGAAGTTCTAACGAGAAGCGCTAAAAATAAAATGTAAATTATTTATATCTATTAAACTGGTAGTGTAAAAATTTATATTTTGTAGGACAGTTTTAATTTTTAATTATAAACATCAAACATTTTCTAAGAAAAATAATTCTTACCAAGTATTCAAATATTAGAAAGGTAATGATTTATCTTTAATCTATGTTACTCAACAGAGATTTCAAATTGATAGATAATACTTAATACTTACAATGAGGTCTAGGTATTCGGAGAGGTTCGTTATCATTAATTGTTACTTCATGATTTTGATCTCTGTAAGTGTACTGAATTTTTAACATTTTCTTTTCACCAATACATGGGTCATAAAATCCAGGTAACTGACACTACAAATATTTTATATAAAATTAGATTCAAAAGTATATGTGCAATGTCAAGAAAAAATTTACAAATCTAGAAGAATATTGAAAATAAATAAAATATTAATTTTAAGTAAAGTATAAATATTTTTGAATTAAATGATGATTATACTTTTATATTTAAAGTAAATAAATTTCAAATTAGAGAAAAAAGCAAAATCTAGTTGTTACAATATCCTCTTAAAAGAATTATTGAATATTGTTCAATGTTTATATATATATATATATTTAGATTATATTTCATAATTAAGTGTTAAAACAAAACCATTTATCATACTTTTTTACTTTATACACTTATGATACATTTTTTATAATGAAGTTTTCTACACAAAAAGTTAAGAACTACAATGAAATACAATTTAATTTTCTCAAAAATTTAAACCTTTAAAATTAGATATAATTATCTTTTATCTAAGAAGATTAAACTTTCATAATCTATAACATAAAAAAATTAAAAATGATTAAGTTATAATGTGAATGAAAAAAATAAATATTTAGGTGATTACTTATTGTTCATTTAATCAAACATGGTCGTTGTGGATACATGATGTACAAATAGACTCGGGAAGAGTATAGCTTGTGACTGCAGTAATGAAGGCCAAACCATTCATCTTATGGTAATGGATTATCTGTTAAAAGGGAACATACCCAGTGGCACTAAAAGCACTAGAATGGATTCAAGGGTTGGACTTATATTTAAAACTATAACAATTATATTATCATTTAAAAAAAAAAATTACCATTTTATGTTTTTTATTTTATTTTGTTTTAATTTGAACTAATCAATATTATTATGATAGCTTCTATCAACTTTTTTAATAATAACTGCTACCATTAGTAGTTATAGACTGAGTTGTGAATATTCCATACAAAATAAACAAAATGTAATTTAATATATTTTAAACCATATAAAACAATTAAATAATTACTTTTGTAGTCGTATGAAGTATTAATTGGGAATCCTTAACTAAACATTGTAATGGAACTGTGACATCAATAATGTTTGGTTGTAATATATCATTTTCATTAAATGATTGTCCAGCCTGGTTTATTAACTCAGCACAGCCATATTTAGCAAATACAATAATTAATCCACGTTTTTCAGTCTCATCCCTCACTATTCTTTCCATTGTAGCCATCATCAAGTTAATGGCAGATAATGCTTCTTGACGTAATTCTGCCATTCTAAAAAAAAAGTTAATAGAATATAATAAACTATAATAATTGTTAATTAAAATACAAATATTTGTTGAGAAACCTTTTTTTATTAATTTCACGTTGTTTGACAATTTTCCTATTTTTATACTCCTTCATTAGTGGATCCAATAAAACATTTTTTGCTACAAACCAAGAAACAATAGGTACAAAAGTAGCATAAAATATAGGAGGCGTAATCACTTCATGACTTAAAAGAATTGGAAAAATATATGTTTGACTAGCTCTTACAAACCTTCAAATGAAATTAAATACATATGTGAAAATAATGTTATTCGTACTGACAAGTTTACAAATTAGGTAATTATTTACTTTATTTTAAGAGTAACTCCATTAATTGTATCAATTTGAACAGTAGCTGCGAATGTATTGAGTTTAGATACTTTTTTTTCAACACCATATTCAAGTTTTGAATTTAAAACACCAGCTCTATTAGATATCAAATAAATATTAGGTAAATAATGAATTAAGTTTGCTTTTTTATATTATAACTATTACATATAATTATATACTTTGCATAAATTCTTAACATCAAGTCTTGTTCAATAAATTTCCAAGTGTATAACATACTGATAGCTGGGGCAAGACCAATTTCTACTTTAAACATACAGTAACTTCTTTCAGTATTATGTTCTACTTCAGTAGACAAACTGGTTTGCTTCAATGATGAAAAACGACCACCAAGAGATATATAACCAGTTGTACGAGCACCCAAACTTGTACCTAACAATACTCGGCCCATAGGTTTTAAAGAGCCACTAGATAAATCATTTAAACTTCCTTCTATTGTTCCAAATACCGTTTTGGTTATCATTCTGAAATCAAATATGATTATTATTTCCAAAATCGGAAGCCAAATGAAAAAAATTATAATTACTTGAACACTTTGGCACCCACATGTAAACCATTGCCAGCAGTTAAATCGTATTTAATCCATCCGTTAGAACTCAAAAGTCTTTTATAACTACTTGATACTAAAATTATTTTATAATAAGTATTTACTATGATTAATATATAGGTACACGTAAAAATATTTTATTGCTTAAATACCTGAACCAGTGCGTGATGATAAATTTCCACTAAGTACAATAGTATCACGCAAAGTAATTGGAGCTTCAGTAGACATTGACATGGACATTGATGATACCTCAATGTTTGGTATGTATATATAACTATCCTCCCTAAGTACATAAATCAATTAGATGAATAATTTTTACATGAGAAGAAAAATACATTACTCATAGTCATAATCTACATATTGGTTGGGTTCAAAAACATCAGTGGCATCAATTTTAGCCGTGAATACACCTCTTGCATTAGTTCGAAGGCGTAACATTCTTTCTTCTCGATCCCTAAAAAGGATTCAGCAGACAATATTGATTTTATTATTACACTTTCTTAATTGCTATGCATACCTTGCTAGTGCTTCATATTCTTCTCGAATTTCTTGCGGGGTCTTAGTTCTATGTACAATTTCCCATCCTTCAGTCTTTAAACCTTTAACACCTACACAATCATAAATTGCTCTTTGATGTGGATCTTTCAAAACTGTTGTGAAAAACATATAATTAAAAACAAAAATCTAGGTAAAACAACTGTGCATTGGATATCAAGAACTACCTTCATAAGCCTTTTGTGTCTTGTTGAATAATATTTCAGCCTCTTTTTTCTTAGTTTCATCCACATGTTTGTCAGGATGATAGATCTTACTTAAGCGACGATAAGCATTTGTGATTTCATCTTGGGTTGCCTAAAATATACATCGTTAAAATTATCTACTTTGAGAAAACCCCAACAAAACGCAATATATATATTATTTATAAATAAATATATATCCGTATCATATTATTATGACTAACTGATTTGCGCAAATTCAATATCGAGTAGTAGTCGTCTTCTAGGAAATCGTTTTCCGAATCGCTGTCCATGGCCGAAGAACGATTCACAATCGGAACAACGCTGACAGAGTTGACATCTAAGACAACGTCAGACACGTAAGATTTGAACACGAAGAAGTCGTGTTGCGATGGATTTGAAAAATATTACATGCATGAAACGGATGTGATAATGATGTGAAGCGAAACTGGAATAATCATTTTTAATTTTATTTTTCAAATGTGATAACAGTTTTCCAAATGTTATCTACGGTCTTGGTGCACCGTGGTCTAAAAGGTTATCATGGAACAGACGAATAGGTCGGTGGGACCACAGAACAATAAATTGGTGGGACGTAACGTCTAGGCAGCACGGCGGCCTGCTCTACGATGGACATTCCCCACGCGAGCGAGCCCACGGAGACCTTCCGCTGTTATCAATGGTTCTTATCTCGTCTCGTCGAATTATTTGCGACTCGACGGTCGACACTCAACAACACACACACGTCGTATTATTATACACATATACACACAATTATTATTATTATTGTCATTTATTTTCGTTCAAAATAGTATTTTTTCCCCCATTCGCATTCTTACGGATCAAACTTAGCGCTTTTGCTCCGCGTAAATGTCGTCCGTCAATCGTTCGCTCGTCCGTCGCCTGTCCAAATTGTACGATTCGTCGTCCTAGGGTTTTTTTTGTCTGCGTCCCGCACTGTCGCTCGGTGGAGGCTTCCTAGTTAATTATGCGTGTTGCGCGAGACGATTGTTTCGTTGTGATGGTCATCTCCAATGAAGGACACATAGCGCATTAATATTCCGAATGTGTAGGAAAACGATTCTGGTTCACGCGTTCCGATCAATTTGACAAAAACTCTAAGCCTATATTCGTGTAGGCTATGAAATTGCGTAAGTTTCATTATTTATCTTATTATTATTATCTTAACGTCTATGACGTACATAACGGTTCTGAGAGTTCCAGGAAGTATTACAATGATTGTTAGTATGACTATCTTGACGTTTTTTATTTCTTTTTGCAGTATGTAAAGTTAAAAGTGGAATTTTGTGCACATTGTGTGTTAGCAGCATCTAACTTTCACAATGTCCAGAAGGTAAGATGCACCTATTCGATTTTTATTTATGTTCATCTATAGTTAATTTTTATTCATATTTCAATAAACACTGTTAAACATTTGATGTTCAATTTAAATAGATGGTTCCACTCTCATTTAAATGGCTTAGATGCTCAGCATGTACTTTTAGATGAAGGTGTGGAAGGGTCATTTTTAGTTCGCAAATCTTATAGCAGAAAAGGACAATTTGTCTTATCTGTTAGGTAAAACTCAATTAAATTTATTATTTGCCCTCATCTCATGCATAATTTAAGTATACATTTTTTAGGCATGGTAATAAAGTTAACCATATAAAAATCCATAATGATGGTGAATTTTTCGATCTCAACGGTGGTGAAAAGTTTACAACTCTAACAGATCTCATTGAACATTATATGACTCATCCACACGTGCTTAAAGAACAAGGTGGTATACCATTACCTTTATTAATCCCAATTGGATCGCCTGAGCCTACTAATGAACGATGGTTCCATGGTCAAATGTCAAGAAAAGAAGCTGAGTATTTGATTTTAGAGAAAGGACGTCCTGGTAGTTATTTAGTTCGAGAATCACAATCCGATCCTGGCAATTATGTATTAGCTGTTAATGTTGATGAAAAAGTGACTGAAATTAAAATTATATTTAATGTAAGTGTGAATATTTAATTATTACCTCAAAATTTTTAAAAATTAATTAATTTAATTTAGTTGTTTTACTGTTTTGATATATAAATATATATTTTTTTTTATAAAAAATTGACTTACATAAAGTTTCATATTTAGGGAGAAAAGTATCATATTGGTGGTGGAGAAGAATTCTTATCCTTGAATGATTTAATGAAATACTACAGTTTTAATCCTATGGTTGACCATCATGGATCAGTAATACATTTAATGAACCCAGTAAACGTAACTAGAATTAGTATTGCTGGGATAGTTGATCGTGTATTTAAACTTAAGGTAAATTGTATTATGATTATTTGATTATATATTTGCATTATTAAAATTCTTTGTGAAATATTTAAATATACACTATGAAAATCATAATATTTGTATGTAAATTGTGTAAGTTATACATAAATTATAGTTTTAAAATGTCTATTTTAATAGCATATCTTTTATAATATCTATATTCCTTAAAATTTTAGAAGGTTAGATGAACAATATATTGTAATATTTATTTTATCAAAATAAAAAAGGAAAATTAGATATTTCTACTAATATAATAAAATATAAAATATTGCTTTTTATTAAACATAAAAAATGTATGCATCTTAAAAATATGTTCTGATCTATACATTTTTTTTGTATATGTATATGTTTTGCTAAACCAACTATTCATATTTTTTACTTATTAAAACATAAGATCATAGTATTATTAGAAATGTAATACTAATATTATTTTCACCACATGTAACATTAAAATACATGACATAAAAAGTAAAAATAAATCTATTAAATCCTATTAAAAATAAAAAAGTTAAAATGAATTATAAGAATGTTGGAAGACCAATGCATACTTGAATAAGAAGTTATATAGACAAAATGCTTATAAGAAAGATGTTTAGATGAAATGGCTGAATTGTGAAAAAAAGTATGGTGAAGAATCTAAGAAGTTTTTATAAAAAAAAAAAAAAATGTTTTTCAATCTTTATGTTGAAGAATTTAAAAATGTTCAGAATTATATTTTAAACTTTTAATTCATAATGAGACTAAAAAAAAATGTAATTGAGTGGTAGTATATTGCAGAACACCATTTTTCCTAATGTTTTAAATGGGAGTATTTGTTTTAAATTTGAATTCTTATCTAAAAAAGAATTTGTCAAAAGGTGACTGAAAATAAGAACAAAATTATGTTAATGTTATTTTTGTGCAGATTATTATTATTATTTTTATAAGCTAAACTAAAATTGCTTTTTTTAATTATTACAAATAATTTGAAACTGAAAATCAATTTTTAAATTATTTATAAAATTTGTTTTTAATGATTCACTATTTATTTGTATACTATTAATACTTAACACTACTTAATTTACTATTATTTTTTATGAAGTATAAGGAAATACTTTGCAAAATTAAAATGTCCATTGTATATTAATTAGTTTTAAGTTGATTCAAAATATTGCATGGCATTTTTTACATGCAATTCATATATTAACCATGAAAATATATTATACAATAGTATAACTTTCAACTAAAATATTATGATTTTCATCAAAAAATAAGTATTTACATATTTTATTCAACGTAACTATTAATTGTTTTTAGTTTAAAAGGTATTTTTCTAAATAGTTTTTTTATCTTGGTATTTAAAAATAAAATTTTAACACTCATATTTTAATATGTTTTAAATGTATTATTCTTATACCATAGCATCAAAAATACCAACACTATTCTTTTGGAACTGGAGGTTTTTGGGAAGAATTTGATGTGTTACAACAATGGGAAACAAAAAGAGAGTCAACTAAAGATATTGGTTTTTTAGATGAAAATAAATCAAAGAATCGATATCGAAACATTTTACCATGTATGTCCATTGTTTTCACATCACAATAATGATTTATTTTTATTTTTTTATAACTGTTTTAGATGATCATTCTCGAATTGTATTAAAAAATTGTGATAAAAGTATACCAGGTTCAGACTACATAAATGCTAATATGATCAGAGTAATAACTTGAAAATCTTTTTTTTTTTTTTTATTATAATCTAAAATAATATTATGCAATTTTATTTTTAAGCTTGATCCATTTGCTTTAGCAGAAAAATATGAAACTCGTAATTACATAGTCACTCAAGGTTGTTTACATAATACAGTTAATGACTTTTGGAAAATGATATGGCAAGAAGATTCTCGCGTGATTGTCATGATTACAAAATTGTTTGAAAAATCTAAAGTAAGTTATCATAAATGTTGTTAAACATTTAAATATTAAAAATTGTTATTAATTACAATATTTTTAGGAAAAATGTGTTAAGTACTGGCCTGATTTAGGTCATTCATTTGATTATGGCAAAATCACCGTGGTAAATCTTGGAGAGCGTGCTCACCAACATGATATGATAGTTAGAATATTTGATGTTTCCATTCCAAATTACAGACACAGAAGAATATTTCAATACCACTATATGGTAAAAAATATTACATTATTGCTAGGGCTCAAATATTGATGAGTCATTAATATGTTTTTGAAAAAGTGTGTAGCTATGTGAGTAGTATACTGAAAAAAAAAATGAAATTATCAATATTGTCCATGTCTTAATTAATCATCCTACTTACTTTAATTGTTTTTATGACATTTTTTTAGGGTTGGCCAGATCATGGAGTTCCATCTGATGCTGGCTCATTACTTGACTTACAGTTTGTAGTTAATGTTCGCCAATTCAATATAGAAGCCCATTCGGATGTTTCACATCCTTTAACTGTGCATTGCAGTGCTGGAATTGGAAGAACCGGAACATTTGTTGTTCTTGACCTTCTCATTGGTCTTATAAATCGAAAAGGTATGTGTTAAAATGTAACTACAATATAATTAATTGCAGCTTATACATTGTGTAACTATTATTTCTACATAAAATAATACAGGTCTTGACTGTGAACTTGATATTCAACGAACTACTCACATGGTAAGATCATTTCGTCCTGGCCTTGTACAGTCTGAAGCACAATATCAATTTATATATACAGCCATTAACCATTATGTACAAACAATATGTTCGAGAATATCTGCAGAAAAGGTCAGCACTATTAAGAATAATTGAATAATAAATATGAGTGACTATTTCTAAGACTAAGAAGAGGTTTTTTCATTGTTTATCAAATTTTTCTGTTTAGAAAATTGAGATTTTCGGACGAGAATATCTGAACATAAAGTATACAGAAGAATTAGCAACAATTGTAGGTGAAGAAAATGTGCCAACTCTAAATCCTTGTACAGCACATAGGGTTTTAAAAAATGCTATTACATGCAACACCTATCCTACTACTGATTCTCCGTTAGTGTCTCCAACCCTGGACAAATCAAATGTTGTTGAACTTCTTGGTTATGACCCTGGAAAGCCACTGAGTACGCAATCAACTACCCTGGTTACTACAGATTCGTGTCCTAACTCACCTACTTCTAACGTGTTAGTATGTTTAGATTGATTTAATCTGGTTCACTTAAATAATTAGTCATTGACATTTAATTATGATGATGCATCTCTTATAAACTTATTTAACTTATTTATTGCTTAAATTTCATATTTGAAGGCACACATTGTTGTTCAATAAGTAAGTATTGCCTAGTTAAGGAAATGCTCAAGTACATTGAGAATCATGATAAACATATTTTTAAAATCCAATTCTTTCTTTAGTTCAAAACAATTTAGATTTAAATTTTTATTTTAAATGCTAGTAGATTTGTTTAAAAATTAAGTATATTTTTTTATTTAGAAAAAGTTAAATTTGAAAGTTGAAAATATATTTTTTTTTAATCTCAAAAATGTTTGAACTCAAAATGTCTACAAAAGTTATTTAAATAAAGATGGCATTTCATTATTTATTTTATAATTTTTAATTGCTATAATTTACATACTAATGTATTTCAAATATTTTAATTCTTAATCCTTAACTCTATAAAATAATTATTGTTCACTATAATTACATGTAGTGGCGTACATTCGATCTTGCTCTGGGGGGGGGCTTAACAAAAATAATCGTTATCTTTTTTTTTTTCGTTGCTCAAATTAATAAAATAAATAACTACTATAAACAGATATTATTTTATGCAACTTTTTTACCAATTTACAATTTACTTTTATATTACAGTAAATTATTAGCTATCGGAATATAAAAACAGCATAGTTAAAAAAAAATTTCAAACATTTATCAATATAATTATTTAATTATCATAATATTTGTATAGTTGTATATTTTAAGTTTAAAGCGTAATAATGAAACTACAAATATATTAGACGTCATCAATAATAAAACAATTTTCTTTTTTTTTTGTCCCTGGGGAGGTTTAAACCCGGGACACCCCCCCCCATATGTATGCCACTGATTGCATGATTATAAAACTATTAAATATTTTCTTCAATTATACAAATTTACATTACTAAATATAAACTGTGAACTAATATAATATGTGAACTTGATAATAAATATAATAATTATTACATAAATATATAATATATATAAATATAATTATTCTTAAAAATTAAAATACATAATATCCTTCATTACTAGCAAAAACCAGATACTTTTTTAGAAAAACATAAAATTAATTTGATCCAATATGATTTTGAATTTTTAAACATGCTGCAAGCTATTTCATAGTTCACTCAGGTATGATAATTTTATTTTACTTAATAAACTAAATTATAAAAATATTTTATGATATGAAAATAATATAAGTTTTCCATTTATTTTACAGATTTGAATTACATTCCTATGCTAACATAACATCACCTTTACCGTCTAATGAGTGCGATATCGGGCCTCCGCCTATGGAAGCCCCTCCTCCACCCCCTCAGTCACCAATTATGATATTATGACTTTAACTTTGCACAACAAGTATAAATTATTAAACAATCGTCTTAATGTATAACATAGATTTCATCGACCAATGCATCTCATATTTTTTTATATATTAATACATTATTTTTTAAATAACAAGTTATTTTTAAATGTTAATTTTGATTATTGACGCCTAAATTAACAACAATTAGTCTACTATACATTCCTGGGTTTGGGCCAATTTAAATAAATAACTGCTAAATGTGACTGTTAAATTTTTATATACTTGAGGTTTGACTACAGCCTTTTGAGTTTGTTAAATTTAGTGAATATTGTTATTCATATACCTTGTATTATTTATTTTTATTGTTAAATTAAATTTAATATAGTAACATTGTTGTAAAATGTTATTAATTATATTATTATTTGTTAGTTATATCCAGGGGCATATTTAGAGGGGATGATATGGGTGTTGGTACACCCTTCCATTGACCATATTTTATGGTATTTCAGCAAATTGCAAACTTACTTACGGTATAATTTAATTCAGTGTTTCTTAGACTGTTTTCTACGGAACCCTGGGGTTCTGCAAAGATCACTTAAGGGTTCCGCGAAGCTTAAGTGATTTTTTAAAAAAAATACTTTATAATTTTCAGCTAAAGATTAGTAATGGCTAAAAACTGTTTTCATTATAGAAAAAAAAATCTTTATATATTAAATAACAATGTATAAGCCACATGGAATAGTCTAAATTTGTATTTAGTCTAATTAAAGTAATTATTATTAAAGTATTACAATATATGTATACAATTATTATTATTTTAAGTTTCAATTTTAACGTATTTTTTTAATTAAATACCTTTAACACAATATTATTTTATTATTATAATTTATTTACAAATAATCTTGAAAAAAAACTAAAAAGCTAAAAATAGGGTTTCCACGGATAAAAAAGATTAAGAAACGCTGATTTAAATAAACGTAAGTTTATGTAAATTAATTTTCATTAATATAATAATTTATATAAATACTATGTATTTATAAATGTAGTACGTGGGGGGCAGAACCCCCCACTTACTATAAGTATTAAATTTTAAAACACCGCCATTAAATGAATCCTGGATAGGTCACTGGTTATATAGGTTGATTGTTGGCCTTTTTAGTGAACAGACGTTTGATTTTTGCTATAGTTATTTATATGGATTAATATTTTCATTACGTTTTTTTTAATTTTGTTATAAGTTTTAGGATGTCTTAGGATTTAAAGTGTGTAGTATGTGATACTCGTTTCGCAGAATTAAATACACCTATAAAATGTGATGAATATGCTGCTCTTGTACATAATAAGTGTTCGGGACTTACTGCGTCGGAAATCAAATGTGTCTCAATGAAAAATAGAATTTTTAAATTTTTCTGTGTTCATGGTCTAAAAGACTTGCTCGATTTAAAAATATTGATTAAAAAATTGCTTGTTGAAAGTGAAAAATTATAGCTCACTTAATTCAAATTACTCATTAGATAATGAGTTTATTATCAATGAAATAAATTATCGTAGTAGTATATTCGCTGACCTGCCTAAGTCAGTCGTCCTAGACATCCCATATTGATTGCTTCTTTTCGGGCCGAGCTATTAAATAGATTTAGTACTAACGAATTTAAATATTAATGATATACAAAAAGGCTGTACACTTACGCCTCATATTAGTTCTTATCATTCACCCCTTGATTTTATATTATCTATTACAGATTCTACAATTATATCTGAGTCCTATTGTCCCATTATTCATAATTTTAATGGTTGTCAGTTTAATAATTTAATTTAAGTCTAGTTTTGATTTAAATTATAATTTATTAAAACCTTGATTTAGATAATTCTATTTCGAAATTCTATGAAATTCTAAATCATTCGATTGATATTTTTGTTCCTAAAGTAAAATTAAATCTTGAATTTCATAACTTACTAAGTTGGTCAAACTTATCACTTAGAAATTTAATTAATATAAAATGACAAGCTCATAAAAAATATCGATTTTCAAATTCTCTGTCAGATTGTAAGTCTTTTTCAGAACTACGGAAAATATGCATAGTTATATTAGCTAATGTACATGCAAATTACATTTTTAATATTGAAAATAATATTAATATAAATATAAAGTCGTTTTCGAAGTATATTCAAATTGAATACGGCTATAGTTGGGCGATATACATATGTTACACGGAGGAGTTCAACCATATATAACTGCGTCTAATCGTAAATAGTGATAATAAATGAAAGTGACAAGTATTATCGAAAGGTATCTAAAATTAGACTTATTAAAAACCAATTGCAATAAAGATATGACAAACAATAATAGTGGGATACAATAGTAACCCGCGCGACTAACGAAGGGTTAATGTCAAATCGTTCTAATATCCCGCTTTCTGTTAATTTCTGCTGATATTTATGAATGATATTGGTACGGGAAAACTTCAGAAATGCCTGGACAAAACGCAAACTGTCCACAATCCTTGGCCAAAATTATTGATTTATTAAAGATATTAATTCATTATAAAAATAAAACATAATTATTTATTACAAAGAAAATTTCACTTGCAAAATATCTAAAAACTATAACATAATACAACGCCATGACAGTTGACGCTACTAGCCTACTACTGTATAGTATATTGTGATACAATTATTTTCTTTGACTCGTGTCAGTTTTACCGACAATCGGCGGGAACAAGACAAATGACGAATACCGAATGCCGAATATTCGTACAAATATACCATTTCCACTACATGACGATTATCCAAGAATAGCAAATATTCGTCAAATACACGAGTCGTGGGAACCCGGCTTTAGATAGGTAACTGTTAATATCAGATACGCCTGGTTATACGGGATTACGAAAATAATAAAGATTTTACCACAAATCGCTATATAGCTGCAAGCCTACACCGTTTTTATTTATTAAAATAAATGTATAGTTTATAACTTACTGGCTATTACAATTATTTCAAGTTTTAATATGAGCAATTCTAGCCATAATATTGATGATGAAAGTGATTCAGAACCGCATCTCTTTCGACTATTTCTCTGCAAAATGTTAGTTTACCATGGCTTAATAACTCCAAATATTTTTTTCAAAAAGTATTTGAAAAGTAATTCCAAAAACTTTTTTAAAGTAATTGAGTAGTATTTGAAATACTATACATTTAAAGTATTTGGGTAGTATCTTAAATACTTGAAGAAAAATGTATTAGAGTATTTACTTAAGTAGTTTTTAAAAGTATTCTTTATAGCTCTGAGTATACAGTATAAAAGTATAATAAAAATAACCTTCAAAAACAATAAGGAATTGTGTCTAATTTCAACAAAAATGTCATACTTCGGCTTTTAACCGGTTAAACTTAGTTATGACCAACATTATTTAGGAAAACCCGTAATGTCTTATATACGATACTGTGGACTCATTTATTTTGACGGGGATGAAACGTCCGCGATTCAAAAATAATGTCAGAAATTATAGGCCTATATTTAAAATATCTAAGTTTTTAAAGCTATTATCACTAAAAAAAATTCTAACTTATCTAACATTAGTTTATCTCAGCATGTATTCCTACCTAAGTACTCAATTCAAATTAATATATATTTTATACATATTTATATAATATTATATATATATATATATATTAATATAAGAAAATAAAAACTTGACTGCGGTGCAACATGTTACAAGAAAGACTTTCTGGATTGTCGATTATACATTGTCATCGAGATCAACATATTGACATAGATAAAGTGATAGGTATATTTTCAAAAAATAATAGAAAAAAAGATTTTATAATTTAAAATATTTTATTAAGTTCAAGTTAAGTTAACTTAAGTTTTTATTCTCTTAAGTGCAGAAAAACAAATATGTGATTACTTAATTTATTCGATAAAATATGAATGTTATACTAATTTTTTAACACAAAATTATCAAAACAAGATGATTTTAATTTGAACGATACGACAGCGACAATCAAATGCAAGCCGCAAGTATCGGTAAAACTATGATTGTATACGGCATGCATAGTTAATTTAAAAATAGATTTATTGATTACTGTTATCGTAAAAGCTGCAGTAGTAAATAGTAATAGTGAAAGGGGATTAGAATGATAGGTATACATATTTTGATGACTCAAATTCTAAAAATGAAATATTAATTACAAAAGTCTAATTTGATACTTTTTTTGTTGAACGGGGGGGGGGGGGGGCAACTGCTCTCATTGCCACCCCCTTTGTATCCACCCCAGATTTTATATACATTGTTGAAAATAATTGCTATAATAAAGTAGCCCGGCCGTCAACTTTAATCGCGAGGGAGCAGCGAGTATTCAACACGCGGCGAGTAAGCGACTAGACCGATTACATTGAGCGACTTTAGTCGCAGCGAGTAATTCGCCAGCGACTAGCGAGTAAATTCGCTCAATGTAATCGACCCTTTATGTTACCCATTGACAGTTTTGGGAATAAATAATGCAAAATTTATCTAGATAAAAGATAATTTCATTTTTATCTAGATAAAAAAAAGATATTTTCAAATAATTTTATTTTTGGTCAATATTTCATATTTGTTATAATATCTATGAAGACTCAATTATAATCATTATCAATTGGTATCTAGGTGTTTAATGATAATTGTAGTAATGTTGTGTACTATAGTATTTATATACAGTGAAACCTCCCTTAACGGACACCTCTAAACAGTGGCGTATTTTCAATTTTTTTCTTGGGGGGGGTCCAATAATTCCAACATAATATAGATATGTAGGTACTGATATAAAAAAATAGTTTTTAATATATTATAAGAATAAAAAATAGTTTTTTTATTATATTTTATAATTTTAAAGTATAAAATCTAAACGTCTTTTTTTTTTTACTAAGTTCATCTAAAATGTCTTCTGGTAAGAGAGAATCTTTTCTATAAATGGACATCATAGCCAATCCATTAAGTCTATTCTAGAAAAAAAAAAACATAAATCTTACACAAATAAAAAAATAATATTTTACTGAATAAAATATTAACACTTACTTCAGAAATAGTATTACGTAAGTACGTTTTTATTAACTTTAATTTCGAAAATGTTCTTCCATTTGACGCAGTCGATACAGGGAGTGTTGCTAGAATTTGAAGCAAATTGAATATACCAGGATACATGTCTTTATTGCATATATTCAATGCATCAATTGCATTATTTGGCTTGTCGTTCATGTTACTTAATTTTCTTTGCCATAACTTGAACTCTCCAAGTACAACTGATGTAGGTGAATTGAATTCTTCTTTGTATGTATCAATTAATTTTATAGAATCATCTTCACTTCCTTTTGTGTCAAAAAGTGATTGAAAGCCATTTAAAATAGTTTTATGGTCAATAAATCTAGTTTTGAGCTGATTAATAAATGAGTCAATACATGGAATAAATATGGATATGCGATAGTACTTTTCGAGGTCGTCAGTTTTAATATTCATTCTATTTTTTTGAACATTAGATATTCTTGGTATCTTTAAAGGTGATTCAAATTTGTTGGCAATATTTTTTGCTTTTATAAAAATTTCATGAAACTCACTATCAGCGTTTTCCCTAAATGCATTTAGTTCGTCCGATGTATCTTGAGCCAAACTCATGGCCATCTTCAGATCAATATTGATCTTTTGAAATTGTTTCGACAGTGGTAGCCCAAATCCAAATACTTTTGATGTTACATGCAATGCTATAATAAATTCTGTAAAATCGAATTTCTTAAACTTTGTGCCTTATGAGAGGTGTCAGATGTATCATTCCATTCAGAAATTATATCAAGAGCTTCTACAACGCTTTCGAATAGTTCCAAAAAATCATTTATTGAATGATATCTCTCTATCCACCGAGTTTCACAACTTCTTTTTAATGATCTTTTTTGATAACACATTTTCCGATTGTTCAATAGCTAGTGAAAGCACAGCTTTACGTTTTGGAAATATAAAAAAATCCCTAAGTTTTCCAACAATTCTTAAACAATTTCGTATACTTTGAATACCACATGATGAAGAGACAGCAAGGTTGAGAGAATGGGCAGAACAATGAATATAAACGGCTAGTGGATGAGCTTGTTTTATATGATATTGAACACCATTATATTTACCCGACATTGCAGCTGCTCCATCAAAACCTTGCCCACGTAGATACTGTGTTTCGATTCCAAAATGTTTTAAGTTGTCCAGTATTAAGGTAGCTAATCCTTTACCAGTCAAATCAGCTGTCGGTACAAACTGTAAAAAATCTTCATGCAATGTACATGTTTCACGATTTACATAGCGCGCACAAATGGAAACTTGTTCAATTCCAGCTATGTCAGCCGTTTCGTCCACAAGAACAGTAAAGCATTTTGCTTTATTTACTCTATTAACAATCTTAGAAAGTAAAACAGAATTACAAGCATCAATAATGGCATTTTGACTAGTGGGACTAATGTATTTAATACGACCTGGACTTTCAAGGACTTTTTTTAAATTGGCATCACCAAGTGCTCGATACTTTAAAATATTACGAAAATTTCCATCATTTTCTCTGGGTTCCGAATTTTCTACTTCAATTTTACCAGAATCACGATGGCCTCTGGTTGACAAGTTTTGCTGTCCGCATAAAAGTATAGCTTCTATTATTGGAATAATATTTTTTCTATTTTCCATTACTTGTTTTGCATGACTAGAATCCAATTGGTTTTCAATAGATAATGACTGATTTTTTTTTTATATTAAGGTAATTATCAGTGTCTGATAAACATTTTAAATGGTATTGTAAACTGGAATGGTTTCTAAAAGTTTCAGTTGCGTGTTTCCAATTACGAAATGGTTTTTTGACTAAAGCACCAAGTGGTTGGGAATTGGTTCCTGCTTCGTTATTAGCAAATGCAACACAAAATTTACAAAACGCTCCATCAAACTTTAAGGTATACGCTAGCCAAGTAAATTTAGACAACCATGAAAATTGAAATCTTAAATTTTTTTTACAACTCACAGTTACTAGAAATTGAAAATTGTTTTCGGGTTTCCAGATTTGCTGAAGAATTTCTTCAATTTCGTGTGGCTTCAACAAACGATTCGTATACATGCCTATATCATACATATTAATATTCTCATCTACTCTTTTATCAGGAAATGTATTTGATTCATCAATATTGGGCGATAAAGAACGTTTTTTTGTTGTATGTGGTTCAAGAATTTGTAATGTTGGAGATTCGACTGTTTGATCTGATGGACACGCGACTGGTGCAATTATAAATGATTTCAATGAACTTTGTTTTATTTTTTTATTGGAAGACATATTTATTCCAATTCCAATTACCAAACAATAAATAGATGCAAATATACAGCTATAAAAAAAATAAAAAAATAAATTTGATAGTATTTATTAAATAATTATTAAATGTTAGGTTTTGTCAAATCTGTATTCACACCTATCACAAATGAGAGACCCTTGTATTTAAAAATAAATAGGTATTCTATATTAACTAATTTTAAACAAAAGGTTATTTAAAAAAAAATCATTGTATTCGACGATTTGCAAGACGATTATATGCAATACCTATGCATTTTATATCATAGACATTTATGAATCGATACACATCACAGAGACACAGGGTACAGATAGATTTTTAAAGAAAAAATAATATGATTTTGTATATAAAAGTTCAGTATATAATATAGGTTAAACGAATATTGAAGTATGCCTCGTAGCTCTGATAGTCGTACCTATATCAATAATTATTCTCAGTGCACGTTGACAATTAATATTATTTCTATAGCAGTTTAATAATATGTTGTCAACTTCGTGTTAAAACGTAAAAATAGGTTTACCTTATAGAAATATGACATTATGACAACAGTCGTCCATATCACTCTGATTATCTCTGGACAGAAAATAAATATTACGTAGGTAAACATGGTTCTAAATGAATACTAATTGCCGACCAGTTGACTCCATAAGTTACATTAATGTTTTATGTTATTATTAAAAATAATAAATTCCTTACGCTCGTTCAGTTCGAACGATATTCGGCCGTCATTTCTAATTCGGTCGTGCTCGAGACGGTTACCACGAGCACCGCCGTTTTTTTAATTAATAATTATAATATTATATTAGTTTTATTTTATTATTATTTTTATAATTATAATATTATATTATTAAAATAATGGATTAGACGGATGAAGAGTGTCTACTTCTTATTGATTTATTTAAAGCCAGACCAATTTTATGGGATCCGACTAATAGCCAATATAAGATGGCAAAAAAAAATCGACTATTGGTCTGAAATAGCTAAAGAAATGAATAGAAATGTCAATGAAGTGAGGAGGAAAATGGATAGCTTACGACGTCTTTTTCTTTGTTTTTTTTTTCACCAATAATTTCGTGGTAATAGCACACGCACAAGCTAGTAATATATCATCGGCATCTTCACTTGACGACATTTTAAATAACAAAATATATTCACCAAATAATTTAAATAATTTAAAAAGCAACACACAGACAGTACACTAGTTCACTAGAGAGTAGTGTGCTCATCACTGAATATTTCAAACCAATAAAATTAAAGGTTCAAAACGAATTCTAGAGAACAAGCCCGAGCGGTGGCGAACAGTTCCGAACACAGTAATGTAAACAGTTATGCCGAATTCGCGTACAAATGTGTTCGGTAGAAATCATTCGCGTTCGTTCGCGTTCGCGGCCTTATGTAAACGCACCTTTATGTGTACATTATTATATTGTATTTGAAAATCTTATCTTATCCGTTCAGCCATTGAAATATTATGACGTCAACGAAATATTGTAACTAATGCATTGTCCTATGTGCGTTTAGTTGTGTTTGTAATGAAAAAAATAGACATTCTGGAATTTCGAACATCAAATACAAATACAATGGGCGTTTGTGCATTAGCAGACAAATTTAGTGTTAGTAAAACACAAATTGCGAATATTATAGCACAGCAGTTCTCAAACTGTGCACCGAGTTGCCCTAGGGACACCGTGAGCATTTTCTAAGGGCACCGTGGTCTACGGTTCATAACAAATAGTTTAAAATTTTTAAAAATTTTTTTCTTTATTAATTTTGTAAAAACTTCATATCAAATAATGAAATATTTTCTATTGTATATTCGAACATTCTCATTTTAATCTTATAATAATGATAATAATAATTATAAATTTTAATTTTTAGGTTTAAAAATGCATTAATTTATAATGAAGTTAAATTTTAATAAAATTAATAAAATTAGTTATCAATGAGTATTTTTTTTGTCGTGTCTTTTATATTATTCACAGCAGGGCACCGTGGCTAAATTGAGTCCAAAAAAAAGGCACCGCGGAAAAAAGTTTGGGAACCGCTGTTACAGAAAATAAAGACGCTCTTTATAAAACTTGGGCTGAAAATGGAGAAGATAAACGGAAATGGACAAAGCTACAAAAAAACAGAAACCTCTATAATCGACAATGAAGTACTGGTTTTCAAAATTACGAGAAAAAAATCTTCCTGTTTTAGGACCGATGCTTCAAGAAAAAAGTAAGCAAATCGCTGAGATGCACGGATTTGATTATAAAGGCTCTAATGGCTGGGTTGAAAAATTTCGTAAAAGAAATAATATTGCTTTTAAATCAGTTTGCGGTGAAGCAGCAAGTGTTGATGAAGAGGCCGTCGATAACTGGAAAGCAAAAATACCCGAAATTATAGCAAATTATGCAGAATGCGACATTTTCAATGCAGATGAAACGGGATTATTTTATATAGTTCTACCTGATAAAACCATGGCGTTCAAAAATGAGATATGTACTGGAGGAAAAATTTCAAAAGAACGTTTAACTGTACTCTTGTGTTCTAACATGTTAGGTGAGTTTGAACGGCCGCTCGTCATAAGCAAAGCTAAACGTCCACGAGCCTTCAAAAAATTGGATATTAACAACTTTCCCGTCGATTGGTAATGGAACAAAAAATCCTGGATGACGACTGAAATAATGATTGAGTGGCTTATGAAATTTGATAACAGAATGGGTCAAAATAAAAGAAAAATTTTACTCTTTTTAGACAACGCGGCTCCTCGTCCACGTTTAAAAATGAAAAATATTGAACTTGTGTTTTTTCCACCTAATATGACATCGCATTGCCAACCACTTGACCAAGGAGTAATCCATCAGTTTAGGAAGTTATATCGTACGCAATTGTTACGTCAACCTATCAACGTGTTGGATGCAATTTACTGGGTGTCTTCATCTACAAAAAATATTCAACCCGAAACAGTAAAGAAATGTTTTTTGCGGTCTGGCTTTAGGCACTGTGATAACAACGTTACAGACGTTGATGATCTACTTACACCAATAGAAGAACTTGGCAATATTATTAAGTTGATTGAAAATAAAATTCCGGAAAATGACTACATAACACTAGACGATTGCGTAGAGACTTACGACACTGATATCGTAAATCCATGTGATAGTGCGGGTATGTCTACAAAAAATGAAGAAGAAAGTGATGAAGAAAATGATGGGTCCGAAGATCAAGAAATTCCAAAAATAAGAAGTCTACGAGAAGCATTGCTTGCAATAAAAGACATACGTAAATATATTTCTTCTATCGAGGTACTGAATAGTTCATTGTTCTCAAACAGAGTCCAATTAGAAAATGCCTTAGCATACGAATTAACTACGCCTACAATTAGTAAACAAACTAAAGTAACAGATTTTTTTCAGAAATGTTATTATAGTTTTTATTTTTTTTTAAGATGTTTTTAATTAATGAAAAAATGGTATAAAATTAAATTATTGAATTTATTTATTTGTTAAAAAAAATGTTTTATTCTAAATACCGGACAAATTTTCGACGACCGAGAGTGTCTGCTATTTAGAGGTTTCACTGTATAATGTATGATATTTAATGATAGTTAATCACTAAAATGTTACACGAAAAAAAAAAACAATGAAAATTGCTCTATACTTATCAGGATGACTACAGAATACATAAGAAATTATTTTAAGTTAACAATATTGTTTTCCATATAATCTTAATTAGATGATTTTCATTATTCTATAAGTAGTTACGACTTAACGGGTTCTAAGAGAGAAGTATTGACTATTCAGTGTATGAGTTACATGTGTTTACTAAAATCAAATACCTATTATATTTGGAACTTCCATGGAAAAATAAAAAATTAAGTTTAAAAACACCAAAAATATTTTTCCGACATGAAAATACAAACAAAATGTCATAATAAGAAATACTACTTATTAGTAATACACGAATTATGATTATAAATACAAAATCTATATATATATATATATATATAAGAAAGTCGGGTTAGTTACAGAATTTATAATTTAAGAACGGCTGGACCGATTTTTATGATCTCTGATTTGTTGGATTCGTCTCCGTACAAAAATAAAAATAACTAATCTTGGCAAGAATACACACAATTATCTATATAAGTAAAATTTTATTTTAGATAAGTAATTAGATAACTTAGCGTTATTTATCTAGATAAGATAAAAAATGACAAAAAAATCTATCTAGATAAGTCCCAACACTATCCATTGCATTATCTCCAGAGTTACTTTTCATTTGATTCAAGATTTCATAGGTCTTGATTCTCTTTCTATCAGGCGTTATTTAAAATATGTTATGTTTGTTTATGATATTTTTAATAATTATATAGACTGCCCAGAAATTTTAAGTTTAATTGGATTTAGAATCCCTATCGAGAAAACTTGTAATTCTCTTTTGTTCTATACACCTTAGTTTAAAACAAGTTGTGGAAAAAATTCATTTTTTACAAGAGCTCTATTGAAAGCCAATTAAATTTCTGCTGTCTTAAATTTTTTTAATACATCTCCCTATTTTTAAAACGAAATCTTTATTATTTTTAAAGCATAATGATTAATTTTTAATCTTTATATAAACATATTGTTATTTTTTTATATTATCTAATTGTTTTCATGTGCCAACAATTATACATTATACTGTAATATTTTGTTAAAAGGTTTATGCCCGTTGATTATTATAATAAATAAATAAATTACTAAGTTTTAAAAATAATAAATTAATATAATTTAAATTTTTATTTATTCAGCTTTTTTTTTTATATTATTTCTTGATTTTCAAAAAGGTCACAGCTTACAATTGCAAAAAATAGTATTCATTATATCTTTGAAATCTGTATTTGAGTAATAAAAGTGTTAAAATTCCCTGATTGATAATATTATACCAAGTTAACCAGGATAAAAAGACCAAGTGTTTGGTGAATACCAGATTTCAAATTATAATGCTAAAAATTATATTCAGAACTGTTAATACAATACAATAGTAATATCGAGACTGCAATAATTTCCTATCTAAAACGTTAATAGTTCAAGTTTACAAGAAATTAGTGGCTAATCAGTCATTTGAACATTTGAGTATAATTTCTAATATTCCAAGTATTTATAAGGAAACTCAGTACTTTGAAAGGAACAAATATTCATTCTACAGATGTTTAAATATAAACATGGTTTGTAATTTACTTGGCTGATTCATTCACTTAATACTGAAAAGTATTTTAGAAATCAAAATATTTCAGCAGAAACAGTATTCATAAATTATAATTTTAACTTAAAAATATAAAAACTCCTTTATAAAAAAAATAAATACCTATATTAAATTAACCAATTAATAGAATACATTCAATTCATCTAAAATGCATTGTATTAAGAAATTTATAATAAGTTACAACATATATTAACAAAAAGCTATGATTAACAATTGCATAAAAATATAATATCAATACCCTGTATACATTATTAAATTGTGAACAAATGTTAATTAGGGAGTTAGTTACAAGTAAATTTAATAATTTAATATTCTCATATCACAGAGTTATTTTCTAACTCTGTTTAACATGAAATAAAAAACAAAAACAAATATTTAATTTATTACTTCATTATACCTCACCCCCTGAACATTTTCCTTTTTTTGATTGAAGTTATAACAATTTTTCAGCTATTACTTGTGTAGATTTATCTGAAACATAATACATATAAAAGTGTTAATGAACAAATAGCTTAAATGTTTTTGTAAAAAATAATTCCAATTTTAATTTAATTTTGTAAGTTAGTCCACAGATATGTATAATAATTAGATACCCGACTCGGCCAACTCCCATAAACGACATAATTAAATTATGATGCCCGATGCCATTTACAACTTTGGCAATGTTTAAAAATTCTTATCATTTTTTAATCGTTTTGATATCATGCATCGTGATACAAATATTTCATAATATACTCAAAATATAATTTAATTACAAGTATACTTATACAGTTTTACATTATTAAACTATAATTGATGGATGAACCAGTTAAGTTCAACTCATTTTACATTGTACATTTTCAGAACGATTTACTCTAAGCCTAAAAATATAAGTTAAAATTGAAGAATCAGTGAACTTGACTGTAGCTGCCTATTTCAAAATGTGGTTCAATTGATTTGATATTGAAAATAACATATATTTAGTCAACAATTTCAAATATTTCTGTTGAGTGGACATCTATTATTTTTATAGTATGAAAACTAGAAGTATTTTAAAAGTATTCGGAATACAATTTGTATAAAGTATTTGAATACATATTCGGAATACTATTTTTTGTAAGTATTTCAGTATTTATTCTACATACTTTTAAAATGTATTTTACCCAAGTCTGCTAACGAGAAAAAGTGTATTTTTCTAACTTCATTGTTGAATGTCTATTCGTACACAAATTTACACTATATGAGGTCACCATCTTAAATTATTAATTATATAAAATATACGATAATCACCGAAAAAGGGTCAGTAGTCAGTAAATTGGGGAATTATTATTTTTATTGTTGTTAATTGTTATTATAATATTATTTGTAAACATTGTCAAAGTTGCAAATAGCTGCTAGCATCATTGATAAAAAGAAGTCGGTTATCTAGTTATTACACATATCTGCGGTTATATCATAGAACTGAATTCTCACGATAAATTATTGTTTTTCCTATAAAGATTAATTGGAGTATGGGACTTTGTATACTTATTGAGTCTTCTATGTTTTTGGTGTCAGAAGTCTTATCGTCTGGTGATTGTACATCCTCCATCTCTTCAATTGTAGGACCTGAATCATCAATATTTGGGATATCTGATTCTAAAAATATTGTTTATTTTAACAGCAGAAGCATTTATTGTTTTATAGTACAGCCTTACTAGTTATTATAACTTTTTGTTCAGAATTTTCACTCTCATTTGTGTCAGAATCACTTTTTAAAGATATGTCGTCTGTGATTTCTTCTATAGTTTCAGTAGATGTTAGACGACCATTTTGTGTTGGTACACTGCTCTCATAACTTATAGCTAACTGAGGTTTAACCTTCAGTGAAGGATTCCATTGCGAACAATACGCACATCTATAGGCTATAACAAAACATGTTAAACAAATTTATAAGCAATTGTTTTATTGATTAAATTTTACTTATAACATATGTAAATTGGTTGACTTACAAATTAATATATTTTAGAATTTTCAATAAATCAATAATGATATAATAATATGTCAACCAATTTTGTGTAATTTAGAAAATGTCATTCAGCACAATGTGTAGTCAAATCTTTAAGAAGGTTATTTTACAAAATAAATTGTATTTATTATGTATTTAAACACTTAAGCAGTATTAATAATAGTGATGCACAATATTTTTTTTGTCAAATTATTACAATGTCATATTGTGATATCAACATCAACATATTTTTAAATTAATAAATACATTATTCTTTCTTTTTTGATTAGAATACTTCTTAGATTTAAATAATTGTTTCTTAAAAAATTTTGCAGATAAAAATTATTTAAATTTATTATTTTATACTGTAGGTACTAAATAAAAAATAAATGAAATATTAAACAATACAATATCTAATTATCATGATTCTGAGTTCTGTATAATTATTTTTTCAATCTAATTTCATATATATGTTTACTGTATATTAAATATAAAATATCAATTTACTACTGATAATTGATAAAGGAAAATAGGTTTAATATCAATATCATAGTACATCACTAGCTATGACAGGCACTGTACACTGTCTGTGTATTGAATAATTTAATTGCATAAAGTGGTATCTAATCCTTACAGGTTTACATAATATATCAATTTATTTTATATAATGAGTGTTAATGGTAATATAAGTTTAAATTATTATTATTTGATATTTACTAAATTGAAAACAAAATTGAAAGTATTTGTACTTATTTAACATCTGCAAAAGGGTATGCATAAAAGTATTCATACCCAAGTAATCAAACTCTTCTTTCCGGGCCATTCCATTATGAGAACCACATGTCCTACATATTAAAGCATATCGATTTTGAGGACCATCCCCAAGAACTATATCTGCTAAACGATCAAATATGGTACGATCCTTTGGAAGTACAGGTCTTGGAAGAGCTAATCCTAAAAAATATTATAAAATTATTGTTTTCTTCAATGCAAATAAAGTAGCCAGATAGCATTTACTTGGTTTTACTGTTGAGGGCATTATGGCAGGTGGTTGACCCATATTTGGTACTCTGTTCATAGGTCTACCAGTAGAAGCAAAGGATATTCTATTATTTGTAGATGCTCTTTGGTTAATCTAAATTCAAAACACTAACTAAAATAATGAATATGAGTAAAACTAAGAATAGATTTACTTACAAAATTTTGAGAAGTCATTGATTGAAGTTGTTGCGGCGCATATTTTTCTAAAATTTCCTTTGCTACTTTGAATGTTTCTTTTTCCATAACTTCATCAAGTATTTTTTTCTTTTCCTTTTGTAATTCTAATAATGTTTTTCTATATGTTACTATTTTTCGATTGTAATACCAAACAATAAGTTTATAAACATAAAGAGCACTGAAATAATATGATATTAATACATACAAAATAATTAAATGGTTTGTATTTAAATCTTACAGTATTGGATAGCCTGCAAGAATAGCCATGAAATATTTATTTTGAAGTACTTGATATGAAATAATATCGAAATAATAAAGAATATAAATAAATCCATACAAAATAGCTGAATTAAATATAATTTTAAAATAATTGATTGGTGAAGTATTTGAGGTCATATTTTCTATATATACAATTTTCTAAAACCGAATAAATATCAAATAATTAGTTGATAAACAACAAAATGTACAAAATCTTGTTATATTTCAATTATAACTTACATCTTCTAAAGATTCCAAAACTTCTTTGGTATTCTTTTTTTTCTATAAAAAAATATATATATATTTATATAAATAAAGTTATCATAATTAATGAGTTGATATATTATGAATATATTGATATTATGATATATAAACATTTGAAGTAATGTTATGAATGACTTTAAAATTACATTATATATTATTATAATTATAATTATATTACATAATTAATATAAAAGATAATATATAAGACTTAAGTATTAAATAATAATAATAAAACTATTAATACTCTTCATCCACATTGTAAGATACAATTTACATAGTTATTATTTATAACAAAAAGCGATACATTCACAATATTTTAAGGATAAAAATAATAAAATTTTTAAACAAAAACCATTAATGGAAATTTATGCATTAATATTTTTAATTTTATGGTAAAAATGTATGATTTCCCTAATATAATCATCATGGATTTATAAATAATAATTATTAATTATAAATCAAAATCTGAAAAAGTAATAAATAAAGCTTTAATTTATATGAACATGTAATCATTTCAAAGAGAAAATTCGTAATAACGGTTGGTCTATATGATAAATGTTTTCTTAATTTTCTGCATTTTAACCCACACACTTGACTGTGTAGAAACAACAAATACTCATATAACTCGTATTCACTAATTTTATTCAAAACACAAAGTGATTTTAATATAATTATTTTTTCATTTCCTTTCTCTCTTTTACCACAAAAAACTCCGAAAGCGGACCCAGACAATAATGAATCGGAAATTAATTGAAAAAGAGACGACATTTTCGGAGACCGCGTTATTTAACACTATCGCTTACTTTAAATCGCGCAAGAACATTTCCCATCGTGGCGGTTCCCTATCAGACACAGCGATGATGACACCTGGAGGACATTAGGCACTGTCTCGCGTCCGGGTGTGCACTACGGTTGTCGGAGGGCTATTTTAATTCGATAATATGACGGTCACCGGCTTCATAATAATAATAATATCGCAATCGTGGCCGTTGTCTGTTGACGTTCGCTATGAGTAGAGAGCCAACGGGTAGTCGCAACGGAAATCTACGGAATGACGTCCACGAATCACGGAACATTTGGAACCGAACGCGAATCACAATGATAACGCGTTTGATAAGTGCGTGAACACTATCGATGAAAAATACACGCAGTAACGGATACGTTCGTAGTACGAGTTAAAAATAGTAATATACAGATCCATTACGCAAACTGTGCCACTACCCCGTAATAAAAAAATGAACATAATATATTAATTTTTCCCAGATTCTGAGAAAGTATAGGAATGTTTAACCGTGTTGTTATTTTTTTGTTTTTGTGTCTTTGTATACGATTTCGACCAAAAGGTTCGCTCTAAAATTCATATGTAGTAGGTTTCACAAGCACGAATCCAGGGAGAGAGGCGAGAAGCCACGGCTCCCCCAAGCTTAAAAGTTCCCTATAGTATGGATATTTTTTCTCAATTCTACCTATCAATATTTAAATACATTACTACATACATTGATAACTTAACCAGTAAGCGTCGCTACTGCAGAAAGAAGTTTTTCAAGAAGTGTAAAAAACATGGTTTCATTGGAGAATGACTGAAGATAGACTGTTCGATGTATGTTTAATAGATGTTCATAGATAAATTGGTATGTATAATTAAATATAGATATCATTATAGATACATGCTAAGACTAAAAATGTTCATAGATAAATTGGTATGTATAATTAAATATAGATACCATTATAGATACATGCTAAGACTAAAAATAAAAGCATACAGTTTATTATTCATAATGTTTTTTTTTTTTATAGTTTTGTCCAGGGACTTGGCCTCCACCAAAATAGGTCCATGAAGCCGCGCCTGAGGTTTCTGATAGGAAATATTTCTAGTTGATATTGAAGGGAAGTGGTTCCCAAACAGTGCACCACGGTGCTTTTAGGGCAAATTAAACTACGTATCAGTGACGTATATAGGGATGGGCTAGTGGGCTACAGCCCCCCCCCCAATGTTTCAAAAAACTTAAAAATTATTTTAAACGTTTGTTATATTTTAATGGTGCTTTATGCTTATTTAGAATTTGTGTCCAACAGCAAATATAACCATGTTCACGTGGTCCGTAATATTATGTTTATTTTTTTGATATTCTTTTTTTTTTATTTTTGACTACCCAAAGAATAAATGACAAAAATCATTTAGTAATATCAAATATGTAATAAGTAGGACCCGGAATTGTATACACTAAAAACGTACGAAATAAGCATGCATTTGCGCGATGGTTATCATTCAAATATGCACTCAAAATATGCAAACAAAAATGCATGTTTATTATTTATTAAATTAATTTAATTTTAAAATTTATACAATTCATTAAATAATTAATATTTAACAATAAATATACTTTAAAATATATCAACTGTATTTTATATATTTTATTTAACTGTATGGAACTGTATGTTGTATTGAAATTAAATAGTATTTTAAACACTCACTCATCTAAACAAAAAATCACAAACAAAAAATCAATTTAAACAAATCAAGCGGATTTTTATAATATTTTTAAAGTTACAATTTTATATTTAAAACAATAAGCATTGCTTGACTTGATGGGGACGCATGGAGACGGGGTACCCCAACTAATTCTCAGAAATGTTAGCGTTTCCCTACTATTATTATGTTATAATTATAACGCTTAATAAGTCTTGGGGACGCTATTTTTCAAAGTCCCTATTTTTTAATTTTGCCAAGTCGAGGACTGATAATAAGTAAGTAATTTATAAGTATATACATTTTTATAGCACATGAATAGTTATACGTAGTTTATTCTACATTTAGATTAGGTTAGGTCAGGTTTTTACCCTGCAGTGTTCTAATCCGGTAAGATGGTAAACGGTATGGACCAAGTATATCAGTGACGTGTGGGGTTCCACATGGCCCAACCCTATCGAATTTCTTCTATGATGGCGTACTTCGGGTTCCCACTTCTGAGGGCGTCAAGCTTCTGGCTTTTGAGGACGATGTTGCCGTCGTATCTGTGGCCTACTACGCTGCGCTGGTAGAGGAAATCATGAACAAAACCCTGACTGGTATCGACGGATTGATGACGAATAATGGACTCTCACTGGTCCCGGAGAAGTCTGAATGCGTGATTCTCACCGGGAAGCACGCATTAAGTCTCCATCAACCAGTCATTAAAGGCTATCGCCTACCAGTGAAGAAAGATATTGGGACAATAAATATATGGGACTCCATATTTCTCTCCTGGGTCACGATTGCAAACGAAAAAAAAAGGTTTAATCGATACAGTACTGAGGAGACGAGAATTTCCTCAATATCTCCTTTGTATTCTGCGCTTCTATCGATCTATATAAATTAAGACCGATCCTTTGGGATCCACAAAATCCTCAATATAAATTGGGCAAAAAAAAAAATAGATTTTTGGACGGAAATAAGCAAGGGACTACAGCTAGATGTAAATGAAGTGAGGAAAAAGATGGATAGACTTTTAACTTCTTTCCGAAAAAAGAGGCAATGTGAAGTTAACAGTGAACGTTCAAGAGCTGGAACAGACAAGATTTATCATTCAAAATGGTTTGCGTTTGAGGAAATGAAGTTTTTGAATGATAAATTTAAACCTGGGATTACCAAAGATACTGTTCATGTGAGTATTTTTTTTTTTTTAATATAAACTAGGTTGGTCCTTGTTTGTAAGGAAAATAAAGATTAATAATTTTGATAATTTTTATACATTATATTTTATTTAGCTTCATAAAATCCTGAATAATTGTATTTTAAAATATGTATTAATAACTTTTAAGCAGGGTTTAAATAAAAAATAAAAATAAATACTGTTCACTGTTATATGAAATGTATACATTATGAATAATTTAGTGTTTAATGTTATACAGTATTTAAATGTTAATCAATTAATTTGTTTAACGCTATAATAATAACGGCTAATCGCAGGTAGTGTACTAGTTGGGTCCCGGATTTTTATAAGTACTACACTAGTTCCTGAATATTTTTTTGGTGAGTACTATATTATATTAACATTTTCCTTCCCATTTTAACAGATTTAGGACTGTCTATGATCTATTTAGACCACAGGTATGGTTAAAAATTTTTTTTATATTTTTTTTTTGTTTTAAGTTTCTTTTTCATTAAAATATAAATTATTAGAATTGTGTTGGTAAAAATATTAAAAATGTAAAATGTTAAAATCATTGTGTAATATAAATAAAAATGAATGGAAAAGAAACTAAAAAAAAAAAAAAAAAAAAAAAAACATTTTTAACCATACTTGTGGTCTAAATAGATCATAGACAGTCCTAAGTCTGTTAAAATGGGAAGGAAAATGTTAGTATAATATAGCACTTACCAAAAAGTTGACCGAAACCAGTTTTTGCAGCATACAGTATACAGCAGAGGCGGCCAAACGTTTTCCAGCCACGATCTACTAAAACTATACTTCACCTTTGAAGATCAACTTTCTTGGAAAATTTTTTTATACACCAGAAGAAAAGATAAAAACTATACAGATAAAACTTATCGACAATTTGTTCATAACTACCATGATTAATTTTCGTGCACGTAACCTAAAAATAAATTCTAACATGAACGACTCTGAAATCGTCCGCGATCGACCGTTTGGTCGCCCTTGGTATACAGTATACAGCATCTCAGGATATTAAAAATACCGCTCAAACACATTACAATGTTTTAAAATCACTCGCCCAAACGCATTATGCTAAATATCCCAAACACATTATGTATAAAAAATGATAAAATAAACATTTCGTTGATTTCGTTTGGTTAGATAACCAGAACATTTGGTTATCCGCAAGGGCGTCCGTAGGGGAGGGGTGAGTAGGGGCATCTGCCCCCTTTGGCTTTTTCATAGATCAATTATCTCAACCATTATGTAGTATAAAATATCACAAAATAAATATTTTTTTAAATTTAAAACATTTTTTGAAACTTTGAGTGCCACGGTCGACATTTGTCGATAAATGTTATGAGTAGAGCGCGGATTTGTATGCACTTAAAAGTATCGAAATATGCCATATAATATGCAGTAAAAATCATGAAAATATGCAAAAAATATGCAGTCGAAATCATGAAAATATGTAAAAAATATGCAGTCAAAATTATGAAAATATGCAAAAAATATGCAATAATTTTTAATTTATTTAAAATTTATAATTCAACTAATAAAAATTGATTACTTATATACTTAATACAAAAAAATTTAGGGAATTTTCTGAACTTAATTTATTTTTAAAATTTTATTTATTATTAAAATAAATAATCATATACATTTCAAGTTTATCTTCTGTGAAGCTGTGTCATTTATCGATTAACATATTTTTAAAGACTGAAATCGAACCCTTGATGTCAACCGAAATTATTGGGGCATATTTGAAGCAAGTGGTATGTCGATAATCGACTGACACAGCAAGAGCGATTAAGTTTACGTCATAATCGATTATTTATTTTATAACTAAATATATATATATAAAAATTATTATTTAGTGACTATGAAATTTATTTTTAATTTTTTTACTTGACAAAATATTATTTCATACATTTTTTTTTAAATTTTCACTTCAATATGCAATAAATTTTGAATTTTGCAAAAATATGCAATAACCTCTAAATATGCAGAAATATGCAAAAAAAAAAATTTACCATTAGCTTCAAATTATGATAATTCGTGGAGATAACTGACAAAAATCCAAAAATATTGAAAGGAAAAAAATATGCGATTGCATAGAAATCCGCGCTCTAGTTATGAGGATCTTTATGGTTATATTACATATTTTTTTCACTGTTGCGCCCTGATAAGTCATCGGTTTTTGATGTACTGTTTCGACTTTTATATGTGAATATTTAATGTTGGTAAATACCAAATGGTTTGATGATTGGTAGTTCTTTATTTATTTTATAGAAGCTAGAAACGTCCAGACTAGACGATCAAGGGTACTGAAGGCACATGTGACGACCTTATTCGGTTAGGTTGGTCTAGGTTTAGACAGCGCGATTGGACGAACGACAACGGCGAATATGCCTTCGGTTACCTTCGCTAGGGGAGTGGTACATCAAAGGAATTCGTTATCAGTTTAGACATGATTTGTTGATGTTTTAGTCTTCGTCAACATTTGGTCCGAACAGATAAATAAAATAAATTGTAAGCGTTCGCAGCTTAAATCAGCGAAGGCTTCCAAACACGGACTAACGACGAATTTGCATGAGTTTAGACAGTATGCCAATGTTCTCACATCTAAACACAGCCAACATCGAATGTGGAAACGTTGACGTTCGGTTGCCTTGGTCGTGTAGTCTGGACGTAGCTTAAACGGTCGCGGTCGAATGTTAAGCGAATATGCGTTCCCATTCGTTCGGTAGCATTTTGTACCGTTTGTTCGCGTTCGCGGCCTAATATAAACGCACCTTAAGGGATATGATCAGATATCTGTGTTCAAAACAAACGTTTTTGGTGAAGATTAATCAGCTGATAATTTTTATCAATTTTAACAACTGATCATAATTTATTCTATTGATAGTAGAAATGATCAATAATAACTTGAACTTTTCCATATAGGTTTTAATAATAATTGTTTATTTTTATTTTATTCATAATTTATATTTACCATTACATTCACATACAATGTGATCACCATCATCTAACATGATTAGACCATCTTTTGTTCGACATATTTTCCCATTAAATATTTTCGTGGTCGAAAAATAACAACAATTTAAAAGAATCCTTATTTGCGATTTGTGTTTTCATATTTTTTTTTTTGAAAATATTAAAGAACTAAAAAATTACAGAATCAACTATACGCTGATAAGAAATGATAACGATCAACACCTACACTTGTTCTTAGGTCGGAGTTTTACACTGATGTAAAACTTTTTTAAAACAAAAAGCGTGTACGACTACACTATTTCATAACGAACTTTTGGGATTACACTTGTAAAAAAATGTACACTTTTTGTCAAAACGAACTAACTTAATGTTTACATCGTTTTCACTGCGAAACACGGGTGGCAGGTGTTTTACTGCCATATTATCACCGTTGATCCGCGACGGTCTGCGATAAGAGCATATGAAAATTCCGAAAATCATTATGTCTTAGGCCTAGCTGAATTTGTATCGCTGTTACGGAACTCATCGACCTTTTGATCCATTCGTTCCGTAAATCATTTTATACTTCCTCATTCGTGTGCCCAAACCAAAACCGGGTTTTCGAACGAAAAACGTCTGCAATGTGTCTGGTAGACCATTTGATGTAGACCAAACCCACTATGGCTAATTATTACTGGATTTTGTTGCTGGCTTTGCTATGCTTTACAACTTTCGGTGTGTGGTTAACAACCATCACCGTTTCTGTTCTCCTGGCATTCCTCTACAGGTACTATGAACATCTCATGTGGTCCGTTGAACCATTTTTGATATTCTGTTTAAATATTTGCTTAGCTTAATATATTTCACTTACCATGCTGTGGAAGACGAAGCCAACGCATACATAGAATCATTGAAAACAGATCCCGATCATCATGTATATAGTTTCTTCAATCCCGAAACCGTAAATGTCCACTGTAGTTGTTTTATGTTTTTTATTTGCTAATCTTATGTTTTTTTTGTGTACTAGATTTCTAAAAAAGAAACTTTTGAAGAAAATATAAGTTTAAGTGGTTCTGAGTATATAGATCAACAGTTGTCTGACATTATGGAATACATTTTTAGGGACTATGTGTATCCATGGTAAGATTCAATTTTCAAAACTTTTGTTTTAACATTACTTGTTTTCTCTATATATCAAATATAGCTGTTATTTTATGTATTTGCAAACAATCCCATAATAAGGCAATAATAATGAAATTAGATATTAGTATAAAGATAAATTAAAAATAATCAAGAACTAAGATTGATAAAGAAAAGTGATTGCTTTACAAGGAAATTGTCATTTAAAAAAAGTATTACACAAATTAAATTTTTAAATTTTAAGTAAATGGCCTAGATTAGGTTAGGTATCCTTCAAGTATTTGACTCAGAAAATTTGATTTATATTTGGTTGAAGGAAGAAAATCACATTTAATATGATAAATGACAATAGAATTAATGTATTATGTGAAGATTAAATTTTGTTATCCATTAATATTCAACACTATGATTAATTTTAGGTATGATAAAATTAGTGATGATGAAGACTTTCCCAATCAATTGCATAATTCTGCTAGTTATTTAATCAGTTGTATGGCCAAACGGTTACAACAAGTTGATTTTCTACAGTTTGTGTGTACACAATTATCAGAAGAAGTTGCCAAACATATTCGAATATATAGAAAATCATTGAAAGCTATGGCTGCAAAAAATTCTGAAGAAATTGATTTTGAAACTATATTCTTCCAACATGAACAAGATGTCGATCGATTGAATACATCACATGCTAATGTATGCTTGGATGAAAACTATGAAAGAAGTAAAATAATTTATTGTTTGAATAAAGAAAATTATATTTAAAAGTACCGAATGTGTTATTATCTTACAGAATGGCTAAGGGATATAACTGAAGCACTTTTATATCATCTTGCTCCTGAAAATGATTTCAGGTGTAAAACTATTCGCATTTTGATATGTGAAATTATAGCAAACAAAGTTTTTTTAACAACTATTAATATGCTCAGTAATCCAGATTATGTTAATCAATTAATTATATGGCTGGTAAATAATTAAAGTTACTTTAAATGTTTTAAAAAAAATTAACCGTGTGTATTTTTGTTGTACCATTAGTGCAGTGACTATCCAGTTACTAATGAAACATTTCTTACAGTATTAAGATCAACTAAGTCAACTCAACAATTAAATGCTGTTCATAGTTTAGTCAACAAAGAAATAATGAATCTGGTATTTTAAATCTTGTTATGATTTTTATTAGAGGCATAAAAAATAATCACTAACCTTCACAAAAAAAAAAAAAATGACAAATGATCTCCATTCATGAATTTATAATAATAATTCGTTCATCAATAACAAGTGCACATAGGCATTTTTGTAAAATAATAGTGGAAAATAGTTATAATTTTTCATGCTTCTAACTTTATTTACAATTTTTTTTTATTAAATTTAATACAAATATTTGTAGCGATCAAGAGATTCTGGCGAATCAGAAAGCAGAGCAAAACAGCAATTAAGTAGTCTTGTATTTTTATCCAATTTGATTAAATCAATTGTTAACAGTATTCCTCAACAATCGGATCGATCTCTAGGTAAAATATTTGTTAATGAATTGATATGCATATTAATTATTATAATATTTATATGAATATCATTTTAAATTAACTTATATATTTTTTTAGACTTGTTATTATCATTTGAGCATTCCATGTCCTCTCCGAAGAATGATTCATTGTCTTTAAAATGGATTTTAGAAAGTAAAACGGCTTTGCCATACTTTATTGATTATTTAACAACTATAAATTGTGATAGTTTTATATCATTTTATATGAATATTGATGGTAAGATTTTTATGCAAATTAAATTTTAGAATTGTATTAAATGAAGTCAAAATGATTTAAAATTAGGTTGGAAACAATTTGTTCATGATCAAATGCAAACTGTTAGTGGTGATCCTAATCAATATTCATCATCTGATCTAGCAACAGTGGATCATATTAGAGATGAAGCTAAAAAATTGTACTCCTTGTATATTGTTCAAAAAGTAAAATTTAGTTTTGTTCCTTTAGAAAATTATAATTTTATATTTATCATAATTAGAAATATATAATTATTAATTAGCCTGATATTTGTGATGAGCTTGGAGATGAGCTTGTTAAATCATTAGTTAAGAAAATACAAACTGATCCAGTAGATGAAACATGGTTTGATGAAGTTCAAAATACATTATACAAGGGGCTATTAAAGGTACATAGATAAGTTTTTATTAGTAATTTTTTCACTTTCGATTTATGTGATAGTTAAATTTATTTCTATAATCAAAAGTTGACTGTATATCTTAAATCAATAATATTTATGTACTTATTATATATAAATATATATTTTATATTTTTTTATTTAAATTTAATTGAATATAATAAATTTATATGATACATTAAGATGTTAAACTTGATTAAAATGTTTTGATTAGCCGGAAAAGGGGATTATATCTGGATTTGGTAAACATGAGTCTTGTTCAAGATTGATATCGGATTTGGAAATGAAATCACTAGGTTCAGAAGACATTTATGAACCGGAATTAGCAATTCCTGCATCTGATTTTCTTATACCAATGGACGCTGTACAACAGCTCTTAAAAGGGACTGGAGGTAAGTTAAATAATGTTCTTTTAAATCTTGTTATTTCGTATTATTTGTATTTTAGATAAAGTTAGTGATTTTCTCTCTGGTGGTAAAGCTTTAAATCCTAGTCAATCAGAAGAAGACAAATCAATATTATCTGCCGATATTATTGAAACTGGTCAGTAAATAATTGGTAACTTTGTATATATGACATAATGACTAACAAGTTAATATTATAGGACTTGTACACGAGGGTGGCAAAACATTTGGTGTCTATGCTGTATCCATAACTAGAGTGTACATGTCTGGGAAAGAAGAGAATTGGCATGTTTATAAACGATATTCTGATTTTTATGATCTCTATCAAAGAGTGAAAGATAGGGTATGGCTGTACATAATAAATAAATAAATAAATATTATTTTTAAAAATAAAAATTAACTTGTCTAGTATCCAGAACTTGGTAAACTATCATTTCCAGCTAAAAAAACATTTCATAATGCTGATAGACGGGTATTAGAAAAGCGTATGATGATGCTCAATCAGTTTATACACAATTTGCTGAAATCTTCAACAGTTGTTAACTATCCAGGAATACAAACAATGGTTGAACAGTTTCTTGAACAAAGGCCTGAAGATAAGAAAGCATTATTATCGGGTCATCTAGTTAAGACTGTTGATAATCTTTTGTTCAACCCGTTGAAAGCCGTGGGAAACGTTGTTAAAACAGTACCTGATAATATATTTAACACAGTGGATGGTGTAATGGATAATATAAGCAAAGTACTTGGTCCATCCAAACCCACTGTGAATAGAATTATAGTGGACGAAGTATGTATAAAATGTTCACTTTAGTGGTATTCTAATTTACCTATTTTAAAATCAACAGGATGATGACAACATGCCCATGCGTGCAGTATTATTATTATTAACTGAAGTATTTGAAGTCGATGAACAGCAACAATGGCTACGGAAAAGATTTGTCATGTTATTACAGCATATTATTAGAGCTTCATTCGGTCATGTTGTTAACAGAAGATTCAAAGAGTATGTGGCAACAGTAACTGACCCTTATAGGGTATCATTATTAATTGCTGCGATCAAGTAATGTTGTGATACAAAACAATGAACTTGTATCATATTCAATTTTTATTTTTCCCTTTCTCACAGAAATTCATTATGGCCAGAAGGTGTACGAGCTACAGAAGTGCAATTTCGAGACACTGAAGTACAGCTTAGAACACTCGTGGCTGCTAAATGTGCACTTATGTCTTCTGTATCAGGTAACGTTGCATTTAATAATATTAATAAAATAGTACTTGTTTTTTTTTGTTGCAATTATTTAGACGAATTGAAGCATTTAATGGGTAGTGAAGTTACTAGACGTGGAATTTATTTGGCTGTAGTCATGCTCCAACACAAAACTCTTAACAAACGTCTAGCATACGTTTTGACCAGTGCTTGTATTTTATTGATTTTTCCAAGTTTCAGTGGGCTGATCGATAAATTACATAAAAATCCTCCTATACTTAATAGGAATTAATTATCTTTTTTTTTATATAACAAAATAATTTGTTAAGTCTACTACTTGTATCTTTGTTGTTATTGTTATTATTATATTTATGTTAATATTGTTTTATTCTTTGTTTTTGATATAATTTAAGTATAACTATCCTAAAAAAAAAAAAAAAAATTATCTTTGAATATACATGGAAATAAAATACAATATAGTTGAACAAATTTTACATAATATATTTAAAATCTAGTACAAACACTGTTTTTTTTTCTTGTGATATTTGTCTAGACAATAACAATTCATTTTTATTTATAATATTAGCTAATCATTATTATAAAATAATAAAATAATAATTACATAAAACTTAGTTACCCAGTAATACATCATATTTGTTATGATAAAATACAAAAGCCATAAGTGTGGAATATGTGACAGATGAAAATCTCATTTTTATCCTTGAACAAGTTAAAGTGACATCGTAAAAATGATATGTTATAACAAAATGTATAAAAGAAAAGATTATTATTACAATACAAAGGCACATCAGTTTCACAAATTGTAGTCAATAGCTTAATTATAATACATTTTTAATTATTACTAGAAAATGATAATTAAATGAAAGTTAATAAATAATTAAAAAATAAAACCTAATAGGCTTAACATTTTAATTAAATAGTTGCAAGATTTTTAAGCTCATTACTTTGATAATTAGATAAAACAATTATTTTTTTTTTATAAAAAAACTATTCAGTCTAAAATTGTCTAGAAAAATTAAAAGTACGTTTTAAAAAATACAATAAAATAAAGCAAAAAAAAAAAAAAATATACATATATTATAAATAAATGTCTTTAAAAGGAATTGAAATATGAACATTTACAAGTAGTTGTTACCTGCGATTACTATGTACAAATAAAAAATATATATAAAGTTAAATTTTATAGAAATAAAATAAACAAATTACGGGTGAATTGAACACAAATTGGCAATCTGTTAACATGGAATTTATTATTTTACAAGATGATTAGAAAGAACAGAAACAAACAATAAAGTTAACTGGGTGAGGGTTGTTGGTCACCAGAAAACGTGTAGTGTTTCAATCTAGATTTAATTTCAAGATCACGCAATGCCTGTTTTGCACGTGCCCGCACTTCTTCACTGCAAGTGCTATTAAATTTTTTTAATCCTCTACGGTTCATTGCACCAAGTGAAAACATGGGTCGCACTTTGGAAGGGAGTTCGGGCACTTCTTCTGGTATAGTGGCTACTTGCAATGACTGGCAAGTCGAATTTGCTGCAAAATAAAATTTTGATTTAATTCCTTGAACAACACATAGAAAAAAAAAATATGAAATTAAGTTATAATTGAACAGTGATTCCAAATTTAATAAGTCAATAAGACCCGGATTATACAAACAAAAATACGGGTAAAAATAATTTGTACTGATGTAGCAAAATTGCCTATACCAAACGCCTGGTAATGGGAATTTTAAGAATTTAGAACAGTGTTTTTCAACTTTTGTATTATAGCGAGACACAATTAAAATATTTAATACTTTGTGAAAAACAATAATAAAAATAGGAATAATGGGTTATATTAAATATTTATAATTAATTGATAATTCAACTTAAAAATAACAAAGAAAAATATAACATAAAACAGCATTTTAATGAAAAATTTGTGACTGACATTTCTTACATAATGTATCAATAAGTGGTGAAATCTTCGACAAGGCAAATCTAATTTTCACTAATTTTACAAATTATTTATATGACTGTAGTTTTTTTAGAATTTCAAAGCTAACGTTTATCAATTAGAATTATGATAATGATAAAATTTATTTAATGTCGATAACTGATAATCTATTTTATTCACTGTAGAAATTATATCAAATATTTATTAATTTTTTTAAAGTTTCAACAATGTTTGTACATTTTGTGTCATTTAATATTAGTACTTCACGCGACACATTTGGACTTACCCGGTGAAACACCGGTTGAGAAACACTGGTTTAGACAATAACTTACATTGATAAGCAGTCTCAACGCGATTAGATTTCTTTGGACTATTGTGCGCTCGGCTAATGTGCTTATTTCTGGTACTCGTCGTTTCAAAACTGAGACAAAAATTCAATTAGAATAGATCATATATTTTGATGTTATTATATATTGCTTACCCTATATTACAAATGGGACACTTGTAAATACTGGTAGAATCGTCAGAATCAATCATAGGCGTTAGCCGTTGAGCAGCCTCCGACAATGCTGCCAAACGAGCATTTTGTCTAATGGCATGAGCGGACTGTAATTTTTTTGGCTGAATTTTTGCACTGGACCCGTTGGTGTTACGCCCAATGACTTTGCGTAAATCCTTAGCCAGAGCAGAATTGGCAATGCTACTCGATACAGTTGTACCTTTTTCATTATTACGTAATGCACACAGCTTACCCAACAAAGTTATAGCACCACCACTCCATGCTTTATCAGCACTTCTAAAACAAATTATAAGATTATATCAAATCTGACATTGATAATTTACAACTATTCATGTATTTACGGTTTTTGTGTAGAGGAAATGAGATTCTTCAAAGCTTGGTCCAAAATTTCACCCAGCTTGCTAACCATTTTATTTTTTAACTCCTTTCCATTTTCACTGGAGTTCAAATAAATTTATACTTTTAATTTTTGAATTACCATATACATAATTAAAATATGACAGTATAATGTACACACCTATTGGGAGTATCATCAAATTCATGGTCTTTTGCCATGTGTTCGTCGAGTTCTTCTGGTCCTCCTTCTATTATAAGCTTGCAAACCCAACATACCAGCAGGTAATCAGATTTAATTACATTAACTAAAAATACAAATTTATTGTTGAATTATTAGCTAGGGTTAAAACATAAATGATATGAATTGATAATAAATTCTTAATTTTTCCAATAATCAAGCAACAGTAAAAAAACTAATTAGTATTTAAAATTAATATAATTATTATAGTATATTTTTGTCAGGAATTTAAATATTTTACAGTAATACATAATTATTGGAAGTATTAAGGTGATTCATCATACAATAACTTACAACATTTTCTTTTCCAAATTAAGACATGATTGAATTTTTTATATTTTGTAAAAAAAAAAAAAAAACCAAATTAAAAGCTAAATAGGTTTATAGTTTATATAAAATAAAGTGAAATAATTTACTGGGTCTGTTTTGCTTTTATTAGTTTATAGATTATCTGTTAATCATATTTTTTTTTACGTTTGGATGATCCTTATTTACTAAATAGTATTTATAGGTTGGGTAATAAATCCATATAATATGGATATTCATACTGCCCATATATTATACTACTACAAAATAGTGAGTTTTTTCTTTCAAATCTATAATGAAACCACTGAAGAAATTGATTAATATTACTAGAATATCAGTCTGTATGTATGATGGTGGTTATATTAATGAAAATTATACTTTTACATTTATTATAAATTATCATCAATGATTAACATTTATCAAATAAATTACAAACTAAACACATTTATTTATTTTGCTATTTTGTATGAATTTATTTTGTTAGCTATCAAATATCTACTAATAATAGGTTTTGTAACGGCAATATATCATATCTGAAAAGAAGTCAGAACCCTATTTTGTCTTAAACATATTTTCTTAACTTCCTAAATTGGGAAACACTGTAAATAATGTTTTATTTAATTTTATGTTTTTCTGTAGTATTTATCTATAATACAAACCAGAGATGGTTTATATGAATTACTCTATAGCTTTATATATCATAACCAAATATAGTCAATTGTTATAAAAAAGAAAAACGTTTTGAACAGAAAAAAATCTGCACACATTTTTGTAGGGAGATTTTAAATAAAAATTATTTTTACCCTGTAGTGATATCATCAATAAATCAGTTTTTGCGATACCATTTTTTACAAAGAAATTTTAGCCAATATAAGAGGAAATAAATGTTCTATGTTTGATTTTAAAATATTGCATTATTATTATTAGTGTTAAACATATTTTTTCATAAAATATACTAGAAAATCAATGATAGCAACTTACCTAATTCTGGATCTTCAATACTATGAACATCGAGTGAATGAATACGAAAAGCAGCAACACCTTTATAGCATTTATCACACACTTTGCATTTGAAATTCATTTCAGTGTCGGGTTGAGTATCAACTTTTTCCTGCGATAATAAATTTTTGTAATATTTATTATTTTTATATTTTTTTTGAAACTTGTATAAAATATACGGCGACAATAAATTTACTTGATTGTTTTCTGTATTATCCTGTTTACAGTCCAAATCTAATAGGTCTAAACGATTTTCACTAGTAACATCTTGACCATCTCGAGACGAGTTTGAACCGAAATTTTGCAATATAGCCATTTCTTCATCAGTGGCTCCCATTGCACGTTGTAGCTCTGTCCAAGAATAATCATTTACTTCTGTACCAGTTACATTACAATCAGGACCTTCCAATATCTATTTAAATAATAACATTAGCATATATTTATATATATATACACAATAATACATATATTTTAAACAAATTTAACTAGCCTGATTGACTGAACTCAATATTGATCCCAAGCTAATAGAGGAAGACATTTCAAAAAACGTATCGGACTGTGAATGCCAACGTGGTTCAGCTACTTCTTCAGGTTCTTTTGACTCCTTAATATCAGTACTAATTGGAGCAGTGGCTTTATTTTCTTCTATAACTGTCTCTTTTAGGAATTCATTTTCATCAGATTTCTCTAAGACTTCTTGAGGTGTTTTCTGTATAGTTATATCACTTACAGAGGTATTTTTTAATTTTTCATCACAGACTTTTTCTTTTTGCTCTGTAATTAATGGATTTGAATCCGAACAATCTAAATTGGGCTTTACATCAGATAGTGGTGTATCATCAACTTTGTTAGACGTTAGCTGTTGAGTTTTGTTTTCAGTCTTTATATTACGTTTCCGTTTTCTTGACCCAAAGAAAACACCAGGTTTCCTTCTGTTTTTGGCTTTTGGTTTGAAAGGGTTCACTTTAACTGTTTTTTTCTGAGTAGGAAGAATCTTAGAAGTAATTTCTTGACTAGACTCAAAATCAACAAAACTACTACATGATTCATTATTATTATTTGTTGGCTTGTCCTCCTTTTCTATGAGTATCTCTTTGGACAAAGATTCCTCAATGAAATTCTTTTTTCTATTACGTGTTTGTATTTTAGAAACAAAGTTTTCATCAATGGTTTTCTTTTCGGGTAATTTAAGAATTTTTTTCGACGAAGTTTGTATTTTGGGTTTTTTTGCTGGAGTTAATTCCACAATATTTTTTTCTTGATTTTCAATTTTAGCTTTTTTTAATGGAACTGAGGTCTTTTCAAAAGCTTTTGAAGGAATTTCTCTTTTTCTTCGTAACCTATTTTGTTTAATCAACCCAATTTCTATTTCATTCATTAATTTTTTGCCTTTATTTTTTACTACTGCAGGAACAGGAACAGGAACAGGAACAATTTCTTCTATATTTTCATCAACCGATTTAACAATTGGATCAAGAATCTCATTGTGGTCATGCTTAGCAATTTTTTCAGACAATTGTTTAAAATCATAAACTGGTCTTTTACGTTTTTTAGGTAAAATAACTGGGGTGGGTGCTGGAGAAGCCATCAAGGTTTCCTTCATAGCAGCAATTATTTCTTCAGTTTCAGTCTTATTACACGGTAGTGTATTTTCAGCTGGTTTGACTGGGGCACGCATGATGTTAAGACTGCGTAAGAAATCTGGTGCTTCAGAAACGAGCACAGCAGTTTCAGTTACTACTGGCAATGGTTTTTTAATTTTCTTACTAAACGTGGTTAAATTTGATACAGTTGGATTACGGCTGCTTGTGTCAATAGGAACCTAAAATATTTAAATATATAAGAATATGTTTATTTTTTATAATTAATAGAAACACTTTTAGGTCTAAATATACCTTTGAGCATACAGACTTCTTTGTTTTTGAAAGCAGCGTGTAAATTGTAATTATAAATTATTAATTTTTATTTTTTTATTCAAGTATATATACCAGTGGCGGACTGGGATATTAAGGGCCCGGGATGCGTTTTATGAGCGGGATCTGAACTATTACCTATTGGTAGAAACGATTTTATGAGGACCTTATCTTCTTAAGACATCTATTATACTTCAATTTCTTATGTTATTTTTCTGTAGCTATCTATCTTTATAAATGTACAATGCTTTGATTAAAAATAATTAACTAAGGGGATCCTAGATCAAGAAAGTAATTTGAAGGGTTTTACCGAAAGAGCAGAAGAGGGAAAAAAAACTTAGTTTAATAGTATACTCATAAAATAGATATTTAAATACTTTAATAAATTTTAAATAACTCAATAAAAACAATACTTAAGAGATAAAAGTTAAAAATAAATATGTACCTTATACTTTAATTAACAAATTCAAAGTGTTTTTTTTTGTCTAAATTAAGTCATTAATTACTTTTTCAACAAAGAATTTAGTCATTAATAAAATAGGAATAAAAATTTAAAAAAAAAAAAAAATGTTTTTTCTTAAAATCATTATTTTTAATATTAAATTTACTGCCAAAAAATATCAATCAAAATAACAATTTTGTTGAAAGTAAATTTGAAACTTACCAAACTCGTTTATAATTCTTTCAGAGTAGGGAATTTTATCTTTTTCAGTATTTATAAACAGTAGTTTCCAAAAGTTCTTGTCTTATGAAGCTCGCAATGTTCGCATTGTTTTAATAATATTTAGTTTTTAAAAACTATGTTCATAATTGACTTGAGTACAAGCAACATGATTTTATAAAACAATAACACTTAAAATTGTAAAAATATGCGATATAATATGATATGACCTTAAATATCATAAAATATACAATGAAAATATGCAGTTTAGATCCAGGCAGTATAACATATTGTTCATGGTACTATGGCAGTGATCTATTTATAGTATTTGTAATCAATAGTAATAGTAAAAATAATGATAATTATTAATAACGTTTTTTCAAACCCACTACACTAACAAATAATTCTTAAAAGCATTTTATTTCAATTATTTTTTTAAGGGTACATAGGGCCTGGCTAAGTTAAGGCACGGGATGTAATTGCATCCTGGCATCCCTTGCCAATCCGCCAGTGATATATAAAATTTATTTTCAAATTATTATTCAACTATATTTATTGATTGTTAACCATAATGAAATTTGATAGTAAAAGAAAATATTAACCGAATAAAAATTAATTAAGGTGAAAATCATAAAAAAGGGATAATATTTCTTTTAATAAATTATATACTTACGCTATTTATTGTTGCTTGACTATTTCCATTAGGAGTCTCAAATACCAATCGTCTAGTGACTCTTTTAGGAGGTAGATCAGCAATCATACGACTTACACTTTCAGCTATAATAACAAAATATATTAATATATTAAATTATTATTATGTATATATAGGTAATAAAAAAAAAAAATATAATGTTAATGTTTACCATCGCCAGGTTTAGTTTTAACAATTGGTAAAGGAGGTGTAGGTGCAGTTCGTTTAAGACCATGTCGAGCTCTACCATTCTTGCGTCTTCGGAAATTAAAAGGCCTCCAATTTTTTTTTTTAAATTAAATTATAGTTAAAATTTCTGAGAAAATGAAAAAAATAAAAAAAATGTACCTTGATTTTTTATTATTGGGAGATTTGGTTGTGTGAATCATTGTTTTGAGCCATTCTGTATCACCACCACAATCTAATAAGTGTCTATGGAGTTGAGCAATGTCATTTTCCATTTTGCCACATTTAGTGCATTGTGGCAATTCAATTTTTTGTTCTTCACATTCAGATAGCAATCCTTTTCTGCTCAGGTTTCTTTCTGGCCGCTATACATTTTAGAGTTACATTATTAATAATATATTAAGTATAGCATAACAATTATAATTTCAATTACCCATTTTTGAGATGGAAGTTGATCTATTGGTATATCATAATGATGACAAAGCACGTTAGGATGAACATTCCACTTATGATAGAAAATATCCCAAATATTAGAACATGTTGCTGGACATGCTGAACAAATATAACTACGAGGGTATAGCCATTCTCCACTAAATCCTTCAAGTTTTTCTCTTTCAGCATCTGCTCAAAAAAAATTTTTTTTATTCAGGAATAAGGACATTAAAATAATATAATTTTAATTTACCATGAGAACTTGGATATCCATAGGAAGAAGCGGCATCAACCTCCAGTGAACTTATATCTTCCTCAACTGGTGATGGACTAGGATTCAAAGATGGCACCATACGTCTAATTCGATTTTGAATCTCAAGATTCATGTATGATATATCAAAAGGTACTCCTTGTTTGGAAACCAGTTCATTTTTATTATTTAGATAAACATATTGAGTTCCTTTTGCTGATAAATCTTGAATTTCATCTTTTAATTCCTTTTCTTGTGTTTTTACAAGTTTTTTAGACAAAACTACTTTATTAGCTGGTTGTAGTAATTTTTTAGATTTTTTATACTCCAACTTTTTACCATGACCTAAACTCATATGTCGTGCTAAATTTGGCTGTTGAGTAAATCCTTTTTTACAATCTGGGCAATAGAATGGATAACTTTTGGATTCTTCCTTTTTTTTTGGTTCATCTTTTTTCGTCTCTTCTTTCTTTGGATCATCTTTTTTTAGTTCTTCTATTTTAGAATCCTCTTTTTTCTTAGTTTCATCTTTTTTTAGCTCATCAACAAATGATTCTTTTTTTATGTCAATAATTTTTGGTTCATCTATTGGTAATTCAATAATTTCGACTTTAGGAGGTTCTTCTTTTAAATGTTCTTTTTTCATACCATTATCTGATTCTAATTTTATACATAGGTTATTCAAACATATGGTTCTATGATTTTTAGCTAACTCTCTAGAATTAAAACGTTCTTTACATTCAGCACAGCCGTAATATATATCTTCATGATTAGTACACATATGTTTATGTAATGTGTACAAATCAAAAAAGTTTAGTTGACAGTATGTACATATATGACATCTTCTTTTGGGAGGATGCATCTTAGACAAATGACTTTTTCGATCTTCTTCATTTTCTATTTTTTTATCACAATACAAACATAATTCACAAACGTTGGTAATAATATCTGGTAGCTTTTTCACAGTAAGAGATTGTAAGCTAGGAGGATGATTTATCACATGATTTCGTAATTCTAAAGATGTAACAAATGATACACAACATTTGTGACAATGATAGTAGCCTACCTGACCTTTTGTACTCCTCCATTTTTCTACCATTTTTTCAAGACGATCACCTTTAAAGCCTGCAATTTGCATGTCTCGGGTTGTCAGATAATGATAATTAATATGTGCTTTTAAATAGTGTTTCTTAAGAGCACCTCTTCGTTGATAAATACCGGAACACACATTGCATGAATATAGTTTATGTCCATTATTTATAATACTAATTTGAGATTGATCAATTGAAAACACATAGCTTTTCAGGTCAGTTTTGTTATTGTAATAAATATTTTGAGCTTTTTGTTTCGGAGTTACTTTAACTTCAAGAACAACTGATGGCTCTGGTATTTTCCTATTATTGAACACATTGGTTTTTGGCATAACTATAAGACTAGTAGCTGGGGGGCTACTTTTAAAACTGTTTGTTGGAATGCATGAAACAGAAGCACATTGAGGGGGTGTTGAAACTGGTATAAGTGTTGTTTCATTTCGAAATTGTTCCATTTCAATGTCTGTTCCAAGACGTTTAAGCCTTTGGAAAACATCCAGTGGCCTTTCTTGAATTGGATGAACAACAGGATAACGTTGTATTGTGACCTCAGAAGTGAGTGGAAATAACGCTGGAGGAGCGCGTAAACTCTTTTTTTCTGAGTTTGATGGTGGAACAGGATTCAATAAATTCTGTATTATAGATAAATGGCTTTGTTCAGAAGATGTCATATTATTTGAGAAAGAATTATCTGTTGAACATTGTTTTGCTAAATGAAGTTTGTTCACAACGGCATTCAGTCGGCCCCCACCCATCTTTTTAGTAACGGTAGGAGGCATATTATTATGTATCACAGAACCTAGAAAAATAAAATTGAAAATAAATTATTGAAATTAATTAAAATTAATTAATTAAAATGCATTTTTAAACTATTATTTTAATAAAAAAATTTAAAATGGATTACATTTTTTTGTGACTTTAATTAAAATGGAAATAGATAAAATCAGTAAAATCATAGAAAAATAACTAATAATATTTTATTGGTCTTTGGTATAAATATGTTACTTTATTAACTAAGCATATGGTAATTTTTCTTTTTGTAAAGTTGGCTTTAAATTTGAGTGTCTACCAAACTAGAAAAAAACATTAAGTGTTGTACCTGACAATATTGTGATAAAAATGTCAATAATAAGCAAATATTTAAATGAATACTATTAGGAAGGTTTTTTTAGAAATACATTGAAAAATATCTAAATAATTTGACAGTTAAAACAATTAATTTTTGTAACTAACATTTTATTAAATTGCCTATATAAAACTCCTTAAAAAACAGTGTTTTATTTAATAAGAAATTCTAGGCGATTCGGTTTGTAGTAATAAGTAATTAATTCTTATTTAATTTTGTAATTTAGACAAACTAGTTATAACAGTATAATTTATAAACAAAATATTTTCATCATAAAATACCTATTTGTTATGTAAATATTAAAAATGTCAGTATTGTGGATCAATTAATATTAATATAAATAAAAAAAAAATATTTGTTAAATTATTACCTAATACAATGATTTAAATTGTAATATAAACATGTAGTATTAGATTCGCAAAAACACTTTTTTTTAAATAATTAATTGATAGTTTTTATAAAACAAAATGTTATGGAATTTCGAAATCATTTTGCAAATAAATTTATGCAGATTATTAATGGAAAAATTTTCTTATAGCTTAATATTTATTTAACTCTGCCTTCTTTCTACAGTGGTGGAATTAAAGTTTGTTTGAAAGAAGATAATAGGAATATTAATATTCTATACATTATATTATATTTAGTGATTGGTATAAATTGATTTTTCAGGGTCAAACATTGTCAAAGAATTACAAACCCGAACTGAACCGAATTATTACAATTTTTTATTGAACTAAAATTCAAAATCATAATTTTTTTTTATAAATATATTGAAATTATTAAAACTTTACTTACATTATGCAAAATTTAATAATCTAAAACTATATAATATATTATAATAGTATATATAATAATAGGTAATATTATTTCTGATAAAAATTTTAATAATATAGAGTACAAACAACATTTATATTTTTATAAAATATTAAAATAGAAAATTAATTTTAGATTGTTTGATTAAGAATATTTTCAAGTTCCAATTTCGAACATACATTAATGGTTCGGTTCGATTTTCTTTAATTTTGAGTTCAGATTATGAACCGTTCGGTTTGACCATTAATTAAATTATATTATGTATATCTTATCTTTATGACTGATAAAAAAAACATTAAATAAATCTGTGATAAAAAAAAACCAGGAGGAGTGCGATTACTATTATATGTTTATATATCTTTGGTCGCTCCTTCCCATAAATCTGCTCCTGCCTCTCTATAATATTATTGGTATATTGATATTAACTTTTTAACATATTAAGCTGCACAAGACAACAATACTGTATTCATTAGAGACAAAATCTACCACGAGGTATGAAATAGAAATAAAAGACATCAACGATCATTTTTTCACGAGTAATTGTGTTTTTATTTTTACTGCGTTCACCGCATGATGGTGTGGACATTATAGTACGCGGGCTGTATTTGCCAACTATTAATAGTTACCCAATCGTAGTTCGACCTTGGACATTGTGACTTTTACACAACCCCAGTGTAGCTATTATATGTTAGTTTTATTTTTATTCGTTCATACACATGGCATAGAAAAATGCACGCAAAATAAGTTTTAGCATATAAAAGACTACACAAGTACCCAAAACAACTACGTGTGTGGTTATATATAACAAAATAAATTTTAACAAAATCATTAATTTTACAAAACTTGTATTTAGGTACTTACCACCATGTGGAAACGACATGTTCCGGGAATGGTGCAAACTGCTTCCCAACATATCAAATGCTGATCGAGTCAAACGAGATGTACGTTATGCGAATCGTATTTATCTGTAACATAAGGAAATACGCACATAAACAAAAAGACTACATTGTAAATTATTTTTAAATTTTTATCCAGGTTAATATATCGGAAGAGAAGAAAGAGAGAGCGTCTTATTGTAAAAGGCTTCGTGTGTACCCGCACGAATCGTACAATAATGAAAAAGAAACGATTTCGTTGCCGGAATAAAAACAAAACCCAAAATGACGAGTAACTATTCATTCTAAGTAGTTGGTAAGGACTCAGTACACAAATACACAATGTTATTTTCGCATATTATTATTATTATTATTATTATTACAGGAAAACGCCCGTGTAAATTATCGTATATGATCTAAAATCCGTTTCATAGGGCTTGAGAGCCTGAATTCCGTGGTCACAGAACACTACTTGTACATTCAACTAAAAAATGGGTAAATTAAAACAGAGAACAGTGTATTATACTTACAGGCAACCTGTAGTAAAAATATTTAATATCTAATATATTGTACAGGTAATATTATTTTACATTATATGTACAGTAATATTATATTTATATTTCAAATAACGAATAAAAAATAATAGTACTCGTATTTTAATAATAATAACATTATATATACAGTCGATTCTCGATAATTCGAAGTTGACGGAACTGTTGAAAATTTTCGAATTACCGAGAGTTCGAATTGTTGAATAGTTCGAAAAACGAGAGTAAAAAAAAAAAAAATTTGCATAACTGACTCAAGAGAAAAATTTCGTTTTTTATTATTGTACATAATTATTAATTATTTCAGCAAATTATGTGGTATTAGTTATTTATTGTTTTTAAAATTTAAATTTTAACTATATAATAATTATACTATGTAAATTAAATTATTATTTTTTGAAGAAATCCGTAATGGTTTTCTGCTTCATTGAATTTAGTTTCATTTTTTCAATAGTATTTTTTGAATTTGACGCACTCATCACAAGAACTTTACAACTGACCAAACGAAACTAAAATAAAACTACATTCGGCTGACGGCTATCGAAGAGATAAATTACGATTAATGACGATTAAGAAATAAAACGATAACATTCTTACAATATTAATTCTATAGTTATCGAAAATAATATGTTAAATTTCTACACGATTGTGTAGTAAATTATTAATAAAAAGATTATAAGAATACAGATAAAATAAATTTTCTGAGTATAATTTGAATTGCCGAACGTTGAACGGATGATACTTTGAATAATTGTCAAGTGTTAGTTGCAAGTTTTTCCAAAATTTAATTTAGAATTACTGAGTGTACTTGAATGCATTGTTTTTATTCGAATTACCGCGTGATTTTCAAGGAACCGAGCATTTACTTTAAATTACCGAAGGTCTGAATTATCAAGAGTCGACTGTATATATATATATATAATTAGTTTAAATTTTAAAAATTAAATAAAAATTATTTGAATAGTAAAAGTGTGACAAATTATTTCAAGTAATTATTGATAATTAATAATTTTATTTTCCTGCTGAAAACAGACACGAGAATATTTTAATATATAAAAATATTATATATAATGATATTCTATAAAACTATACATTCCAAGGGCGTTCTCATGGGGGGATATGTGAGACAAGATGGATCACCCCCATGGCCTTTTTTTTTAATGAATTTTATTTTCATAGTCAACTAATTCAAACATCTAACTCCGTTATCTAGGTCTGATACTAGACAAACGTTTAACCTGGGCCGAGCACATAAAAAAACAACCAATCCAATTAAACACCAGATGTAAATCCCTCTATATGTTCCTCGGTAAAAACTCCACAATTAGCCTTAAAAAACAAACTTCTACTATATAAAACATTACTAAAACCAATGTGGTCTTACGGCATCCAACTATGGGGTTTCGCTTAAAAAAAAACATTAATAAAATACAACGTTTTCAGTCTATAACATTATGTATGATTACAAAAATGCCTTTCTACATTTCAAACCACACACTTCACTCCGATTTAAACATACAAACAGTTTCAGAAGTAGTAAAATCATTCTACAAATTATTTCGCTCCCAACTGGTAAATCATTCAACCCTTTGATCCATACCCTTGACTCTATCAACATACCTGGAAATCCGCCGAGAAGGTTAAAAAGAATCTGGTGTAGAGACCTAGTAACAATGTAATAAAAATAAAAAAATAAAAATAAATAGTTATAAGTATTATATTATAAATTATATAAGTTCAAATAAGCCATACATTTAAGTCCTTCACGTCATAAATACTACTGTTGGGTAGTTTCTTAAACTCATGTAAATTATTCTAAAAAAAAACACATAACACTGCACATGTGCTTATTGTAAAATTTACCCTTAGAGATTGAATATTTTCTAAAATAAATTAAAAAAAAAAAAATGGTGAACTACTATTTCGTAATAATACAATAAATATTATTTTGACTCGTTATCATTTTCCACACATTGGTAGGCAGATGACGGACATAGAACCTATAAACAAATTACGACAAATGTTTAAAAGTTTATGATGACAGACGATGGTTACAGATTAATATCTTTATCGCTGTTTTTGTTTTATAATACAAAGTAATATTATTACTTAATGTTTTATAATTAGCTAAATTCATAAATTGATATAAATAATAAATTATTATCATAATACTACCGAACAATGATACAATACGAGCATTTTACTATCTGTAGTGTATGAAAATGAAACGAAATAATTCAAGCAGGATATTACATATGTTAAAAATGTATATAATTTGTAAATTTAACATTATAATTAAAAATATAATATATTGTAATTTATTATGTTGATTTAATATAGGAGAGTGTGCCCGGCTCATTTTTTAATACATTTTCAAATCCCTCCCAATTAAAAACCCTGAGAACATCTTTGATATGTTCAAATCCATTGAAAGTTAATTTTGGTATGAACTTGGTCATTTTTAAAGCGACCATTATAGTTTACTCATCAGGGGCGACTCCAGCGCCTTGGTTAGGGAGGGGACCAAGTTATAATTTTACATTATCTTATAACAAAAAGAAAATAACAATTTTTACAACACAAATTCAAGTCGTCTATTTTTAAAATTGACAAAAATATCAATAATATGATCTATTTGATCTAGAATATCTACTTTATGATATACATTAATTAGACATAATGCAGATAAAATAGACAAAATTAGACAATAATCTTCAGTCATCATTGAACGAAGTCAGGTTTTTAGTCTCTGAAGTGTGGAGAAACTGCTTTCAACCGTCATACCTCTATGGCTATATCTATATACTTGTATTATAGTACATATTTTAATATGCATTTTTTAATAACAATACATTTTTTTATAAATATGGTACGGGGTTGGGGGGGGGAGAGACGCGGCCCCTAGAGCCGCTCCTGGTACTCAAGAATATCACCAAATTCATACTAACTGATTAGTCGAAATAATATTAATCACTATCGTCAAAGTTTCTACGATAAATTCTTAGCAGTTTTTTTTTTTACCAAAAAAAATGTCCACGGTTTGCAAATTAAACAATAAACAGTTGTACACAGCAGTGTCCGTTTACCGAATTCCTTTCGACGTTGATGCTATTTTTTTACCGTCATCGCGTGACTCATGAATCTAATCTAATACAAATTTACGTTAAAATCGAACGCAACAACAACTTAGACAAACAGTATTAACCTAACTTTACACTAAAAGTCTGTATCTGATTTTAGTGGACGGACATCAATTTTCGCCATTAAATAGTGCAGTCCAACAATTATTATATTCGGTCGGCCGGCTTACGGGATCTCGATGTCACGATGGTCTAGGCGAAAAGTTTAGTAACAAAACAACCACTTCTGCAGTCGCCCGCGAAAGGTCAACGAATAAAATGTTCCGCATTCGATGGTCACGTGCACGATTAAGTATTGTAGAGTGACCAGCCGTATCGATTTCAGATGTTACATATCCCGTCCGACGCACGCACAGCAATGATAAATTTGTTTTAGGTAAGTCCGGAGAGACGGCTATTTGCTTATAACTATTAAATGTTAATTGACCTATCGAGATGAAATACAATGACGTGACGTAGCATTGAATATACTTTCCGTATATTGAATATACGTTTTCAAACGAGATACACATATACTAACATGAACCTACATAACCACAAACACACACTATCTCGAGAACGTTATAGTACCTCGTAGAATTCAAATCGTACACGATATTTGGATGTGGACGGGGCCTTGTCGGACGATAAAAATATAACATCAGATGTTCGGAGAATTGCACACGAGGTCCACGAAAATCAATAATGCTGCGAATTTCATCCTGTCGATTTTGCGATACGATAATAATAATAATATTAATATAGTGGTTATAGTAATTAACCGTAAACAACGTTCAGCGTAGGTTTCTTCGATCTGGATACCTCAAAGGCACAATACACAACAACACAATAACATTGTTCCTGCTGAGAACATAATTTCATTCTTACATAATAAAATACGTATGAATCTAAAGTGTACACGTGTAAATTGTTGGGCGCATCGACGTGTGTGGACACATGTTTTTACGCGAGACCTAGATCTGTGTACGACTCGTAATGCAGCATCGTCGCATTCTCAGGACCGCGGCGGTGTTATCTCACCGATACGTATACAGTGACGTGTTACCCAACCCTTAACTAAAAACGAGTGGAAACGCGCACCAGACGTTATTGAAATCGTTCGAAACCGCGGTAATCGTACAAGCTCTCGTAAGTACCCTCCACAAGACCGTCGTATTTGTTTCATGCTTTTCGTTGTAATATTATATTTCGTGAACAAAATTCGACGCGCAGTGATATGCAAATAACGCTACTCACACGATTCCTGCGTACGTAGCGCAACTGTATCGCCGCCGAGGGAAGAGACCTATGACCGCTTTTTTTGTTTACTAAAAATAAAATTGATTTATGATGCAATCGCTGTTCCATTTGTATATTTTTGTTATCGGCCGTATGTATTCAAACTGCAGTTCTATGTTTTAAT